ACCATAAGGAGACTGACGGACAGGAATCCGGAGAGCCACTCATCCAAGGATGAGGTGGTGGACCGAAGTGTCGGTGCACAGGTGGTGTGCCTATTGTGGTGTTGATGACTAGCTAGAAGGACTACTAATCGGGCGGCTACAAATCAGGTTCACTTTTTTCTGAACCAGAGTTGCAGCGCCCGACACCATTTTTCCTTTTTGACTGGGGGTAATTAGTGTGAGCGCCCGCAACCTGAAAAAGTATCTGCTGCCCGACAGTGACCGCCTCCTCGCCAAACCTTACTCTGAAGAAAAGTAAGCATGGACTTAGAGTTTGATGACGCCAGCGGCGGGTCACACAGTGTGACTTCCTTAGGGTCCGGTTCGGAGATGGCGGCGTTTTGCACACCGGCCGAGTGGTTTGCAAGGAGATGTTTTGTCGAGCCCGATTCGTCATGAAAGGTACCGTCTATGTTTGTTTCAGTGACCGTTGGTATCGAGTGTAACCGAGCCGGTCACCGAGGACTACTCGGTCCAACCAGGTGGGGTACTCCTTTGAAGGGGTGCTTAGACGCAATGACAAATACTTTGACGAATCGCTAGTACCGCCTTGTCCCCCACGAAACGGCCGTCTTCAAGCAACGGCTCCCTGTTAACTCATACTCTCCGTTCTGTAGAATCTCTTCATTCCCTGTCTGGGAAGGTGGGCGCTGTACGGTAGTTTTCGTCCACCTTCTCCAATGAATCACAACTAGATAGCTGACTAGCTAGCTACCGGTAGTAGCTATTGCTATGATATAGCAGCTGGCCAAGTGAGTGGATGAATTGAATCACAACAAGATAATTATTACTTAGAAAGAGTGAAAGTCTATTCATCGTCCTGTGGACAACCATTTTCCTGGGCGTAATCGAGGCATTCCGAATGGCCATTCTGAGCAGCAATGGTGCAAGTATGGTTACTCCAAGGACAGCCATTCTCATGAGCAAACATGAGGCATTCCAAATGCCCCTCACATGCAGCCATAGCACATGTGTCTTCATCCCAAGGACAGCCATTCTCATGGGCATATTTGAGGCATCCCAAATGGCCGCTCAAAGCAGCCATAAAGCAAGTTGTTTCATCCCATGGACATCGATTCTCATGCAAATAATTGAGGCATTCCAAATGCCCTCCATTGGCAGCTGCAGAACATGTCCTTGCATCCCATGTACAGCCATGTTCATGGGCATATTTGAGGACCTCCCAATGGCCGAATTTTGCAGCAACAGCACACGTGGTTGTGTCCCATGGACAGCCATTCTCATGAGCATACTTCAGAATATCCAAATGGCCATTGGCAGCAGCCCTTGTGCATGTGGTTTTGTCCCAAGGACAGCCATTCTTGTGGGCATACTTCAGAATATCCAAATGGCCCTCATGTGCAGCAGCTCTGCACACAGATGTATCCCAATCGGGCCCAATGGAGAACAGCAACATTTCCTACTTTGGCGGCTGCAGCACAAATCGAAGAGCTCTCAAACCTTCCACCTCCAGCATAATGGTGGGTGAACCAATGCTGTGCACGAGCGACACTGGAGAAAATTGCAGTGTCCATTGTTGCAGTAAGGGGTGCTGATGGATTGCTAGGCCAGGACTTCTCAGATGGAGGATTCTTCTCAGTTTCACAATAAGTTGTGTAGAGATCTTTCATCTTGTGGCAGACAGGTGCCACAAAGGCATAGTGGCCCATGCCAACAAAGGGGAGAATGCCGTTGATCCAAATATCACCATGCTTCAAGCAGGATTCCTCTGGGGCAAGCTTGAGGTTGTCGTACTCCTCTTGAATGACTTCGTTGAAAGCGTCATTCGCCTGCTTCTGCAGAGCCAAGAGAGCCTGGATCCGCTGCGCACCTGCTGATTTGCTGTTGTTGCCTCGCTGTGCTTGACCATTCTGCAACAGAACGGAACGAACTTCAGAGATTCCTTTGCTGGATGCTTCAATGGCGAGTTCAAAAGCCGTTTGGTTGTTTGCTGCCGCCATGGTCTACATGTACTTGCTCTTCGTGGAGATGGAGAGATGGACTAGTCTACGAAGGGATTATGGGAGGACAGAGGCAAGCACGAAACAAGAGGATGTTTTGAACGAGCGCGAAAGATATTTTGATCGTCGTCGCCCGAAGCCTTCGGAACCTTCGCTGGAGGGTTCGCAACTTCGCAACCGAAAATTCGATTGCCGCATTCGAAAGAATGTGCCTCGATTCGATTCGATTCGATTCGATTCACATGGAGGACCGTCCGAAAGACCCTCCAACCAACATGACCACTTACTTGACCACTTCTTTCTCAAGATACTGTAGGATACCGTGGCCTGCCAGCAGCAGCAGAAGACAGGTCATACTACATTTCTGGTAGCTGGAGTTTGTTGATCCCGTACGATGGTAGCTCCCCGGCGCAATCTCTCCAAAGACGGTCTTTCCTCTTGGCCTTCCTTTGCGGCTGGTTTGGCTGTGGGATGTCTCCTCATGTTCCTCTGCCTGGGACAACCACTACCACCACCCGAGTCATCCTCGTCACTGCTGAATGTTAATAACAACAATCTGCGAATGCTGGAATCCCAGCAACTAATAATAGGACAAGAAGAACCCGACAATGGCTGGCATACCATTAATGTCTGGTACCATGATCGCAAAGCCCTAGGTCAAGATTTGCAAAAACCATCCTACGGCCAAGTCCACCAAGATGAGATTATTCTGGATCTCATTGGAGATGCCGGCTATTTTATTGATTTGGCCGCCAACGATGCCCTTGAATTCTCCAATACTCTGGTATTGGAACGACACAACGGTTGGCACGGCCTCTGCATTGAACCCAATCCTACGTATTGGTACGGATTGGCGCATCGCAAATGCACCGTCGTGGGAGCATTAATGGGAGGCGAGCAGATTGATCAAGTCAATGTCAAATTCCGTGGCGTCTTTGGAGGCATTGTGGGGAAAATGGATGGTAAACTGGCCAATCGCAAAAAGGAACCACAGGCTCCCACGGAACAACGGTATACCGTTCCCATTTCAAAAGTGTTGCAACGGTATCAGGTTCCCAAAACAATTGATTACTTGAATCTAGATATTGAAGGAGCTGAATTTTTGGTCATGCAACACTTTCCTTTTGACACTTATAAAGTCAGAGTCATGACGGTCGAGCGACCGAATGAACAATTACATGCATTGCTCGAGTCCAAAGGGTATCATCATTTGAAGGATCTCACTTGGTGGGGTGAGACACTCTGGGCACATGAATCCTCGGGGTTCACCAAGGATCATCCCAAAATTGTCAAAATTCCATACGAAGGGAAATAAGGAGCTTTCGAAAGAATACAGCATCAGCAGCTTGCTAGCTCAAAAAACAGCAGTGGCATACGCAAGGCCAACCGCACCCAACAATTTGCGCACCCAACACGGCCTTGTCTTTTCTCGAGCCTGATTCTTGATGGCAACCGTCGTGGCTGGCAAAAATGTTTGCGGACACGGCCATGACAACAGCGAAGATGCTCAATAGAGAAATGGCATGCATTGTCGCTTGGATGTCGCTTGCCCACTCTATGGACAGTCTGGTTATTGGCATCATTGCCCGTGCTCCAGGAGACGAAGCTACGATGTGACGTAACTGTAGCTAAGATACCGTGCTGCCGCCGAAATAATGTTTGCCACCACTTCTTTACTAGTCGGTGGTAGATCTTTGTTTTCAAACTACAACGAACATGTACTGTGCCGATACGGTAGTTGTTAGATGCCGTAACTTTTAATCGAAAAGACTTGCAAGGCGCCTAGCGGTAGACCAGCCTTGCTTGTCATTTTCCAACGTCGTCACTCGAGGACCGTGCTTCATATTCAAGATCTGCACCTCCACGGCAAGCATGGATCTTTTCCTATTCAACCGATCTGCACCTCCACGGCAAGCAGGCATCTTTCGGTTGTCGGCTGTCAAGACAGCCATTTCGAAAACGAACGATGGTCCTCAACATGGCCGCTCCGTTTGGTCTTGCAACCACGGTACTGTTCGATGTTTAATCTCGCCATCACTTTCCATCATCAACGAAATTGGCAACGCAACACAACGATCGACTGTTCATAAATTACATTCCAAAGCAACCACAACAGCTACTTCTCATCCGCAACAACAACAAAATCAACCTCAGTAACAACCATGGTCCCTTCTATCTCGTCCTCAGCAGCAGCACCCGAACACCCAACCTCCTCTGAGAAGCATACTAGTTTCGAGAACAGTGTTGCCTACCAATTGCTCGTGGAAAAGACCAAGAACGCTCAACTGGAATCAGCCTTTGACAAACTCAAGTCGCAATATGCCGAGCTGCAAGTCGAATTGGAGAAGCTCAAGCTGGAAAATGGCAATCTCGTTACTTTGACCAATGCTGTGGCCATGGCAGAAGAACTGCTAGCCATGGCATAGGGCCCGAAAAATAAATATCAATGTCATAGAATAATGCAGTCGATAGCTAGCTACATCTATCTTTTTCCTACACTACTCTCTCACTCGTACCTTTCATTACCCCATACACGTCCGACAAGCATGTAGTCCCCTGTCCATGGCTTGACTGGTGGCGAGTTCTTCGACGTGTTTGACTTTTGTCAGATGCTGACAATCTCGTCGATGATACGCAGCTCCGTTGGCCGTTTTGTAGACGCTGTCATCCTGGAAATTGGACCACATGCCTCGTTTTTGTGTTCGTGCATTGGATTGCAAACGGACCAATTTGTCCCAATTGTGCAATTTCGCTTGTTTATTGTTGGGCGTATACGCCGATGCGAATCCGTGGGCCACGAGTCCTTCATTGACGCACAAGTAACTGTTTCCATTATTATTTTCTGGAGCTGGAACCCAAACGAACGCCAATAATCGTCCATAGTGATCTTGTTTGTTGTCGCCATCAAACGAGATCCAGATATCCTTCTTGTCGCAGAGATCTTTGCTGTACGCCTTGGCTTCTTGCGCAAAGGGTTGTTTTTCTTTAATCTCGGGGGTATCTATTCCCAAGAATCGTACCCGACGTTCGTCGGTAAGCGTGAGCGTATCTCCATCGTAGACATTTCGCACCCGGTGTTGTTCCGCATCTGCTGGGAGGGAAGGGTAGGTAGCAGCCGCATTGGGAGAGGATGATGTTTCGGCTGTGGAAGGAGGTTCTTGATGATGAGTTTGCTGCTGCTGCTGCTGCTGTTCTTCTTCCTGGGCTGCTTTCAGTAGCTCAATGAAAATGGACAAGCACTGACCCATTGTATCTTTGACACTGGTGGATACAACTAGCTAGGATGAATTTGGCACAGTGTGCTTGTTCGAACAGAACGGATATACCTTGCTTGACAACCCTCTCACCTGCCTCCCTTTCCAAAGAGGAAGCATCCGAGGATGGTTTGGCGATGGTGACGGATAACAAATGCACGATTGAATGTCAAATAATATCTCAACGCTGACGTACTTGCCACCAACAACGCCCAACTCTTCGAAGAGCCTCCTGGAACCCGGAACCGCCGATCAAAGGCACAATGAACCGACCTTGGTCGCCGCCCACCGTCGCCGAGCAATATCCGGTTGTCAACCTTTGCACAGACGCAAGTCATCACCAACCATCCACATCAGTGGCATAAATCAACCCTCATAACACAAGAAACCAGGGAGTATCCAATCTGCTTTTTAGCTACCCAAAACCAAACCATGAGCGAGGACAAAGTAATTCTGTGGACCCTCCCACCTTCTTCCAACTCGGCTGTGATTCGGACATTCCTATTGGCAGCTGAGATTCCCTTTGAAGAGAAGAATGCCTGGGGTCAAACTAGAACTCCCGAGTATATTGCCAAGTTTCCCAACAATTGCGCTCCTGCTGTTGAACATGGCGACTTTTCCGTCTGCGAAACCGCCGCATCCATGCGCTACTTGGCCAAGGCATTCCCCGACAAGGCAGGAAAGTTTTATCCATCCGACAATGCCCAAAAGGCTGCCAAAATTGACATGGTCTGCGACATGATCAATACCGGAATTTGTAACCTCATCCCCAAGGCAGCCTATCCCACGTTGGGATTCCCCTTATATGCTGGAGACGTTGCTGCCATGGATGAATCCAAGGAACACACCAAGGCGTCTCAAAAGGCTGCCGCCGATGCCATTAAGGAATACCTAGAAAACAAGGTGGTGGGCATTCTGTTGGACAAGACCAAGTTTTTGATGAGTGATACTCCCACCATTGCCGATTTTCGGTTTGCGCCCATGTTGTCGCAAATCAAGGTCACCATGGAGTTGCCCGATGGGATTGCCGATTATCTCGAACGAATGGAAGCAGACGTACCGGGTTTTGCGGACGGCAACAAACCAGCCAATGAATACAATTCCAAGTTTTGGGTTACCAATCCAGTGGACTGCTAAAAAATTCTATTTGATGATGACAGAAGCAACGCACAAGTGGATGCGTGGATAGTTTTGGTATATTTATTTGCTTTTGTGTACTTGTGGTGGAGGAGGATGAGGATGCGGATGAGGTTGAGGTGCCAACTCTCAGGTTTCTAGGGAATTGCAAACGAACCAAGCTCTATAATGCTATGTAGTTTTTTCATGCAAATGGAGGGTAACCAGCAAGCCTCCGCTTACCGGTACCGGTAGTTTTTCTTCCATTCATTCCACAGCCTCTCTTGTCTCGCCTGAGTACAAACAATACGCCATGTGCCATTGTTACTTTGCACCGTATGCCTCAAGCAAAACGCAAGAATCCATTGCTCGGGCACATGGTGTTGCAGGTATACGGTAGGACCACTTCGCCTGCTCCAATGGTCCCGTGATAAAGGATTTTTCGAGGGATGGGCCCACTTGTCAAAATCTGCCAGACAAGGTGCTTTTGAACTGGTGAAGTAGTCTAAGTGGGCACATGAGAATGGATGCCCGTGGGATTGATTCGATTCATGGAGATGCATGTGTGCAGCTGGAAATGGTCATCTAGCTAGATACTCTGGAGTATTGCAATCACATGTGGCTCATAAGGTGGATGCCACAAAGTGCTCAAGCAAATCGGTCAGAAGTGCTGCCGAAGGCGGTAATCTGGAAGTTTGCTAGTGCATGGATTGGCATTGGGATGCACACGCATCTGCCTGCAGCAGGCAAGGGGCACGTGGAGGTTTTGAAGTGGGCCAGAGAAAACAATTGCCCGTGGGATGGACCAACATGCATTTGTGGTCATTAATTGTTTGGCTTCGATGGGCCCGATCAAATGGCTGTTTCGGGGATCCAGAAGTGGGTACCGGTATGGATGCTAACCCTTGGTTACGAAGGCGACTACGAATGCAACATAAAGGAATGATTGGCCTTCATGTTCGGAGATCACCGCAAGAACCAAGTACAGACATTGCCACCAATCAGCAGTTTCGGAGATTCAATGTTCCACCCGCAATTTAGTGCGAACTACAGAGGACCCACGAACGTTCAACTTCCTTCTTAATAAAATCCTCCCTATCTTCCTCTTGCAGATAATCTACCGCATTGTCCGCATCCACTCTCCGTTCCTTTTTCCTCTAGCTAGAGACCAGCCGTCACTTCAACAGTTTTCTGCTTTTTGCTTTCTATTCCTCATAGACTGCACCGTACAATTCCAGTCCTTCGCCATGCAAACAGGCATCTTCGCCCTTTTCGTCACTGGCCCCAATCAATCGAAAGAAGCGATAAAACTTGGTCGGCGGTGGGTCCAATTTCCAGGAATGTCGGTAATCTTGTTCCAAAATAGTCAAGAGGACATCGGCACTGAGTTCATCATTTTGCACGTGATCATTATAAAATGCCAACGTCTTGGTAAGTTGCGCCTTGATTTCATCGTTTCCTTCATCCATCTTCAAACTATCATCGTCTCGCGCCGCATGCAAGACATCCCAACTTTTTCCGTCAACCGATCCTTCCAAGTTCCAATCACCCGCCAATCCCATGCATTCACTGACACGCAACGAATAGTGCGTTGGGCGTACCATAATGGTGTTTTCCAAAAAATCCACAATGACAGGCAATCGTTTGTTGGCATGTTTGCACCATTGCAGACAGGAAAATTGTTCCATTTCCCATTCGCCGGGTTGTTTTTTGACGGCTTGAACGACGGGTTTTAATCGATAATGGACAAATGTCTCGCGACTCCGTGCAAATCGTGCCAATTCGAACATGTCTTCTTCGTCATTTTCTTCTTCGTCGTCCATCCAACCCGTCACATTGACCACTCCCATGGCATAGGGATTTTCGTACTTGTCGCTAGAACCGCGATTGGTTCCCAACCAATACAAGACACCCCGGTTGGTTTGGGACGGCGCAAATGTCTGCGAGACTTGCAGCGCTGCCGTCATGCCGGGGAGACCAAAGAATTCCGCTTCTTCTCGTAGATTGCGTCGCAAGACCAAGTCATTGGGAGGAAGGCGCAAGGTAATACTGACGTCTTCTTCTTTGTCGTCGCCACTTTTAGCAGCAGCAGCCGCCGCGGCAATGAGATAATCTCGCACATAGGCAAATCGTTCCGGAGATCGTTGGATAAAGATGATCTTGCGTCCATGAGAATCCCTGTAGGAAACCTCCTTGTCCAATCGAGCTTTGCTAAAGTAGTCACTTCCCGACTTTATCAGGTTGGACATGCGAAAGTAAAAGAGCGTGCCGCCCACATCCAAACCGACAATGGGATCCTTTTCGGCCTTGGGTGCGGGAGCTGGAGCGGGGGCGCTGCCAAACATGGCGGATGATACAGTGGTTTTGTTATTGTTGTTGTTGTTTGTAAAGGAGAGAGAGAGTTCGTGCCCAAAGATACAGTACAGTAGATAGATTGCGAAACAGAAAGCTAGAAAGAAGAGAGAAGATGCCGATGAATGACCTCTCTCGATTGAGGCAAAAAAGATCCAACGGCTAACGCGCGAAGGATCCATGCGTCCGAAGAAAAATAAATCTCTACAAAATACACATTTTAACATTTTAATATCTCGATCGCGCAACCGGCCATCGCAACACAACCGCGACAATCGAGATCGAGCCCTCCCTTATCGGCTATTCTATAGCCACAGCAGAACTGAGTATCGTACGGTAGCAACCATGTCTTCCACCAATGATCCCTCTCAAAAGAAGCGTGAAGCCTTCTCTGCGAAAAGGAGGCGCTTGATACTGCGGAGCCTGTAACAAAACGGCAGAGACAACTGGATGCTGCCTCTGGCATCTTGGTGTTGGATCGGAAGGATATTTTTGGGTCGGAGGCATCCTTCCTTTTGTTGGCATGGGGCATTATGCCTTTGTCGGTGCTGTCAACAAGCAGATGAATCAAAGCTACAAGGATTACTGTAACGCAGAATCAAACCCCACCACAGTGCTGTTGGGCACGTTTGATCATGATCGCCCTGCAACTGCCACTGATACATTCTATAGCAATGCCTTTGTCAATGAGGCATGTGCCACACACTGGCAATCAGACAGTTCGGGTCGGAAACAACCATTAGCGAGAGTCGTATTTAAGAAAGTTGCCAAAGTTGGAAGTCTTCCGTTATGAACTGGGCCAAGCAGCAGGGATTTGCATGGAATGAAGCTACTTGTTTTTTTGCCGCTAGAAATGGCCATTTGGATTGTCTCAAGTATGCTCATCAGAATGGCTGTCCATGGGATAGAACCACATGCAAGGCTGCTGCTGAAGGCGGCCTTGTGGAGTGCCTCAAATATGCTCATGAGAATGGCTGTCCATGGGACGCAAGTGCATGTTTTACTGCTGCACGTGAGGGTCATTTGGAATGCCTCAATTATTTGCATGAGAATCGATGTCCATGGGATGAAACAACTTGCTTTATGGCTGCTTTGAGCGGCCATTTGGGATGCCTCAAGTATGCACATGTGAATGGCTGTCCCTGGGATGAAGACACATGTGCTATGGCTGCATGCGAGGGGAATTTAGAATGCCTCATGTTTGCTCATGAGAATGGCTGTCCCTGGAATTCAGGCACATGTGCAGGTGCAGCAGAAGATGGACATTTGGAATGCCTCAAATATGCACATGAGAATGGCTGTCCATGGGATGAAATAACATGTAGTGCTGCTGTGGGAGGTGGCCATGTGGAGTGCCTCAAATATGCCCACGAGAATGGCTGTCCATGGGATAACAACACATGCACCTTATCTGCCTCAAATGGTCAATTGGAATGCCTCAAATATGCCCATGAGAATGTATGCCCATGGGATAACGACACCTGCACCATTGCTGCTCAGAATGGAAAGTTGGAATGCCTCAAATATGCCCATGAGAATGGCTGTCCATGGGATAAAGACACATGTGGTACTGCTGCTCAAAATGGTCACTTGGAAGTTCTCCATTGGGCTGTGAAAGAGGGCTGCCCATGGGATACCACAGCTATTGCCTTTGCAGAGTTACATGGGCATGCTGCAATTACAAAATGGGCTCGGGCACAGCCCTGCCCACCTTCTGATTTGCACAAGTGGATCAAGGCATATGTTGCATGCTACAACATAAGTACTACATCCGTGAGGCATGCAGTGGAAGTTGCAACAAGGAAGTTTGGAAAGGACATGATGCCCGCCACAGAAATCATGGAGTGTTTCCTCTTCTGGGAAGTCTGATGCTATCAAAGCCGTGCAAGGGTACCTCTGGGCTTTCTTGCCCCAATGAGCCAAGCTCTATGATTGGGGGCTCTCTAAGAATTTACAAACCAATTGTTTACCTATACCTCTCTTCACCATCTTGTAGATCTTTCCGTAGTACTTGTCGCTCATAATGTTCATTGCCATAGATATCACCAACCAATCACCGACTAGCCCATCCTTTCTCGAACCTGCACTTCCGTCAGTAAAGTCAACTGCAAGTGTTTACATTTCAATGTTCGCTTCTTTGCCAGAACGGAACGGATCTCCACCAATCCAGAGTCACAACGGAAGAGGTCATTGCCTACATCCTGGCTAAGGATCCTATAGTCGCATCACCGGCCGACAGGGAGAGCTATATCGTCAACTTCTACTATGTTGGAACCAATCGTCCTCGTGCTATGCATCATTCTACGAAAGGTCATTGTCCCAGTCCAGAAGCATTCGACTGCGAAGAAGAAAAAGCCAAAGGGCAGGGTGCACTTCACCAAGCAAGCAAGCAAGCATCTAACCAAGGAAACCCCGCCAACCTCCTACCTTGAAGCGACGTGGCGGATGCTGCTGTGGGCCGGCTCCATCCCTCGAGGAAAGACACCCAGCATTATTTGTGTCACAAACCCAAACGGAGACTGGCAGATCCTCTCGGTGTTCCTGGTCTTCATTGGAGTGATCGATCTGGCTAGACTAGTCTAGACTAGCTTCCACAACGGACTTTGGAGTCCGGTATCCGTCAGCCCAGGGAATGATGAACGTAGCCATGGCTACGTACTAAATAGAACTGTGGCTCTAATAAGTTAGTCTACCCTGGACATGGCTACACTATGAACGAGCTCTTAAAAAAAGTCTTGCATAAAACAATAATAATATCTATGGGCCACGAAAGTAATACTGTAATAAGTCTACGAAGCCAGTTCTTGGCCAACTGACTCGCCGATAATGTCTATTCCTCGTAGACTTCACCGTACAACTCCAGTCCTTCTCCATGCAGACAGGATCCTTCTTCATCTTCCGAAACATTCCCATCGTAGTCACTGGTGCTGGCGCCAATGATTCGAAAGTATCGATAAAACTTGCTGGGCGCCGGCGTGATCTCCCAGGTATGACGAAAATCCTGTTCCAAGACACCCAACAAAATATCGCTGGCCCGTTCGTCGGTCCGATTTTCCTTGGATACTTCGAGCAACGTCAATCCGACGGCTCGTTTGATGTAATCTTCCGAGGGTACAAAGAGCCGTCGGTCATTTCGTGCCGCATGGAGGACCTCCCACTCTTGATTGTCTTGGGATGCCTCGAAATTCCAATCCCCCTGCATGCCGTAACATTTGGAAACCCGGAGGGAATAATGAGTCGGTCGCAGCGCTACCGCCTCTTGCAGATTGATTTGTGCCGGCAAGCGTTTGGATCCGTGATCACACCAGAGGACACGCGAGGGAGTATCGAGCGCCCAGTAGGCATCGACCGGGTTACCTTTGGACGAAACAGCCGTGTTGATGGGAAGACAGTGTCGATAATGGACCAATGCTTCGCGCGAGTAAGGACTTCCGGCAATTGTAGCTTCTCGCTGTTCTTCGTCGTTAAAGTCTTCTTCTTCTTCACCCAAAAAGTCATCGACCCATCCACCGACATGAACGGCTCCAATGCGGTGCGGGTTCGCGTAAGGCGCCGCCCCTCGTTTGGTACCCAACCAATAGAGGACACCCTGGTTGGTTTGACCGGGAGCAAATGTCTGCGAGACGAGGAGCATCTCCACCATGGCCGGAATTCCAAAAAACTCGGCTTCCATTCGGAGGGCACGTCGCAACGGCAAATCGCACGCCATGGTCAGTGTCCCCATTAGAATAAAGTCGCGGACATGTTTAAACAAGTCCGGCGATCGTTCCACAAACAAGATGGGTCTTCCTTGGGCGTCCTTATAGTCCACTTCGTTGGAAGATTTGGACAATCGATCGCCAAAGTACGAAGATACTTCCACCAGTTTGTGGACGCGGAAATAAAAGAGACTGCCGCTCACGTCCAATCCAATGATGCGGCGATCGCCTTCTTCGCCGTTACCACTGGCGCTAGTAGTAGGAGATGATGACAAGGCGGAAAACATGGTCAGCTAGCTAGCAAGTAATGAATGAATGAATGAATGCAATGGGATTGAATGGTCTTTGTGTGTTGGTTGGTTGGATGCTTGCTTCTTGTTCCAAGCAAGAGGCTTCCGACGAAGTGTGTGGATCTCACACGGTAAGTCACAACAACATGCAGTCTCATCGATCGACCCGAGTGCGTGGTGGTCGTGAAGGGGGCAAAAAATCCAAGTCGAAGGAAGACCAAATCTATTCGACTGTAATCGAATTGAATTGAATCTATTCGAATATTCAGATACATCAAAAGCCCAGCAGAGCTGTATTGGCAAGAGATTAGCCGGATGTTTGGATGGACAAAAGGGGAACACGTGCAAGAGCTTGCGCGCACAGCCTTCAACGATACCACCGAAAAACTCCATTTAGATACATGTCTGCCTTAATATTAAGATATCAGAGTGAAAGCTCGTGTTTTAGCGATTCGGCAGTTTGTGCTGATTAATTAATTCAGTCACTTTTTGCTAAAATCGTTTGACACAAGCACTCTGAAAATCTACGTTCGTACCAGCAGCAATTTTGCTAGCTTTTCAGCCGACACCATGGCCATCCTCTCTCTGTCCAGAGATGTTCGCCTACTGTTGTCGTCTACTTCGAACAATGATTCTCAGACGGGCACTACTGATACTACTAAAGCGAACAGTCACTATGATCTCTCCCTTGAGGATGAGGTACAAAGCTTAGTAGGTGAAATAAGTGAGAAATATGTCCCACAACCAAGCACCGACGATGTAATCCTCGATGCCATTGATGGCCTTCGAAGATACAAAGATTCCGTGAGGTGGAAACACTATCACAGGGAACAACAACAGGAGAAAGCAAAGAAGCTCGGACTACCGACCGAAGAGAACAAAGAAGAAGAAAAGGAAATCTACAACGAACAACCGGATGACAACAATGAAGGACTCAAGACAGGTCTTAGACCACAGAAGATCAACATGACGGCCCCAACAGCCTCAGACGAAGTAGAAGTCTTCCTCAAAAAACTGGAGAAGATAGTACTACAAATGGCCACAGATTACAAGGGACACCAAACCAATCCTAAATCCAGATCCATCAAGAAACTACAGCGCAAACTTCTGATGAATCCAAACAAAGTTGTCATCCCTACAGACAAAACAAACTCATACAGAATGATGGAAATCGAAACATACATACAACAAGTCAAACAACACCTTGCAAAAAATGCCAAAGAGATCCCACACTCAAGGCTAACCGAGGTATCACAAGCAGCACTAGATCTACTGGAACTGAAGCAAGACTGTCTCTCAGACAAAGAATCAGCTCATGCATTCCAACAAATCAGATCATGCGCAATCCCATCACCCAAGCTTATGATCAAAGATCACAAGAAACCCAACAAAGATGGAGTATTCCCAACCAGACTTGTTGTACCAGCCAACAACTACACATCAGCATTCCCTAAACTCAGATACCTAGGAATCAAAAGAATTCTAGACGACAATAAAATAGACTACATGGACAAAACAATCATCCAAGCCTCCGACCTCAAAGGCCAAGTAGAAAAACTAGGAGTCAACACTAGCAACTCAACAATAGTATCGATCGATGCTGAAGCATACTACCCTTCAGTTCGATTCAAACTAGTGCGAAAAGCAGTCAAATACTTTACCAAGAATCTTGACACAGAATGCCAAAGACGACTAGATGACTGCCTAGATATGATCAAATTTGGGATGAACTCTACACTACTGACATTCAAAGACAAATACTATGAATATGATGGAGATATGGATCCTGAAGAGAAAGGACTAACCATTGGTGGATATGAATCAGCATGGCTGTCTGACCTAGTAGGAGCCTACATCCTAGAAAATACCAAAGACCATTTTGAAGAAACATCATACTATGGCCTCTACAGAGACGATGGTTTTGCGATTTTCAAAGGAACTTGGACATATGAAATGATAGTAGAATGGAGAGCCAACTTTCAGGCCAAAGTCAACAGCCTAGCCGAAGGAGACTACCTAATATTCACCTGTAGTATATGGCCAGACCAAACTAAAAGACAACTCCCAAAAGATCAACCCGACCCCAAAGTAACTGTAGAAAGTGGAAAAGCATTCCCTTATCTAGATATGGAACTGTTCTGGTCGGACCAGGAAGAACTTCACTTCCGAGTCCACCTTAAACCGAACCAACAACTGAAATATCTAAACAGGGGAACTACCCACACAAACGCATGCCTCAAAAACATCCCACTAGGGGTGTTCCAAAGACTCGCTAAACTCACTACAGTTACCAACAAGAATGCCAACCAAACCCTCGCTGAGATCTACCCACTACATATCGAGGCGTTGAAGAAAGCTGGACTGGTTCCAGACCAGATACCAACACTACAAGAGGAGATACAACGATACTCCAAGCGACAAGAGGACAAAGCAAACGAACCAGATAGAGATGCCAAGCAACGAAAGAGGAACCGGAACCGATCATTATTCTTCTGTATAGGACACTCCAACGCCTGGACGACCCCAATACACAAGGTAACCAACGACCTCAAGAAGAGCCATGGCCTCGAATGGATCAGAACGTCTATGTCCTATCATCGATTCACCAACCTGCGAGAGATGTTCATGTGCATGGGAGACCTATCGAGGAAGCTCACCAAAGACGTCATCTCCACCGAGTTCCAAAATGAAACCTGCAACTGCAAGCCAGGAAACAAGAAAGACGGCCAATGCCAATTTGACGACCGCTGTAGAAATAAACTGGCCATATACTGCATCAAATGCATTAACTCGGGCAAGGAATACATTGGGGCAACCCAACGAAACGTCAAAGAACGAACATACCAACACTTCACCGACGTCATGTGTCTCCTCTACGGAAAACGCAAGTCAGATTCATACGCAAGACACTTCGCCAACGAATTCCAAAACTTCGCAGCTCCTTCACCATTCCGACTTAATGGCGACATTCAAAGGAACAGCATCGAAATTAGCATCCTATGGCAAGGCAACCCCATCAGCACTGTCAAGACCTTCGGGACACGACACTGCAGCCTATGCAACAGGGAACGACTCGAGATACTGAAACGATCCAGAGAATCGCCAGAAAAGCTGATCAACTCCTGCAACGAAATATACGGAGCATGCCGACATAAACCTCGATTTCATAAGTACCACAATAGCCCAAGCACTGATGATTCCCAAGGGGGATGAAAAAGTCAAACAACCGAAAAGTTACCACAGAGTGAAAGCTCGTGCTTTAGCGATTCGGCAGTTTGTGCTGATTAATTAATTCAGTCACTTTTTGCTAAAATCGTATGAAGATATTATACTGTACAGGTACTGGCGGAATCTTAGCAGCATCCATAATGAACTCACTTGTTCGGTACCAGTTTCTTAGCTCAGGATCCATCACCACTGTAATCTACATGTAGTATCTTTTAACATGATCTGGCTACTAGCTAGGAAGAGAGTGATATGGGACAATTCTATTCTGCTGTCCACCCTACTAAGCATACTCTAACGTGAAGAGAGCAAAGAGCAAAGGATTGTTATCACCTGTTGGAGGTAACAAGCAAAATCCATTTATTTGATACCTGTTTTGAAGGCACTTTGTTGTAGAAAGAAGTGTCATTGTATCATCAGATTCTCTCAATCTCTGATGTGCCCAAGGGAGACAGTGCTCACTGAGTAGCTTATTAGCTCTAGAGCAAGAGCTAGCTAGCTAGTGCAAATCTGAGTGTCTCCAGTATCTTATTAGCATTCAAGCAAATCCAAGTGCTCGTACTTGACATCTCACATGTATGTCGGATTCTCTAAACATCAAGGTCGACTTGACTCGACTTAAGTGAAGACCCGTCTAGATCCACTTATCATGCATACATTTAAACATGTACTTCATGCTTATAGTACTGTACTGTATTCATTCCAATCCAGTCGCTCCGAGCTCCGAGCGAATACAAAAAGAGAACATCCTGCTTTAGAAGGGTAGCTGTGGTAAACCTATGGTGAAAAGTACCATTTACTGTTCCAATTTATATTAGAATCTAATGTACATCGTACCTCATCTACCAAAGCTCTCTTTCTGCATGCACAGCCGTGATAAATACTAGTACCACCGAGACCAGATGCCATACAGTACTGTCACTGGTACCACCAGCCGGAATATAATATGCTACGGGCTTTTTTACATCCTTGCATTGCGATGCTCAAAGGCCCGACACAGAAGAATGAAAGGACGAAAGGATCTTCTCCCTCATCTCACACAAATCCCGAGAAAGGAAACTGAAAGCGAGCAACAACCAAACAACGAACAAACAGCATTACAATGTTTTTTTCCTCATCAAGAAGCTTGAACAGCACCAACAGCACTAACAGCACCAACAGCACTAACACCAACAGCAGCAACAACAGCAGGCATGGCATCAACAAAATTTCCGCCACCCAGTTAGCAATTATGAGGTTCGCACAGAGGTCCACTGCACTGAGAACGTCCAAGAGCCCCCAAGGCCGCAGAACAAAACTATCATCGCCCCTTTCTAGCATTCTCGGTCCTAAAGCAGCATAGGCTCCTCTGGTGCCTAGTGCAAGGGCGCAGGCCTTCGCCTCAATCATGAGTACTTGAACAAATTAGATAAGCTTGTAACAACATTTTACAATAAAGAGTTGACAACCATTTTCCCGTAGCCACTGCCTCAATTCTCCTATGGCCAGGCATTCTCGTGGACATTGATATTTGAGAATCTGAAGATGTCCAGCTCCTGCAGCCGAAGTGCGAGTTTTCATCCCAAGGAAGGCGCCGCTCATCGGCATACTGGCTGCCCCTGTGCAAGTCTGTTCCTCCCACGGGCATCCCTCACCGGGAGCCCATTGGAAAACATGCAAATGTCGCCCTTGGGATGCAGCCCAACAGAAAGGCTGCTAACTATTGCAAAAGTACCGCTCTACTTCTGATATTGCTGACTAGCTAGTTAGCCACTATGCTTCCGCTGAAGACGAGGCATCCGACAGGGTACTTGCCTGCCATTCTTTTTGGTACCCGTCAACGACTTCATCTAACTCCACCCAGCTTTCCTCAAAGAGAGGACCGCTGATGACTCGCTTTGCCATGGACACTTTCGGTTCTTTGTGGAGAGGGTTGTTGCACAGGTCAATCGTCTTTGCGGTAGCCTTGGTCTCGTCAGAGCACCAAGATTCGCACCATAACCATTCTTGCGGCAAGGAAAAGATTGGAACAGAATGTTGTGCATAGTTGGGTAAGTCTTGGTCAAGGTTGGCCAAACTGTTGGGGTCGGCACTCAGTTGCTGATAGACACTTCTCAGTTGGTCTCCAACCAGCTGCTTGCGGAAGCGCTGCAAATCCACCACGTACAAGGCTGAAATATGATACGGTCGACCCCTCAAGTGGCTTTCCCAGAATCCACCTCGCCAAAACTGGAATCCCAGGGTGGACTCACGACTTGAACACATGGGGGTGTAACCGTACGGCGCCCCCTCCAAGTCCATATCCCACAGCTCTTTCAAATCACCCCTCACCACTTGGTCAGCGTCAACGTATATGATCTTCTTGACACTGAGTGGGAAGAGGACATCCAAGAACAAAATCTTGTATCCCCAAATGATGCGTTGCTTCTCACTTTGATCTCGCAGCCATTCTGGCCACTTGTAGGTAACAAACTCTACTTCGCATCCAATCTGAGCTGCCATGTATCGCGCTGATGATTTGAAGGAGGGCGACAAGAAGTTCTCAAACAACCAAAACTTCACCTTGGTAGATGTACGCCTTGTCACGGACAGCATCATAATCTTTAAGAATCGTTCGTAAAGGTGACCAGTAGCCAAGGAAAAGACATTGATGACTTCGTCTTCGTCCTCTGATTTGCTGAGCGCGTCCGACGAAAAGAGTTTGGCCTTTTCATGCCCTTTGCGGCGTTGCACCAGGAGCAACTCACCGCGGTTGACAAAGTCCTTCATTACAACTTGCTTTGTTGTGTTGTCTGCAAGCTTGCCCAAGACCTTCAGCTGCCCTCTTCTTACGATCCCATCAACGATGTCAAAGATTTCGGCACCCTTGGAATCCTTGGCAATCTGTACTTTCCAAACTCCAGGGTTGGCTCGAAGCTGCCAGTACCCAACTGTCTTCATCACCAAAGTATCCGCATGAGGAATGGCAGTTTCAGTGTCTGTTTCGTCTTCAATACCAGGCACCATAGTGTCTGCTGTATGAACAGTTCCATCCATGCCAACTTCGACGTCTTGGGGGGCGTCTGCCTTTGGCAAATCCAAGTGGAGGTCCTCTTTACGGGTCAACGTAAGTTGCAACCCATTTGGCGAAGAGCCTTTCGTTTCATAACACTGGCCAAAAATCAAAAGACTATTCAGTCCGAATTCCACATGCGTGATGTGATCCCTCTGGTGAATCGGGATGCTTTCGTCCGCCAATCCCATATGGGCATCGTCACTGCATCCCGACCTCACATCGCACCGCAAATTGTCCGTGTCCTGGGCCACGTTAGATTGTTGGACGTCCCATGATTCCGGGACATCCATGCGAAGTGTGAGAGTGTGCTCCATGGGCAGATTGGAGAACAAAGCTTTGGGGGGAGAGGAATCCTGCAACGCCAATGGATCGGCAACAAATCGGTAGAAGCTAGTGATGGGTGCTTTGCCATCGGCGTCGAGGATTGTCCGTGGAGTCAACACCAAAGTTACTGGTAGGTTCAGTGCGTCCCTCAAAACACGAAGCAGCGGCGCAAGCCTCTGGCACGTTTCTGAAGTTGGGTCAACAAAGGCTGTAATTTTCAACTGTGGAGGAATGTAAAGAATGTTAGTCCACGACTCTAACTCTGATGCATAACTTCGGAACGAGAGCAATGAATACACGAATATACCTGTAAGACGTCATCACCACCATCATTCCACGAGTAGCGAAGTGGATTCTTCTCCAACTTGTACTTCTTCTCCAAGTCGTTAACATCGTCCTCTAGTCCCAGCCGTGCGAAGGAAGCGACGGCCGATTCCATTGCCAAGTATGAGATGGTTCGCGCAATGGCGTCACACTTTTCAGGAGTTTCCGGGGCAATGTCATCTGCCAGGTACGCTGTAACAGCTTTGGAATAATCGAGGTCAAGAGAAATCAGAAGCTCGATGTCATCTTTTGTCACCGACGAGGCTTCCAAAGCGTAGAACAAGCCATTGCTCACAATCATGTTGTCGCTAGGAGCACTCGTGACGGTTTCAAGTCTCGAGCAGACCCCTTCAGAAAGGTTTGCTTCCATTGATTGCTTCAAATCGTTGGAAAGTCCGGGAATGTTGTCCAACAAACTCTCCAAGGACAAACCCTCTCCCTCTGCTGCCTTGTCCAAGACAGCCAAGAGGGCCTCACTGCCTATCTCCCCTGCCATCGCCAAAATGGGACAGAGTTGCTTGGCACCTTCAGTCGCCTTGCTGGGTATAATGCGATATCCAATCTTTGCTTCGATCTTCTTGCTTCCGGTACTGTCCGATATTGCTGTTTTGAATGTGGACATCACTGATACGAGCGATTTCGCCAGCTGGATGCCTTGGGCAGTACCGACATCGAGGAGAGCGTCAATGACAAACACCGCCTTCACCTCCTGATCTTCGGTTGTGCTCGAGGCGATCAAAAGGGACGAGGCATCAAATTCGTGTGGGACTTTGAAGTAGGATTCACTTTTTTCTCTGGAATCCATGAGAAGAGGATGGACACTTTTGTAGACTCCTTTGCCGGAGAGGAAGAATCCATAAACAGACTTGGGCGTCGAATCTTTGATTTCTCCCGATTGAATGAGCATTGCGATATTCTGCATCTCTTGATTGAAAATCTTTCCCGCCTTGTCAAACACATCTTGCGGATCACCTTCTGGCATGGGACGGCCATTGACAAAACTCATTCCAGGACGTAGCCCCTTATCGACAGCAAATCGAAGTGCTTTGCCATAAGTAGGTCGAGTAGCATCATCACTTTCTTCCGCCTTGCTCAAGAGATCCAACGCCTTGGTCATGTGTTTCGATGTGCTACCCATGCCCATTCCACTCATGGTGCTGGCATGCGTCTGCAATAGGTCATACAGCGTACATTGGCCCGCCAATTCCTTCTGCTCTTCCAAACCCTTCATCATGTACTCCATGTAGGCATCAATCAAATCGTTCGGATTGTCCGAGGCGATCAGATCAGCGACTAATCGGTGAAGCGCCCGCGTCGATGCTGGAATGGCCTCCAACTTGTCCTTGTCTTTGGTCGCGACCTCCAAAATGGGCTTGTCGTCAAAGATGGGACAAGGTTCCCCTTCATCGCTATCCGGATTGGCAGTCACCCATTCGGCACACGCCTTGACATCCTTCGCACCCACCAACAGCATTCCCAATCGGGCGGGATAGTTTCCTTGCATGAGTTGTTTGCCTAGCGTCATACCCACATTATCCGTGTCATCCTCGACGGGATCCAACACTACGAGCACGGTGAATAGATTGCGTCGAATGGACGGTGGCATTCCAAACTGCATCGCCATGAACATTTGTCGTACGGATCGTGGCCATTGCGCGTACTTGGCATCCTTTTCGATATCATTCATATACATGACGGCTCGTTTCCAGCCCCGCCCCACGTCAATACGGAATACTTTGGATTCGGTTTCCGACGAGGTATCTTCGTCTCGTTCGTTGGTAAGATCCAAAAAGTCATCGCCCATGGTCCAGGCTTCCTTGACTTTGGCCAGCACTGCAGTAGATCCCAGATACGGCCCCAGTTCCGATTGCAACCGTTCCAATGACGCTTGTTCCTTGCGCAACAAATTCAAGAGTTCAAAAATATTAAAGGTGGGTCGCCCGAGATTGATTTGTCGTCCATTGACCAACAGAGTTCCACCACCTTGTGGCAGAATGGACGCCAATTCTTCTTCAAACTTTTCGGCAATTTCCTGCACATCTTCGGCCACGTGTAAATGGACCAAAGTGGACGCGACACTGGGCAAGTTCAAGGATACTTCTTCCAATGTCATGAGCGGATCCTTGGACGCGGCAATCACCGTAGTCGCCTGGAGTGGTAACTTTCGACGTTGCCAATTGGGAGGGATCAAATTGGCTTGTTGAGCTTCGTGCTTTTTCCAGAGTTCCTTGAGCAAACTACTACTATTATCGTCATCTTCCACTTGAACATCGTCCAGTCCCAAAGCTTGGAGATTGACGCCTGCCAAGAATTGTGGTGGCGTTTTTAGATCGGTGGCGGACGTCAAATTCAAAAACGTCTCTTCCCCCTCGTCATCGCCGGCTGTTTTGCGATCGTCAAATACCTTGTACTCGACATTGCGAATATCCAATCGAACACCATATCCCTGCAATACAGTCGGGCTGGTGGTCTCATCGGGTCCAATTTCTTCGTAGTGGACCGCTCCCAAGTGGCGTACCACAAAGCGGATATTTGTTGTTGTCGCGGATGCAGTTGTATCGGCCAATAACTTTTGGTAGGCATGTGCAAATGCCGTCGAACCCAAATTGGCATACAAGACGACGAGTATTTGTGGATTGTTACTGTTGTCGCGTCCAAATGGAAATTCTCCTGGCAACAATACGTGTGGCAGATAATCATCATCGGCATCCGTGGTGACGACCGTATGCGACAATGCCGACCAATCGGCTGTTGGTAATTCTTCTTGGAGTGCCAGTGCCCCTCCCGGATACACCACGGCAAACGCTTGTCGGTCACCAAACGTCGCCAACGCATGTAGCTGATGCAATGTTTGTCGGGCCAATCCGCGATGCAATTCACACTGCGGACTGTACGCTCTCATGGCCAGAGCGTACGCCAGTAATTTGTTATTGTTATTGTTGCCGCCAACCGTCTCCAGCACAAATTGAGTGGCATCGTGGTAGCTTTGAAACGACGATTGTTCGTCTGACGCTAATAGTTTGTCGGCCAAACGAGAGAGAAACTGTTGATTGGTGGCAATGGCGGCCGTTCGTTCTTGCAAAGATAATTCTTGCCGTGGTCCATCATTGCTGTAGGTGGTCTGATGATGCGCGTACGCTTCACAAAAGACATTTTGGGGATTGGAAGGCCACGAATTGGCGACGACACTGGTCTCGAGTTCGCGATTGAGAATGGGAGATACCAACATCGAGACATCTTCTTCGGGTTCTTCTTGCACTGGTTCTGATTCACTGCTCAAACTTCCAAACCAAGGAGCGGCATGACAAGAGTTGATCAGTTGGAGTAGTAGCACCCCCCACAGCAGGGTCTGTAGAAGTAACATCTTTGGCTGGGGTTTTCTCATCGTTGATCTTAATGGAAACCGAATGGATTCTCTCCAAATCTAATCTTCTCACGCGGTGCCCAAGTCGAGTTGGAGACTGAGGAATCTAATCAAGAAGGAAGGACAACAGTACTGTAGTCTATTCCTATCTCACAATCTAGAGCACCGGTAGCTACCACCGCTTAGTTAGACAATGACAGTCATGGAAGGCCACTGAAAGATTTGCAGGTTTTGGGCGGTCGCGGATCTTCGTTGGATCCAAAACCCTAATGCTACTGCCCTCAGTAGGGAACGGGTTGAACACTGACACGCTTTGACCCTTGCGACCGAGAGCGACGGAGAGAACAACAGGCAACAGATATTTTGAATGCAGATTGATAGCTTCTTGTAGCTGGTGGTCTATTAGGTTCACACTGCTTTTGGCTTTGTCTTCCAACAGAGTCAGGTTCTCTTGTTCTTTGACTCTTCCAAGTGCTGTGCCGATCGGTTTCAACAATATTCTAAAAGCCAAGTCAGTTCTACCCAACATGAAACTGTTTGCGGTCGTCTTCTTGTCACTGTGGCTGGCTGTTAAAGGATTTCAGCCGCTCTCCACTACTAGGTTGGTGCATAATCCTAATAATCGAGCATCCTCGTTTCGACAATACCATGATCCATCCTACCCAAAAATTGACAGTTCCCCACCCGTTGCTCGCATCGACATGACAACCTCGGATGATAATGATACTGTTGTGGATCCAGTCGAAGCCAGCAAGATTTTGACCATGTTGGGATACCGCGTGGGAGCACTCATTTTCATGGGGTGTGCCTTCATGATGGTTGGCTCCCACAAAATGGCATTGCCACTGGCCTGTTACATGGCCGCTGGCCCCATATTGGCAGCTGGCGTATCCTATTGCCTGGAAGGAGCCGCGGTCAATGGCCGACTCCATACCGAAACCTCCAAACGATTAAACTTGAGCTTGGGGCTTTATGGATCACTGTGGTTATGGTGTGCCTGGTGGATTCACAAAAGTCAACTCAAGGCGGTCATGATGACGAGTAGTCCATGGGTACTGGTGGCCGCCGCCATTACAGTGGTCAATAGCCTGAAAGCATGGGCATTTGGTGCTTCCAAGGAGAGACATCCCATACAGGACTTGTTCTCCACTGTGAATTCATCCGCTGGGCTACTCGTTTCCAATAAGGGATTGGCGGGATGTGTCTACCTCGTGGCCACGTGGATGGTGGGTGCCTTTGGAATTGTCGAAGCCACGAGTGCCTACAACTTGCTGCGCTCTGGTGGTACCATCACGGCTGCAGCTCTCTCCACAAACATGTTCCGGTTTTCTCTGTATTCTACGTTATTTGGAGTTCTTCTTTGTCTCAAGGATGGTGGAGGTACGTACCGGTAGTAGTGTTGGTTTTGGAAAAGCAAGGGGACTTTTTGATCGGGTCGGCTCATCCAACCGTATCTATCTTGCTTGATTCGCTTCTTGATTCATTCGATTCTTCTTGGCTGGTCAAATAATCAGACCGAAAAGTGCTGGCTGCGTCGACTTTCATTGAATTAAATGTACTGACATCTTATGTACTCGGTGTAATGGGGGGTAAGTTTGACTTGACTGACTAACGACGTGATTCATTGATGTATGGTGTTGATCAGTGAAAGCAGGTTTGATGGAACGATGTAGCTCACTCGCTTCTTGCTGCTTGCTTCCTGTGCAGTCTACTTTTACAGCGTTGGATCCATTCCATTGGGCATTTCATCTATTTTCTTCTCTTTCTTTTCCGCAACACTGGGCCTTCTCAACTTCGGGCCCTCAGGGATCGCGGCGCAATAACATCCTGAACCACCAAAAACGTGGTTCTTTGGTTCTGTATGTTAGTTAGTGCAGTGGAGATACAGTGGAGGACGTAGACAAGTCACAAGTTTGCCATGCAGATATTATGTGATGATACGCTTACCCAGCACAGCTTACAGTACTGGTTTGGTTGTTGAACCTTCTACGGGAACTCAACGCTGCCAGGCATGTCTGTTCTCTCACGATCACTCTTAGAAGTCAAGTGGGCTCATGCCATGAGTCGAGTCGAGTCGTCAGAGTATGGTCACTCAGAGCTTCCAGTTTGCCATTTTGAAACTGCTCTTCATACTAGCTAGCTAGAGAACAGATCGCTTATCCTTTTTCAGCTGCATATATGCATGTCCTTTTATCTATCCAAGTACAAAAAATCGTCTGATGCATACCAGTACGACTGTACATGGAAGATTCTCTTCCGGCACTGAATCAAAATTTCTTTGTTGTAGATTTGATGCATCCTCTTCTTGCTGAATGCACCAACAAAGGCTACCATGCCAACGAATGGAAGAATCTCGTTACACCAAATTTCCTCATGCTCAAAGAAAGCATTGATGTCAAGAGCCAGCGAAATTTTCTGTGTAGGAGTATCGATTGCGGGCTCAGCCAGCTTCAGTACCGGGAGCAGTACCGGCAAGCTCAGACGACATGACCCGACGACGACGATGATGGATTTGATAGGGGAGTGCCAAGAGAGTTTCAAGGTTGATCTTGTCAGGCCAGCCCCGACAATTCCTGATCTGGTCTATGGATGTGCTGCTGTGCTGGTCTGCGGGACCGCGTTTGAACTGGCTCCACCACGGGCACTCCACTCTATGCATGGCTCTATCCCAGTCAACCCACAGCGTGGAAAACGCGGAGCGACGAGCACCGCAACTTGGTTCCAATAACAGGATCTGAAGCGGAAGCCCGGGCAGACTTGTTCAGCGTGGGGAATCAAAGGTTGATGCCATTGGGAAAGGTTGATGCCACGGACAAGCAGTTTCGACCTCTGACTAAGCCATCTGTTATTACGATTTAGGGGAGGCAAAGGGACCATGTTTTTCCGACAGATGCTTGCATGCTAATCTATGACAACGCCAGTCCCCAGTATCCAGCTACCGGTACTAGCTATTAGTATGCATACCTGGTTGTGGCTAGTACTGTACCAGGTACTGGAGTATTCGATAAAGTTCAAGAATGCACAGGAATGAAAGCTCAGGTAGTTCTGGTAAATATAAGGACAAGGCTACTACTGACTCTTTCAAAGTTATAGTTGTATTTAAAATCATTTTACCTCAACTCGACATCCTGGCTGGAGTAAATTTACTTGGCTTCTCGAACATTCAAATGGCAATCCAGTATCTGAGTTCCCAGGGTCAGTTGCCTCGATCCAAGCAGCAAGCCTCTGGAATTGAACTATGTCATATAATTGCCTACCGCTACCTCGAAACGATGCTCCTGATTGAACTCTTTGAAAACTGGACACGAGCTGCAGCATTTGCTGCACTGTTGCTCGTGCTCTCTATTGGTGTGTATCGTTGGATCCACCCTAAAAAATGTGCCAAAAAGTTTCCTACCATGGCCCCAACCGGCACCTTGAAAACAATAGCAGCATTGGCATCAGCCGACAATCCATGGTTCATCTTCAGAACTGCCCAGTCAATAGGGGTGTCTGTCTTCCGTTTGCCTCTACAGTTCCTCTGGGGGCCCATGTTTGTGGTGGTTGGTGATGCCAAGTTGGCTCGAACTATTCTTGCTGACAAGAAAACTGAGAGGCCTGCTTCAATCACCGGTAAGAAACTTTGAGACAGACTAAAGCGATCATACCTCTACTCTTAAAAATCATGTTTCAATGTTGCTGAGCCTTCACATCTCTTGTTGTTATGTTCAGCCTCATCCGACTACATTACCAATGGGGCCCGTTCCTTTGCTTCAACCAATGGGCCATTCTGGCATGTACGCCGCAAGGGTGTTACTCCAGCCTTCTCCTCTAGCCATGTTCAACGGATGAATGCAGTTGCTGTGGCCAAGTGTGATAAATGGATTGAAGAAAGATTGAAACTCCTCATTGACAAGGGAAAGTCCTTTGATGTGGGGGATGAAATGCTTGATATGCTTCTAGTTGCCGTTTGTGAAACTGCTTTTGAGTATACAATCTCTCCTGATGAAGTTAAGATGTTCAAGCATGACATGGATATTGTATTGCTTGAGTTTTTGTTCAAGGCCCTTTTCCAGCCCTGGCGTAGAGTCCTTGGAAGGGTACTTCCAGCTCATCGCCGAGCTCGGTTGGCGGCTACACGGATTCAAAACCTGAGCTTCAAGATTATTGAGGCATACAAGAAGCTAGACAACCCTACTGAAGGGACCATCATGAACCTCATCATGTGCAACCAGGCTTACGAGAATGATGCAGAGCGAGCTGCTGACAGTAAGTAACTTGTTCACTTGTAGAGGCGCCCATTTGCTTTCCAAATCATGCACCTCTCATTCCATCATTATCTTGGCCTGCCTATCTATCTACCTTGGATGTGCATATGTAGTCACCATGATGCTGTTTGTTGGCCATGACACAACTGCAAACACATTGGCCTTTACCCTTAAGGAACTTGCTCAAAACCCACAGCAGCAGGAAGCACTCAGGCGTTCTATCCGTGAAGATGACCTCCAAGCACCCCACCAGCTTGAAAGCGTCCGCAACACTATCCGTGAAAGCATGCGCTTGCACCCAGTGTCTGCTGCTGGAACCATGCGGGTTACTGGAAAGGACTTTGTAACCATGGATGGCAAACTCATCCCTGCTGGCAGCATTACCCAAATGGCCTACATGATCATGATGCGCGACCCTTCTGTCTTTGGCAAGGATTATGACCAGTTTATTCCTGCCCGCTGGGAGAAGGCCACACCGGAAATGAATCAAGCTTTTTTGCCCTTTGGAGCAGGACGCCAGAACTGTGTAGGCCAGTCCTTGGCAAATGCTGAAGTGAATTGCATTCTTCCTCGCATCATTTCCCAATTTGAGTTGACTGTTGATGAGCCAGGTCAAAGTGAATGCTTCTATTCCGTTAAGCTAGGTAAGTACTGCCGCCACAACAACAGAACACGTGTATATTTGGCTTGGCTTGAAAGAAGAAGGTTCTAACCTGACCTGTTCATGATGTGTCTGTTGCAACAACGGGACTGTGTAGTCAATTGCAAGCTCAGAGCCAAGCCTATTTCTCAATCATGAGATGGGGATGGAATCAAACTCAGGCTGCCCCATCATGATTTAGTTTGCACCACTTCAGTCAAATGGAGATATTCAGAGGATCTTTAGGAACTATAGTTTTCGTTATAACCCACCGGTAGCCAACCCAAAACAAGTATCATCAAGCAACCGCAGCCAGGCAAGCATGACGCGCGGAAGTAGATCCAATTCAAGCGTAGCACTAGCTAGCTGGTAGTTTCTATCGACGGAAAGGAGCCACCCTCCTGGCAATGAAAAAGCTACATTCTTTTATCCGAATCCGGCACGTGCACTTGCGTTGGTCATCTGTGACAACTGGGGAGCGGCACGGGCTGGTAGGTTTTTGGCGGTAACATACATTGGTACGGTCCCTGCAATTGCGACGCATCATTGGATGTTACTGATGACTGGGCGTTGCCGAGTGACAGTCAATGACCGCTTCGCTTTTGGCTTTAGCACTCGCACTGTTTGCTGCATTTGATAAATATAGGCTCCCACCAGGTCAGGCGAATGAGGATGTCAAGCGCAAAGCGAACATCATTGCTCAATCCGAAGATAGCTGTACGACCTTCTCGAGGAGCTGCCTCCACTAGCTAGCTAGATATTGGAAGGTGTGGGTAAAGCAGCTAGTAGTAGTGGCAATGATGTAAATGTAAATGGAACTACTAACAGGACTGTTTCTTTTGATTAGCTAGCAAAGGACAACTCTGGCTAGGTCCACGACCATCAACAAAGAAAGTAAGCGTTCAAAACTTGGGGGGGTGTGCGTGGTCGTGGCTGCGTCAAAAGTTCCATAATGTGTTTTTGTGCGTGTGTGTATGCAAGGGAAAAAGCTATTGCGGTGTGTGCGTGCGAAAGGTAATAATATGTAGGTAGATATGCAAAAAGGTAGGTAGGTAGATAGGCCAAAAGAGAGTGCGGTTGGTAGGTGGTGGTTCTCTCTGTGTGCAAAAAAAGAGTGTTCAAAAGAGCTTTCAAAACAAAAAAGCGTTCGTTTCGTTCGTTCCACTACTACTTGCCCGCGGTCCACTTTTTCTGCTGTTGCTGTCGACGATTTCCTTGAATCTCCGAGAGTGCCGCCTTGAGTCCAAAGCGGGCATCGAGTGTCGGACGAACGTCTTCCAAAGGCTCGAGTTCTTCAAGTAGGTCGAGTACAGCAGGTAGTGTCTTGTCGGCGGGGTCGTTGTAAAAGGACGAAACCAAAATTCCATTGGTAGGATTGGCCAAAAATGACAATGGGTTGTTGTCTACGAGTACGACGCGTCGTAGGTGATGATGAGGGTCGGCGCTGGTGTTGTTCTTTGTCGATGCAATGTATTCCTCATAGGTCAGTCCCGTCGTCGTCTTGTTGCTCTCGTTCTGTTTGGTCTTGAGCGGCAACGAGTTGAGGTTCTTGACAAAGGCGCCCATGTTGGTGTCCAAATCACAAGACTCCCGATAGAATCGTCGTGCGAATCGATCACCATTGGGATCGAGCTTGTCGAGAATGGGTTCGGCGTAGACTTTCATGGCGGCCGTGTAAATGTGTGTCTCGTACTTGTCCGTGACGGCCTGCAAAAAGTCTTCCAAAAAGGGTCGCTTGTTGACTTGGACTAGATCACCGTCGGGCAAATGAAAGCGGAACGAGTCAACTCGTCCGGAAGCGCCTTCATTGGCACTGTTGGAGTTGCGAGCCACTTGATGCGCGTAGAACTTGGCGCCGGGATTGTTGGTCAAGAACTGCGAGTGAATGAGACACTCGTCCATGTCCAAGACCACAATGAGATCCGAGTCATACTGGCGTGCCGGGCGGTCCTCTTCGTCATCGAGGTAGTCGTAGTCATCGTCGTATTGCAGTGCTGCGGCGGGTGCATGGTGGACCAGTGGGCGGGTGCGGTTGATATGGTCGAGGTCTTTGACGTGAAAGGCTACGGCTTCGCCTCTTACTGTGGGGCGTCGTTGTGCAGCTCCACGGGCGCGAACACAAGTGCTGTAGAAGAGCCGTGCCGCTATCTTGGAACCGCCATTGTTGTGGCTGCCATGGCTACCTGCTTGGAAGGATCGAAGCAGGATTTGTTGGGTGGTGCGAGCCGAGACCGATACTAGCATACCTCAGTTGGTTGTTACTTCTTAGTTTGATTGATTGATTGGATTGATTGGATTGAGCTTCGCGTTCTATGACAACAAACACAAAGACACTCTCAAGATGTCCTGCTGCCGCTTCGCTTTTGTTCGTAATCAAAAATGGCCACAGCCTTTTACTTTTGTGTTGTGCTGTGAATGAGAAACACCCACGAGACACTAATGTTTCGTTGTGGTTGGTTGTTCCAGTTTGCAATTGTGCTGATGATCGAGTTTTGGAGTGTGCTTCTTCGCTTGGTTTGGTTGCTTTGTCCACAAAAAGGATTTGGGAGTGACCCTTAAATAAACATTGAGGAGAAAGTGGTGAGTGGTGCAATTTCAAGGTGGCATACCGTGTGTTTGGTAAGTCAATCAGAAGAGGATGTCATCAGAGAGGAGAGGGAAGGTCGAAATCGAAAATCAACATGTAGCTTTTCATCAGTGAAGCTCCAACATGGACAAGCCACAAAGTGGTTTTACCTTGCTTTGTTACGGTTTAGTTATTAGGCAAGGTAGCGGCACGCTGGACAAGTCATACTCAGAGTAGCCTTAAAAAATAGAATTCTACTGCATGGTTTCACCTTGGTTTGCTAACCCAAGTGACCATATCTTTTCATAATGCCCCTATCTCAGCCAAAACTCAGCCAAAACTCAGCCATTTTGAACATTCCTAATTTTAGAGCATATTTCAAGAGACATTTCCAATATTTTCCCATTGAAAAATCAAATCAACATTTTTACGCATAAAAAGAACCTGACACACGGCAGCTGAGGAGTACCCACCCGTGTACTCTCTTCTTGCACAGTAACCGTGTCAGAATTCTTACAAATAGCGTGACTCAGCAGTCACAAGCCGTGACTGAGTGAGTCACTGCTTCAATTCCGGCAAAAGCTTGTGCCTTCCCTTGAACCATGGGAGCTACGTAGCCCTAACCTTCGCCCACACAGTTGAAAATTCACACGGCTTTCCCCTGACACGGAAGCAGTGATGTCACCGTCGCCACTGGCGACGGCGTGGGAGTGGAAAGTATGACGGTATCATTGGTATGGTACATGGTACATGGTACCGTACGGTACCGAAAGAAGCATACGGTACGTCACCTGGCTCAGGAGCTCGCTTTGGTAAGCAATATGCCTGAGCTGTACCGTACCTGGTACCGGTATGCCAACAAGTACCACCGTCTCCTCCAACGCTACCAATGATGGTTTGGCTGGGCATCATCCGTGTGCAAAAGTAGCTTGGTCCATTTCGCAATCGAGCTCTAGCTAGAGGTGCAAGGGCAACATTCATCCACACATCATAGCCAGGACTTCCGTGAATCCCACGGAAGCACAATAGCTTGTCCGCCCACTCCCTGCATTGGCGATCAACCCGCGGTTGACTCCCACTCGGAAGAAACCAAACAACTCAGAAGAAACCGCCTATGGTAGCTCGTCTTCGATAAGAATTAGAAGTGTTGATCATCTGGCACATGGAGGAAGCGGCGCTACGAGCGCGCTATCTGGCGCACCAGAACGCAAATTCAGTCTGGCAAGCTCGTCTTGATCAAAATGTTGGTAATCCATCTGGAAAACGGAGGAGGAAAAGGCTGCAGCATGAAGACACCGATTGAGAGGGAGGCAGGGGGTGAGGACGCCAAGTCTTCCCGCCTTTCGTGGCCGTTGTCAGACCGCACCTCTTCGCCCACCGTATGGAGGCACATCGTAGCTACGACTGACTCGAGCCATTCCATTCGTCCATCTCTTTCAGCAGAACGGGCAGTTTTTTGAAATCTACCGAAGACTTCGTTCATACCATGACGTTCTGGCTGCGTAGTTGTCTAGTGCTAGCAAGTTCACCGCAAGGTCAGCCCAAAGATAGGTATCATAGAGTGCCTCGTTGCCGTCGGCAGTCTCACCCGTACCGTACCTCTTCTGCCAGCTATGGAGGCACATCGTAGGCGCAGACATCAGTCTATTCAGCAGAACGAGCAGACCTTTTGAAAGCCACTGACAGAAGAGTTGGTTTACACCATGGCGTGCTGACGATGCTACGTGGTTGTCTATTGCTGGCCCTGCCTGATGTGACCTCTACCGATACTTGGGAAGGTTTCGCGGAGGAAAGACTATCTCAGATGATACAAGTTCAGTACAGTATGTGCGACCGCAAGGTTAGCCTGAAGGTATAGTGGACATTGAGTGCCTCGTTTGGGCTAGACTTAAGCTGTGTGGGGAAAACGGGTCAGAAGATTTGTTGTGGGGCCGTTTTATTTAAAAAAGCGCAGAGGTGCGACCCTCCTTCCGCCCAGATTTGATTCAAACCCCGTTCAATTCCCACGCCTTGCCTGGTAACATCGTAATTCTCGGAGTGTGAGGCAAGTGCTGCCCTCGATAAAGCCCATCTCTACCTAGCCCAGGTAGAAGGAAAGAGCTTGGCATGATGTGTGCTCTCTCGTTCTAGAGGAAAGTTGCACTTATGAACTTCCACCACCATTTCTTTAATGCTTCCTCCATATCAAACTATAGATTGCTTCAATGATATCCCATGCTACTAAATCCGCATGTCCACCTTTGTCACCAAAACATCTGGGTCCTTTGCTATACAGCTCATGTTTGGTGTCTGTCAGACAAGTGCCCACATTCTCAATAGTGGAAGTCGCACATTCCCCCAGTACCTCCACATACTTGCGAGCATCAATGGCCATTAGATTGGTGCGTTTGGCAAGTGTTGTTGTCTGCTCTTCTTCTTCTTCTTCCAACCGTCGTTGTCCTCCATGTCCTACTTTCTTTTTCTTCTTTTTGGTGCTGGTTTTCTTTGTAGTAGTACGGGGTGGCGCCACTTTGTGAGCGAGTCGTTCTTCCGCTTCTTCCGTCAACCCCTCGTGCTGTTCGGCTTGTGGTTTTTGATAGGCATGTTCCAATTGTGCCATTTTGTGATTGTCTCTCGTGGCATCTGCTGGCAGTGGTCGTCCCTCCTTTAACGCATCAATGACCTCTACCACTCGATTATACTCTTTTGTTCCATAGGGTGCAAACCAGCTCACATAGAGAATGGGTCCTTCATACGCAATCCCTCCTTCGGTGTGGTCGGATGGCAGTAACAAATCGACCAAATCAATGGGCTCCTCATTAACGGTATCGGGCACCGTCCAATCATCTTCAAAATCCATCCAGAATTCTTCCAATGCCACGCCATATTTTGGCGCATACCGAAAGAATTTGGACATGACGACCATATCCATCATGGCCAATGGCATGTTGAGAATGTGTCGTTCCAACAAGTCTTGCCACTTATCATTGAGGTACACAAAGGGTGGATTGATGACGACAAACATGTGAATGTTGGGATGCAATATAATTTGCCAGGCATGACTTTTGGTCGATGGTTGTCGGGATGCGTAAATGTGTCGCACGGATATAACCCATTCGGAGTATTGACACAACAGAGCGGCGACGATTTGTCGCAACTGCGTGGATCCCCAAAACAAAATGAATGTGGGTGGCGTGTCACTGGCGGCAATGGCCGCGTGCGTCGGGATGGGTGTCGAGCGACGACCCCACAAGCGAGAACTGCTGGTGGATGTAGTCCGTGCGGCCTTCATATCTATTAGTTCCTGCAAATCGTTACCAAATTTGTCATAGGCAGGACCGGCACATTGATAGGGGATTTCCAACGGCGCCACATCTCTGGATAAGTGTACCCGTGGTTGTCCCACGGGAGGAATATTGCCATCGGCGAATGCTTGACACGTCCGAAATCCGTCGTCTCGCAGATGGTACGGCTCTTTCGGTGGTTCCACAAGGTCGTGTGGGGATTTCTTCTTCTTTTGCTTTTGCTTGACTTGTTTGGATCCTCCCATCGTTATAGTAGATGTTGCATCTCTTTGAGGCAGTACCACACAGGCGCACATGATGAAAAGGCATAGTAGAATCAAGTTTCGTTTTTGACATAACAGACAGCATCGTGCACACCAGCTACTACTAGTAGAGTTTTTAGAGGATGTATTGAGAGCGGGAATAGTAGAGGATCCTCCTCCATTGGATGCATTGGGGAGCACCATCGTGCAATTGGATTTTGTTGTTTGTGGATTGAGAAAGATGTGAGCTTCGAGATCTTGGGTTGATCGTGGTGTGAAAAAACAGGTCATTCGGGATCGGTTTGAGAAAATCGGTTTCGTACAAACCGAAACACGTCCGAAGTGGAGTGAGGCTTGGACCAACCATGCAAAGAAAGAGCAAGATAGTCAAAGATGACAGAGATAAGATGTCCAACCCTCTTGACTACTCGAAATGGGACAAGATCGACTGTAGCAGCAGTGACGATGAAGAGCAAGAGAATCTTGGAGCTCCCCGAGTGACTCGGCTGGATGCCCCTAGCCGAGTGACTCGGACCAGCAATGGTGACCTTGTGGTCGAAGAGCAAGAGCAGAAGATCGAAGAACCACTCATTGAAGAACTAGAAGTGTCCGCCAAAACTGCTACTAGTAATAGCACTGCCAAGGGACCACCGAACGAGACACTCCAAAATACTACTAATATACCGGCGTCATGGACGGAACATGGAAGCCAAGAAACGCTAACAATCTCCCAACAAACGCTGTATTGGAGCCAAGACCGCCAATCCGTCTGTCTGAGACTGTCGTTGCCCACAACCAGTCTCAAGGGAAAAGATATTCGGGTCCAGCTCCAAGGAGTACGACGATATGCCGATCGAAATTGTGCCGTGGGGAGTGAATCGCCCTCTTCCATCCGCGTGACAACTACATGCACTGCGGATTCTCAAGTGTTATTGGAAGGCGAATTTCCCCATTTCATCCACGCGGCTGAAGATGACGATGATTTCGTGGACGCAGAAACTCCGTATTGTTCGTCGGATTGGGCCATTGATCGAACTACTGGTGATGCAGCATATTGGGTCATGACACTGCTAAAAGCGGTCCCCATGGACGGCATGACGATTTGGTGGCGGCGTCCCCTCACACAGTTTGACGAGATGGAACCGACAACAACCAACACGTCCACGGAGAAATCACAAGCGTTTCAGGCAGCCTGGGAAGAAGCTCATCGGCAATTCAAAGACAAGATGAAGCAAAAACAGACGATTCCATGAACCATCGTTTCATTGGAGGATTATTCTTGTGTTGGGGCAGCGGGAGCTAGCCGCCAATCATGTATATTTGGGGTAGAATTGGCAATACAAATCATACACACACAAGCTCAAACGCAACAAAAGCAACACTCGGCCAGAACCTAGAAATGGCACAGTTGCTCTGAGCTCCGGGCTGAGGGGCTCCTTTGCGCTAGCATTAAGGCAGTGCACGGGCCGAGCAATCTGAAATCGAAGCTAGGTTGCGTCCAAGGAAAACGACCATTGGAGGATACCCCATGACAACAAAAAATATCTAGTAGCTAGCTAGTAGAGCAACCACAAGTAAGGCGGTATACAAATAAAGATACAACTAAGGATGAAACTAATTGGTGCGAGTATGCCCGAGCTACCGTATGCGAAAACATTAGAGAATTCAGTCTGGCGCTTTTCTCCGGTGATGGCGTAGATCAATGGAATCATCCAGTTCGACTTGGGACTCCCAGCGGCAGTGCCACTCTGCCTCTGGGTTTTGAATGCTACCGTAAGGCAAGCCTGACCTTTTTGAGATTTCTCAGACTGGTCACGCTTCGAGCTGTCGGCACTTGCATGCATGCATCGCATTGGATCCTCGAGCTTCTCCTCTCTGCAAGATGTCTTGCCACGGACTTCAGGGGATTTCGACTAGCGAGAATGCGGAGCATAGATACTGTACGAGGAATACTTTCTCTTCAGGTGAAAAGATCCAAAATTTCTGGGTCACTTGCCATTTATTTCCATGTAGTGCACTAGCGTTTTCCTCATGGATAATGATTGTCCCTGTCTTCACTACTCAATAACCTGTCTCTGAAATTTTAACAACCACTGACGGTTTGCAGATTGTTGAAATCTTGTATTAGGCTGAGCTTCCTCATCTGACAAACCCAATGCATTTTTCAGTTGGAATCCACTAATCAAGTAGCTAGATAGCATCATATTGTCGTCCTCTTCTAATCCATCCATCATCTAATCAATATGTCTCTCATCTCCAGTTGCAGGCATGGACACACCACTTCTCTTGCTTTGTTCATCCTGCAGGTGAGCTCGGGTGGCAGGAGGCAACTTCCAAGACAGAAAGACAAAGAACAAGGGGATCAAAATGACTCGATTCATCACAAAAAAGATACGGCCAATCAAGGATGCTGTTGCCCAAAACTTGAAGCTGGCCACATAGGCCACAAAATCAGCCATGGACAGAATTCCAATAAAAAAGGCAAATCCTCCCATGGCCATTCCAATGCTGTTTGGCAAATTGCCCATGGTATTGACAGACCAAAAGATGCAGAGGAACATGAAGGAAAGCGCAAGATATTCCACAGCATCGACCCACAGAATCAATGCAGATGCATTTCGCCATGATACTTCCAAGGATTGCCATCCAACCTTGTCACCTTTAGTGTGCCAGTTTTCCAAGGTAAATTCGATAGAGACCCAATCGGCAGCATTAAAGGCTCCCATGTGCATCAATTGTGCAGTGACTTCCATAATGGCACCACCCAAGGCAAAGCAGACACATGCCACATGTAACCCTAGCTTGCGGTCACCACCCATGGACTGAACGATACAGAGATGCATGACAGGAGCCGTCAGAATCACCCAGGACGCGGCAGTAATCATTTTTGCAGCCACATCAAGCTGTCGGTTCTGACGACGCCATTCCCAATCTTTCAAGAGGAAATCAGGATCCATCTGTAAATATGCATATTGGTCCCAGTGCTCACGTTTCTTTTCTTTGAGATAGTAGATTGAAATGAGAAGGTTACCCAAAAAGATAAAGAGAGCTGCCAAGAGACAATTGAAGTCAAACATGCTTCTTCAGAATTACCAACGTAGATAAGGGAGGTACAAGATGATATATGAGGAAAGGTGCTAAAGAACCAAGGGAGAAACAAAGATCTTTTGCCGTAGTGGACTGCTTGTCTTCATCCATCCGCTGCCATGTGTGCCACCGTCCATGGTCCTGCTTCCAAGCGAAACGGCGAATCGAAACGGAACCGTCCATAAGCCAGTGCGGTGGCAAATACAGACACCAGTGTTGCTTCAAGACAAATACTTTTTCAACCAAAACTGAAGAACCACCAAGCACAATGACACCTTCCTTATCTAGCTAGCTGGTTCTGCATAGTCTTGGCTCTCCTGAGCCAAACACAGCTGTCGTTCAGCCTCCTCCCCACAGGCTGCCACAGTATCAATACCCTCCACCCAGCAACACTCCAGTTAATCCAGCATGGCCAAAGATAGTCATGAATAACAATTGTCCCTGTGTTCACTGCCCAATAACCTGTCTCTGAAATTTTAACAACACTACCGGCAGAAGCAAAGCCACTGACTGAATGTAGATTGTTTCTTGTATTAGGATGAGCTTCCTTGTTTGACAAACCCAATGCATTTTTATAGTTGGAATCCACCAATCGAGTAGCTAGCTAGATAGCATCATATTGTCCTCTTCTAATTCATCCATCATCTAATCAATATGCCTCTCATCTCCAGTTGTGGGCATGGACACACCACTTCCCTTGCTTTGTTCAACCTGCAGGCGAGCTCGGGTGGCAGGAGGCAATTTCCAAGACAGCAAGACAAAGAAAAAGGGGATCAAAATGACTCGATTGGCCACAAAAAAGATGCGTCCAATCAAGGATGCTGTTGCCCAGAACTTGAAGCTGAGCACATAGGCCACAAAATCGTCCATGGACAGAATTCCAATAAAGAAGGCAAATCCTCCCATGGCCGTTCCAATGCTGTTTGGCTGGCAAATTGCCCATGATATTCACAGACCAAAAGATACAGAAGAACATGAATGAAAGTGGAAGATATTCCACAGCATGGACCCACAGAGTCATTGCAGCCACATTTCACCATGATACTTCCAATGATTGCCATGTAACCTTGTCACCTTTAGTGTGCCAGTTTTCCAAGGTAAATGCAACTGACACCCAATCAGCAGCATTAAAGGCTCCCATGATCATCAATTTTGCTGTGACTTCCATAATGGCACCACCCAAGGCAAAGCAGGCACAGGCCACATGTAACCCTAGCTTGTGGTCACCACCCATGGACTGAACAACACAAAGATGCATGATGGGGGCCATCAGGAGCTCTTTGTGCATCAACTCGCGCATATCGTTGACAGAGGCGTTGCTAAGGTCGGGACGACTAGCTAGTGCGTGAATCCGCTGCATGTGAATGGAATCGATCAAAGTGAGATCTTTGCCACGCACCTCACCCTCACAACAAGGATCAACTCCTTCCACTGCAGGGGTGTGTTGGCGCTTGTAGGAGAAAAAAAGACATGCAACCACAGGTGCTTGGTGAAGGCCAACATGCGGAAACCAACAGCATATCAAAGAGTTTGGTTTAGATTACAGAATGGCACCGTAGGTCAATGCATCCACTTATGCATACTCCTTTTGACTTCTTCCTCTTCCGTCTCTTCCTCTTCCTTTTCTTGACATTTGGGAGTGGTACTGGCGTCTGGAGCAGTTCCATTGTCCTCTTCGCTCTTGAAGTTCAATGCAATCTGGAAATATTTTGTGGTTCCGTCATTGGGTGGGATCTATTACGGTAGCCAAGGTTTTCACCCCTTACTGGTACCCCCCCTGCTCTTAGCAAACACACGGCAACAGATGGGGGCCTAATGCACACTGTTTACCCCCTCTATACGGCCTTCCTAAAAAAAATCAAGATTACATTTGAGAGATCTTTCATCATTTATTTGCGGCTCGCACCAAATCACTCACTCACACTTTCCCTCAATTCAATTCATCAATGTCAACGCTCAGGGAGAGCCGAATGGAGGAAACTGAAGCCAACTTCCCCTCTATTCCGTAGGAATGATGATGGGCACAGTGAATATGCCCCCATCTGTTTTCGTGCGTTTGCTAAGATGCGAATGTCGAGGCTGCAGCAGCGGGGAAAGCCTCGGCCTCCTCTGCGAACTCGACAGACATCGAAACACCAACGATTCGATACGGAACGGGCCATTACCGGGCCAGTGACTGCATCGTGGCCTAGTAGGCAAAAGAAATTCGAGCACGCGGGCTACGTATCCATTCTGTGACTGACCGCTAGCTAGCTTGAAACAAGCAAACTAGGGGCAGGTTGTGTCTCTTAAAGAATTACTATCAAGGTCGGGCAACTTGGAAAATGACGCTTTCTCGAGTTGGCCAACTTGATAATGATGTGGTACTATACGGTAGCAATGGAGCACTCACTCTCTATGGCCGTGGCGGAGGACCAAAGATCGCACCAACCAACTGTTCAGCAGGACTCAAAGCGGGGAGTTCTACAATCTCATCGGGTGATACATTGGCTTCTTGCATCATTCCTTGTAGAGCCATGTACTTGTCAATGTCAAAGTAATCGATTGGAGACCCATAAGGAAATAAAGTACCCCATTTGAGCCGTAGCAGTGCCAACAATGGCCAAAAGGAGATAAAGAGAACGTAGGGTATGAGCACCGATGCATCCAGCATTGGCAGGGGTGGATACTCTTCTTCGTCAAGCTTGGTTTCTTCATTATCATTCAAGGATTCCTCATTGTTCTCGTCGTTTGGCTCATCCTGTGCAAACAGAGCTGTAGAAGCTCTTCGGTTTGGGGCACAAAGCCCATTTGACGCTGTTTGTTGCGGCAAAGTCGGAATGGACAGCGGCTTAAGAGTTGGAGAGAACGCCACGGAAGGACAAACAATCCATGATATCTGTAGGTATCCAATCAGAGCAATGACTTGGAACCCATGGTACCCGAAAGGCACCTTCATAGCAAGGTAGGTAGTTAGTTGTTGTTGCTGTTGTTGCTGGGTGCTGCGGTGTGCAAAGAAACCAGCGAACTCTTTTGAACGCGGAGTGGAGTTCGTGCCAACACGTCATCATGACGGTTTAGAGAAACTGTGCGTGCTTTTGACCGGCCCGATTTTACCCCTTACCGCCATACTGAACGCTTCAAAGGCGAAGCCCCAAACAGCTTTTCCAAGAAGTGAAGGAGCCGATCAGCAACTCCCAAGACACGCAACGAGCCTTCACAAAGCTCTTGTAGCTCTCCCAAAGCCAAACTATTCAAGTACTATCGTAGTAGTAGTAAAGGGTTGTCGTAGTCAGTTCAAAGCTGTACATCGTCTATAAACACCATGGGCCCTCCTCCGTCTGATGATGTCAAAATCGGTACGTTTTCTGTAGTGTTGTCGTTCGTTTCCATTCCGTCTCTTGGGTGAGCTGAGGTGCTGACCTTCTGCTGTTATTTGTGCTATCCATAGTGATTATGCGCACCGTGGGTGGTGAGGTTGGTTCAGCCTCCTCCCTTGCCCCCAAGATTGGTCCTCTTGGTTTGTCTCCCAAGAAGGTTGGTGAAGATATCCAAAAGGCCACTTTGGACTGGAAGGGTCTCAATGTGACGGTCAAGTTGACGGTGGTCAATCGTCAGGCGACTGTCTCCATGATTCCCAGTTCCAGTTCTCTCGTCATGAAGGCTCTCAACGAGCCCGTTCGTGACCGCAAGAAGGTCAAGAACGTCAAGCATGACGGAAACCTCACCTTGGATCAAGTCATTGACATTGCTCGTCAAATGAGGGAGCGATCCATGGCGCGAAAGTTGGCCGGAACCGTCAAGGAAATCCTCGGAACCTGCAACTCCATCGGATGCTCCGTCAATGGAGAATCTCCTCGTGATATTCAGCAAGGAATTGATGACGGAGAAATCGAAATCCCCGAAGAGTAAGCATGTAGGTACCATTACGGGCTCTTGCTTACTTCTCTTTAGAGGATGGATAAAAGTTGCAGACGGTTGGATTTTCTTTTGGGGGGATGGTGCCGGCTATCTCAAGCAAAGATTTCATAGAGCCTTGTACTGATACTTTTAGAAGTAATAGAGCCTGTATTACCTGCTACCGAAACATTTTCTTTTTAGTTAGATATCACTACGACAGCAACAGCGATCATGTAGGTAACGCACTTCTACCTAGCTAGTAGGAAGATTAATGAGATTGCTTCTAATGTTCAGCAGTGCCGCCGTTTTAGCATGGTTATTATTATGATCGGTTTCAAATCCAGTGTGGATCATTATTAGTTGCTTTCTCGACTCTTTTTTCCCTCGTTGGATGGGAGAGAGGGAGACTGGTCTGTGGATTGTGGCCGCCTCAAAAGATAGATACTCCTGCAGCGACCCATCATTCGAGAACAGAGCATCCCCCCTTTGTCCGTGAAATAATGCAAGCTAATCCTTGTAAATTAACTCTGAAGAATCAACTATTAGTTTCCAATCCATGTATCTGAGAGTTAGTTGCCAAGAACGCACATTATCCAAAAAGTGGGTTAGAAAAAAGTTGAGTGCTCAAAATACAACCTTGCTGCAGGTATCCTCTTGCATTCTTCACACGTCACACTTACAGCTTGTACAAAATGTAGGACGCAATCGCGAACACCGGAACGGACCAATATCGGAAAAAGATTCGCTCCAACAATACTAACAGTGCATCCAGAGCAAACATACCCAAGGAAAAGGTAAAACAACGAAAACCATGTACTCTGGCCCGTGTAGTGGACCGTAAAAAGACATCATATTCTCGATCACGCTCGGCTCCCAAGGCACTCTGACCATACAAAATGGTCAAGGAAAAGACGATTGTTGCGTACAGACCAAAAAGTGTGGAGAGTCCTGAAACCACCTGAATGGCCAAACAGAGTGCCTTGTAGAGGGCTTTGATAGTTCTGGGTTGGATGTGGATCAATGGCAGCGACACCACCGAAGGTTCAAAACCGAGCAGGGCGCCAAAGGACATGGAAGCAGTCAAGGTGGACACCAAGACGTAGGATGTCATGGAGTCAAGTCGAGCCGATTGACGGAAAAAGTCTCGTTCGTGGGTCAGGTACACCGACTTTTGTTTCCGTCTGCCTCTGCTGTTGGCTGCCATCCACAATTTTGAGAGGTACATGTTCTTGTGAGCCCTCGGCGTTTGTTGTACCGCTGGAAAGTACCCAGGTCTTTGACTGGTTGGTTGAAACGCTGCGACATGGTTATTCGCTGCCAAAAACACAAAAAGTCCCGAGAGGTAGATTTTGCTCATTGCTCGTTTGAACACCATCTTCTTCGATTATGCAGTATCTAGCTAGCGTGCCAGAGCCAGAGGAGGTACCAATATCATTGATGCTATTAATGGTCAAAGGATTAGTGGAGGTTGCCATTCCACTGGCAGAAAGGTGTCTCTGTGGCTCGGATTGTTGGATGCGGATATGCAGATTGGCGCTTGTTTGCTTCCAACCGGATCCGGAACTCTCGTAGGCTGACGTCATTGTTGACACCTCCCAAGATCCAGTGCTCACTTTTCAAAGATTTTGGATCTTTTTCCTTGCCGCCGATCCAGCAACAATTCTCGATAGACCAACCTCGCATTCATTCTTCTCTGCTTGTGATTTGTGATACCCACCACAAGGATACCAATAGCGGTTTATTAACCAATCTATTACAATGAATACCCTGCCTAGTCTTTTCCGCTTCGCGGTTCTTTCAATTCTTCTGCTTGCCTCTCCCCTTGCCACGGCATTCTTGCATCCGTTGATCAGGAAGCCACCGCCATCAACAAATAGGGCAAATATGATATTTCGACGACCCTTTTATTCTTCTTCCGAGATAATCTCGAAAAGCGGAGATGATTCAGGGGTGACACAAGAGGATTTGGAAGAAGAAGATTTTCTTCTGGCAGAAGTCAAGGTCAAAAGTCTCAACCATGAACGAGACTACTTTCGGCAGGAAACTCGCATGCAAGCATGGGATTCCTACGTTTTGGTCAGTGTCCTGTGCACGTCGATATCCTACAATGCATTGCAAAGCTTCCGGTTAGACCCGATCCACCAAGGCGTATACATCTACGAGACGGTTGTGGAAAGTCTCATTCGATTAACCGCAGGACTCTCCGTGGTCTGTGGAATCTACGCCACCATGGTCTTTACACTTGGCATTCTCTATGGGAAAACGGCATTGGGAATGGAACGAGATGCTCAATACGATGACTTCTTGGAGCAAACGTTGGACGTCAGGAGAAAGGCTTTCATGTCGTTCTCCTTTGCCTTGGGCTTCTTCTCCCTCTTGTCAGTAGTGGTGGTTTCGGAAAAGTTACCCCTGGTCCTGCACTTGCCTGTGGGAGCCTTTCTCATTGGGGCTTTGATTGTGGGATACCAGGACTGGAAGATACTGGTAGATAGTGCTGCCCCAATCTACAGGGATGACTAACTATCGTAGCCAACCAGCCACCCCAAAGCAACGGTTGGGTATGCGTGTAGAACAAGAGCAGCATCACCACCTTGCAAAATGGAATAAAATTTGACCAATAAACGAGAAGTCATGGTCCAATTGGCTTGGGCTTGTCACATTGGGCAGAAGCCAGTTACCCCCAAGCTGCTACCGTACCACGTACACTATAGCAGCTAGATAAGCGACTATGAGCGAACTATCCATAGAGTTTTCAAACCAACAGAAGGAATGGATTCTACACTCATTAACCCTAATACAAGCTAGAAGAGACTTGATTGAAGACTGATGTCGGTGTGCTTTGACTATCTTCTTATGAGTCCATGGACAACTATACGGTACCACATCAAGATCTCGAGGATTCCATTTTGCTTCGCCTATGTCTCCCGCTGGTGATGCACTAACTGGTACCTGAGTTACAGCTTCCCTGATTGTCAGAGAATCTTTGCATCCCTCGATTTTTAAAAATAACCCAAATAGTGGCGTGCAGATACAGCCCTGGTTTCTCCTTGTAGGAGAAATGCGTTAGTGATGATGTTCTTGGTATGTCAAATTGCGACTCTTCGTCGTAGTCATAGTAGTCATCCTCGTCCTCTTCACCTTCACTATCAGGCACCACAAACGGAACATCCTCCCTTTGATCTCTTTCAGCTTCTTGCCAATACCGAAAATATTCTGAAAGCGTCTTAGGTATACACTTGTCTTCAGCTTTGGGCACGGTCATGTGGCACTCGACAACGCCGTCGATGTCGTGGTCAGACAGGAGATCATCTTCGCGTGATCGACGAAACGTGCTCACCCATAAAGCCCAAGTGATGCTGTAGCCCTCACTTTTGACGATATTGCTACTAGTGCTTCTAGTTGCGGTACTCTCTCGGGCCTGGCGTTCCAGAGATGAGATATCCAACGATGGCAGGTCCTCGCTGTCGCTGTCACTGTCACTGCTACTGCTGTTACTGATCCAAGTAAGTTGAATTTTCTTGAAGAAGTCTCCCATGTTTTGTTTGTCTTTAGTATGTTTGATGGTATGGGATGTTTTTCTGGTGGTCATCAAAAATTTTGTGGCTGATGAGATTGTGTGTATACATGGAGACAGACCGCTTGACCTGGGCTCCGATCCAGCAATAGCTCAAGTCATATGCACAGTGTGAGCCTACCGGTACGGCACACGGCACACGGCACTGTACGGTCTGGTACGGTACGGTACGGTACGGTACAGTCAATAGCTACATATTTATAGTGCCATGCAGGTACCCCGAAGTCCACAAGAACGCTTTGGAAGAAGGACATTATTTATTGAAACTCGTGCCCTTCTTACCTGAAGTGTCTTATATATTAAATCATTACGACGCAATAAAGCAAACAAGGCTGTGGTTCGTACTGATTGTTTTATATTAATAAAATTGTTGTCGATCAATTTTACAATGGTTAGAAAGGAGAGGAGAGAAATCGTTGGAAACTGCGACTGAAAGGTAGGAGACCGTCGAGCCTGAGCAATTCTTTGCTGCCAAGCAACCTTGTTTTTGGGTTGGGTCGATGGAGCTGTGCTGTCCTTGACATCCACCGTACCGTATCTAAGCTCATCTCTCAGACAAGTCAAGATGTTTAGTTGGAGAGCCCTTCACACGATCCTCTCTCCTTCGAGTGCCATCTTGCTCACCTCATTTAGCTCACAATTCGGTTTCAATCCACTCTCGACGGCCGGCAAAACAACTCTTCTTCTCCACCAACAAGTAATCATTACAATCCATCATGTCTTTGACTTCTGATGCCACAGCAGCAACCATCAAGTTCGTGATTGGACTTGGTCTGGCAAACTATACGGCATTTGCAACCATGCCAGAGACCATGATGCAAAAGCTCCAGGCGCCCACAGGATCGTACAATACTTACATCTTCGGACTCCTGGCAACATCAGGCCTTACCTACTACATATTTTTGGGGTCCCTAGTTTTTGGTCTGACAGAAGATTGGACGGTAGCAGGGTCGTTATCCCTGGCACCGTGGATATTACTCAAGGCGTCCAACTTGGTGACCAAAAAGGCCACAAAGGTGGGGTATCCCATGAAAAGCGACATCTACCCCTTGACTTATGCGCTGGCAACTACTGCTGCATGCTGCTTAGCCCGAAGCTCGCCTATTACCGAACGGCTCTCTACTGGATTTGCTTATTTGCTAGTCCTCAGCGGCACCAGTGCTACTATTGCTCCATCCAACTTGTGCAAAGCCTGGGGAGGGTCACTGGAGGAGATGCTCAAAGCAGAGCCGGTGATATTGACATCTTTGCGTTCCCATGGTTTGGGGATGGTCAGAACTGGCAGCGCTGTCCTGGCTGTTGGGAACTATGGTATGCCAGTGGCTCAAGCATTTGGGTATACCTCATTCTTGACTCTGGCAATGATGGCGGTTCCCAAGCTCGAGCTCTCAGAAAAGAAGAAACTGAGCAACGGCATTTTGGTCTTTGGAGCGCTGCATTTGATGGTGATTGTGGCGACCCTTTATGTTTAGCATTAGAAGGGAATATGGTCATCAAGGTGAACATCAAATAGTAGAGAATTACATTGACTCCGTCCCAATGCCCTTGTAGTCTTGGGTCACGTCATTGGGAGTTGATGGGAGCAAATGTCTCTCCATCTTCCTCGCACAGGGACACTTACCAAGGGATAAACTCTCTTTGCCAAGCCGTAACAATCATAAGTGTCCCTTCAGGTTTGCCTAGCTAGCTGGGCATGCATCTTCAAATCACGCGCCTCTCCGCAGAAACAACCGCCAAGCCATTCTCGCCCTATCCATTTCGTGCTTGGCAGCAGAGTAGCTATCGTCGCACCAACTTGTTTTGCTAGCAACTGAAAACCAAACGGTGGATGCATCATTGCCAAATGTCATCGATTGAGCGAGCAATCATTCGGTTCAAAGTAAGTAGTGATTGCTGTCTAGCTAACTAGCGGTGCCGGTACACTGGATGAGGAACGCAAGGAATACCGTACACAGAATGCATTCTGTGTTCTTCTTTGAGCCGCCTTCGATAAGCAAGAATAGATGCTTGATTGCCTCGGTGTCAGGAGCTTTCAATGACGCATGGCTCCTTTCGCGTGCTGTCCCATCCTGAGGTTACTACTAGTACCAATCATACTACTCGAGTACTCGACTAGCAGCACTCCTCTCCCACCAACAGGAACAGGGGAAGCCTCCACGAACGCACCAAACCGAACTGTTTTTGGAAAAATCACCAAACAACTTTTCCAGCAAAAGAGCCACTGTAACTATTGTGGTGCAGTCCATCTGGTTGGCTAATAGTACATGCGTAGGGGCTCCTTGACGGTTTCTCCCGACCACGATCGAGCCTGCGCCAATGTGTTCCGGGACCATCAAAGTGTCAGCAAACTTCAAAGAGAAGCAGGGCACCCGAACCCTCTTGTCATCCAATCTCGTCTCACAAATTGGCCAATAGTGAGTTCTTGTGTCGTCCTCCTTGATGCCGCGACCACAAAGCAGAAGCGGCTGCAGAAGCACATCCCACCAATGGTGCCGGTTAGAGTGATAGTAAGGTTCTCATCTCTGTTGACATGATCCTTCCTCAAACCAAGAGAGATCGAGCAGGATCTGTTGTTGGGGTTCGATTTCGGTATCTTGTTGATGCCTGGGGCTAAGCTCGTCAAAAGCTCACAAAATCCTGAAGTAAAACAATAAAGCGTTCCAACCATCTGAAGCAACTCTACCGTACCGTTTAGAGTCCATTGAAAACGAACAACAAGCTCACGATAGCTGTCCAAGAATAAATACAAGGCAACTACTCAGCCCCATCAGAAAAAACATCAAGCAAGGAGACTCACTCCATTGACATCCATCCAAACAAACCGTCCAGTCCAGCCAAGAAATCACTATGAAGATCCAACAAGTCTTTGCCGCCGCACTTTTCGTCCTCGCTTTCGCTGATGCACGTCGCTCAGCCCCTGCCGACGTCCCCAAGAAGGCATTTGGCGCCCCACACACAAATCCCTATGCCTTTGGACTTGGCAAACCCGCCCCAGCAGATGAAAAGGCTGTGAAGGAGGTCAAAGCGGGTAGGCAACACTTCAACTCTTGCAAAGTGCTATAAGTTGTTTCAATCGTGTACTCACTGATTCCTTGCTCCCTTGCTTGCTGGTTTTCTCTCGTGCGAGCAGTGAAAAAGCCAGAAAAGCCTGCATTTGTCACTCGACGACACCAGATCATGCAGGACGTTGAGGCTGCCATGGCTGGATTGGAGTAGGCGCTTTGAAGGTGCTTGTAGAACGGGGATTCTCCCCAATCAGCCGAACAAGAATTTGTAATGTGTGTTCCGTCATGCAAAGGGCCAATCTCCTGTTCATTACATGGATTCCTGGATTTGAATACAACACATCAGTCATACAGAAGCGAGTATTATAGCTAAGCAAACAAATCCTATAGTAACAAATTGATAAAATACCAATGCAATCGTATCTGCTCAGAGATGCAACAATGGTTCCACATGAATAGGCAATGCAGGCTGGGGTGCTGGGGGCTGCCGGTGAAGGGCACAGAATATCGGTACAGAGCCCCCATCCAAAAGATACATTTATTCTGTCACCGCCACTATAATTGCTAGACACCAGAACACAAAGTATCAAGGCCACAGTGCACACAGCCGTTCTTGTCTTTGCATGCTCCGACCTCCAGCAGCTCCTCCGCCTAAAGGAGGGCAAAACCACCTCGTGTCTCACCATCTTTGTCTTCAAGCCCGCAATCTGCAATAATCCATTAGCCAACCAATACGTTTTAGCTCTGGGTACCGTGAAGAATTATTTAATTATTCGAAAAAAAGTAAAGGTGCCCCATGGCCACCGCTCGCACCCTAACCCTTCTGCGATGCGTCATTGGGATGGGGACAGCACAATCTAGCAATGCCACCAGCTCCTTGACTGTTACATGTAACCTCAAGTAAGTGAGAACCAAAACTAGATAGCAGCTAGTTGGAGAATGCTAAGCTCTCTACTAAATTACACGGATGCATACCTCGAATATCTAAAGTGTAACATAGAAGTGGGCGGCTCCCCTGTTTGTTGGATTCAAAGTTGGATTCACTTGCCTTTGGGGGACATTCTACGATGTACCCATTGGAGAGCAGTAATACCGGCTACGTGGCTGCGGCTGTACACTGATTTCTGCGTTTGAGATTCAGTGACTAGCTAGAAGTACCTTGCTGATATCGCATAAGCTCTGAATACCGTGAAGATTTAATGCTACAATACCGTACGTACCACCGACTTATCGGCTTCATTCAAACGGTGCATTACTGTTCCGGAATCCTTGAAAAGCTCCTGGTGCCACACCGAAAGCAAGTCTCGTAATCCAAGTGCAATCTTGTTCTTTGCGGCTCCACCCAACTAGCTAACTACCGCCCTAAAGACACCGGTACCGCTACGCCACAGTTTCGGATCAAGGTGCGCCTACCGTAAGACTCAGCGCTGCTAAACAGATCTAGGAGCAACCATTTCCGAGTCTTAAAGGATACAAAAGCGTTCACGAACAACATGAAAGGCGGCGAGAAAAGCGGGGGGGGGGGGGTAGAAACACGGGGAGCAGCTAGGGAGAGATACCGTAGAGGCATCCTTGATTCACACGGAATGCAGCTCAAACAATCGTGGATACGCAGATAACGCGGACATGTTAGTACAGTCTTTGCTTGTTGTATCCAAGCAAGTCCGGCCGACCCCGGGCCTCCTTCCAAGCCGATCTGCTGTCTGCTGCTCGGAAGATCGCGTTTTAGATTGCCGATATCATTGGTACATGTACTGTAGATCAACTCTCTACTCTGTAGTTCTCACTATTCACAGTTTTGAAACCACAAAACGAAAACAAAAAGCAAAACCCGGAAACGTCTTTTTGAGTGGTGAGCACCTCTTAGGATTGAAATGGTGGCCTCCGTCTGATGACGCTCAACTCTCTTTCCTTGTCAACGTTTTGTTCCTTTCTCTTCTCTGCAGATTTACTAAGAAACAACTCTGCTTTGAAGATTGAAGATGAAGATCTCTCAGGGTTTCGTTTGGCTCAACATTGTCGGGATGACCAGAGTTGCATGGGCCGCGGATAAGGGCGTCCGTGGGCTGCAAGGCCAGGGCCAAGGACAAGGACAGGGTCAAGGTCAAGGTCAAGGTCAAGGTCAAGGCGGAGGAAATGGAGGTGGAAATGGAAATGGTGGTCAAGGCAATGGTGGTGGAGATGACAACGTTGAAGACCATGACGATGAATTTGAGCAAACCGTCATGACTTCAGATGAATCTCGCGCAATCGATGATGCCCTTGTTGCAGAAGAGTTTGGCTGGGGTGTGACTGAGGCAGCATCACACATGAAAATGCAAGAAGAGTTCAACAACTTTGTCACAACTCTCATGGACGATGTCTTTTTTGCGGATGCCATTTTGCCTGAAAGTCCTGGTGGCCGTCCCAAGCTTCTCTACAAGAACGGTATCCCTCGTAACCGTGAGCCTGATGTGACTGGTTTTGAGGCTGCTCACAACGTTCAAGTGGAACGGGTTGCAACAAGGTTTTCACGAAAGGAGCAGGAAAATCGTGGCAAGAGATTCCAGGGTCAGCTTCGCGGTAGGAACTTTGGGGAAGTAACCTTCTTCACTGTTGGAGACAAGCTTTTGATTTCTGCTACAAAACCTCAAGGTGATGACTCGATTGCGACAACACCACCTGGAAGAGGCAACATTCCTGTGGACCAAATTGACGAAAATGCATTGGAAGCTTTGGGATTGGACAGAGGCAACCCAGACGCGTATGGTCTCCAACTAGATGTCTATGAATCCGATCAAGAACTGTCGACTGATGAACATACACTTGGAGGTACAAGGCTTTCTAGTCCTGGTGATTGCACCACAGCATTTCCAGTCATTGATAACAACGGACGACGAGGCTTTGTGACAGCGGAGCACTGTGGCACCATGAGTACCTATTATGGGTATCCTAATCAAACCCCATATCCCGCGAACAAGCAGCGAGGGATCTACAATGGGGCTGGTGACATGGCTTGGTACACGACTCCATCCCATGGTGTGTACCCCAATTACTATGCCAATGTTGGAGATATTAGGGCCGTGGATGGATACCAGAGTTACATTGCCGTCAACAGTGTTGCCTGCGTTTTCAGTCGCAGACAAAGCCGAAGAACGTGCAGGTATGTGATTACTAATAGCTTCAGTTCGGGTGGAATTGGAGAACAAATTCTCGTGGATCGGCACATTACTGTGCCCGGAGACAGCGGGGGTCCATGGTCCTACAACACTATCGCTTATGGAGTACATGCTGGAACCGCCACATACAATGGAATCACTGGCAGTCGTTTCTCAAAGGCCTCTCGTATCCAGTACGGATTGGGACAGTACCTTGGAGGAGGCTCCTACAGCTTGTATCTGTTGACTACTTGAAGAGCAATGGTCCATCCCCTTGCTCCTCCGTGGGGACTCATCTCCGATAGGCTACTACTTTGAGCCGTGAGTACTACCATGACAATAAATTGAATAGCAATAAAAACTTAGCGAACGAACTTGGAACGTCCCTCAAGCCCACAGCAATTTCTTCAATAACAGAAGAAACAACAAAAGGCCCCGCGTGCCACATCTGGGATTGAGGCGAACGAGCTCAAACCTTTCGCAGGATTCATGTTCGGAGCGCAACTGGGACCGAGCCGATCATTAGAAAGGCCGCACACTGGACTGACCACCTTGGAGGAAGAAAGGACAAGATACCCGAGGAACAAAGCCGTTATCGACTATGAAACATTGTGAGCTAATTTGCTCAAATGCGACAAAGCTTCATGCCAGCATTGTTCCTCCTCGGAAAAACAAGAACCTTCTCAACTTGAACAAACCAAGCAAGCAAGAAGAAGAACACCTCTCTCGGGAAAAGACCACCACTTCAACACAAAAACCTTTTGCTCATCTCACCTCTCTCTTATCTTCATCAATCAATCAATCCATCAATCCATCAATCAACCATGCGCTCCACACTGATGCTGTTATCTCTCCTGCTGGTCTCGGCTGCAGCAGGTCGTCGAGGAGCGCCCACTGGTAAACCCAAGACGGGCAAATGGGGCACTCCTTCTCCCGTTCCGTTTCTGGACATGTCTCTCCCGCTCGAAGAAGACTTGGCCAAGGATATTGATGACTTGACCGCCACGAAGAAAGTCAAAGCTGGTACGTAAACAATCACAGGTGCCAACAAGCTAAGATGTGCTTCCGATTGCATTCATTGGCCAAGTGGGGAAAAGGGCAGTTGGTTCTGTTATCTAACGTGTTCTTCTTTTTTCACTGCTACCGTTCCTCAGTCAAGAAGCGCCCTGCCAAGTTTGTCAGCTCCCCCGTGCCAGGACCCATGCCAGCCCCTGCGCTGTTTGGTTTCCCACCCATTATCGGCTTGGAGTAAATACTGGAGGGTTTGGTCTGTGGATGTTGCTGACGAAAGAGTGAAGCCTCTCTACAGCCCTTCTTATGGATCCTTTCATATCCGATATGTACCAGTGCCATACCTCAACAACAAGCAAAGAACAGAGGAACCACACAAGACACGGACTGGTTATACCGCTATCATATACTGACAATTCACGTGGACGATTGTTGGCTACTGCATATTATATATCACATCCATGGATTTTGGATTTGCGCGTTGCATCTTCTTAGATAATGAATATCTAGCCAGAGATTTCCACACTTATCTTGCTTTTTTCTGCTAACTAGCTAGCAAGCTTCTTGGCAGCTGTTGCGCCTTTGATACGATGTACTTCTAGCTTGCTACCAAGTAGTAGGGACCTAAACAAGTGGACCAACCATACCGGAAGGATATTTCGGGAACCGAGGGAGCGACTCCGGTCCAAACCAATGCTCTCTGACTTGAAGGCAGGAGAGTCTCGCTCCTGAATGGCCTACCCCAAAAAACGCCGCTGCTTGCTGCTAGACTACTACAGCTGTACTCGATGGCAAACGCTCTGTCCGAAATTTGGTAGCAAGCTAGCCAGCTAGCCAACGAATCGAATCGAATCAAATCTCCGATGCAGTCTTTACGAAAAGAGCTAACATCGAACTTACACGGGTAGTCTAGAAAGCCACTCTAGCTAGCTTCCTACTACTCGTAGAGATGCAAGTAAGTCTACGCCATGAATTTAACATCCAAAGCGAGTGCCCAAGGTGCAACGTAGAATCTGGGTTGATACGTACGACTTTCCCTTCCACGAAAATATGTAGATTGTGCACACCTAGAGCTAGCTAGCTAGTAGCTAGCTAGGCGCCTTACTATTGATTTTTTTGTTGCATGCAGCTTCAAACCCCATAACGGGCAAGCTGAAGTTTGTTGTTGTCAAGGAGGAAGGAAAACGGGAGGCCCGTCACAATCATCATCATCGTTTATGCATATTATCGCGTCCATTGAGCTGCTTCAATCGGTGGGAATGTTTCCACTGTGATATCGCCATAGGCAAATGTGACACAGGATAACCGATACGAGTCTGGATTTTCTCTCAAGGTCGATGCTTCGTCCATACTCTTGCGATTGGTCTGCCCGCTTCCCTCGGTGATATCGACAATGCAGGTACCACAAAGTTGCTTTCCCTTGCAATTGGTCCACCGCGTGATGGATTGATAGACATTAATCTTGTTGTCTGTGAGGACTTCTCTCACATTGCACCCAGCGGGGGCCGTAATCGTTTGGATATTTTCCTCGGGGCTTCCCTTGTTTTGAATGACGGTAATGGTCACCGTATCGGATTCTTTTTTCGCTCCCTCTCCAGTACAGACGGCCTTGAGATCCTCCTGGGACCCTCGAAAGAATACCAACTCGACATCTTGCACGCCCTTTTCGAGTGTCGCAAAGGCCGTCATGACATAATCAAAGGGAGCTCCCAGTAGATTGACCGGTTTATTCGAGTCCGAGTCGATGACGGCCCGCAATTCGCAGAGTTGATCACCGACGGCGACCTGACCCGACATGGAAGCTGCACCCGAGGGATCCAACGCACGGACATAGACAAAGGCAAAGGACAAATCGGTGCCCCATTCAATGCCTGGAAACCGTGATAACCGTACGCGGTACAAACGTTCGTCCAGTGACAAATCAATGCCATCATTACTGCCATCTTCTTCATTATCATCTGCTGATGAGGTATCATCATTATCGTTATCATTGGTTGAAGCTTGTAGTGCGATTGCTGGAAGGATCCATGGTCGATTGGCATTCGCAATAATAATACTAGAGCACATCTGATGGCTGGGGTAATGCGAACACCTAGTAGTAGATAATGATGAGGATGGGGAAGCCAAGTGGAACCCTCGACAGCTTATTGCCAGAAAGGACGACAATACCGGTAGCAACAAAATTAAGCGATTCATCTTCTTCTGTGTTTCTACGAGACCTTAGAGAGTTCTTTCTTTCTTCTGCCAAGTGGGTGGGTGGGTACCGGTATGGGGTCAAACAGATATTGGCTTTTTCAAAAACAGAAAAGTGGAGAGATAGACTAGATGTCAAAGCAGGTGAAAGTTGTGGTGGCTGCAGACTCCTGAGCTTCCAGGTGGCATGCAGCGATGGTGATGGGAACTCGTGACGTTTTGATTGGTTTTGGGTTGGAGTCAGACGTGGATACTAAAACTAAACCTGAACCCTCACACAAAATGGATCTGACGTAATCACAACAGCCACAAAGATCCGAACAGATCGTTCCTTCTTTCGATGAGTGAGTTGGTCGCGAAAACGCCACTGTTGCAATTATTCTGATGAAGCAAAGGCACGGTGGCAGGTCCAAGTCTCCCGTAGATCCTCCTGGCCACATCTATTCACAAAAGCAAAAGAAGCAGAAGGAACGATCCTCTGATCCACAACCAAAAAGCCAAGAGACTCAGACAAGTAGCACCAGTAGCATGAAGTTAGTTGTGGGTGGAAGCGCCACTATCATTACCATGATTGCGCTGTCATCGGCACTTCGAGCCAGAGCCTTTGCGGCTGGAAACCGATTCAATCGTCCCGCCTTGTTTACCAAATTAATGTCGACCGCTACGGACGTGGAAAATCCCCTCTTGCAACAAGAAGATCTTCCCAAGTTTAAATCGATTGAACCCAAAGATTTGACGCCCGCCGTCAACACGCTACTCGAAAAGTTGGATTCCGATTTTGATCAATTCGAGACTACAGTGGCAGCGGCCAATGGCGCCGTCAAATACGACCAAGTGCTTCCCGAATTGGAACGCATGCAATTTGGTTTGGGATATGTCTGGGGCATTGCAGGCCACTTGAATGGCGTCAAGAACGGCGAAGAACTGCGTACGGCATACGAAGAAAATCAACCACGAGTCGTTCAAGCCATGACCAAATTCTCGCAATCCAAACCGCTCTATGATGCTCTGGAAACCATTCAGAAGGAATGGACTGATGAAGAAGCTGACTTTGAAGTGAGTCAGAAAAAACGTGCCGTGGAAGGATCGCTGCTGGCCATGAAATTGGGTGGCGTGGGTCTCGAAGGAGACACCAAGGAAAAGTTTAATGAAATGAAAATGAAATTGGCAGAACTCTCGACCAAATTCAGCAACAATGTCTTGGATGCCACCAAGAGTTTCTCTCTCACGGTAGAAGACACTGCCAGCATGGAGGGAGTCCCGGAGAGTGCCAAGGCCATGTGGGCCAATGCCCATGTCATGTACCTCAAAAGTCAAGACGCAAAAGATGATATTCCCGAAATGAACCCCGAAGCAGGACCGTGGAGAATCACTCATGACATGCCCAGTTACATTGCGGCCATGCAACATTTGCCCGATCGTAGTCTCCGAGAGCAAATCTACCGCGCCTACATTTCTCGAGCGGCAGAATCGGCAGAAGAACACAACAATGTGCCACTGGTGTACGAAATCCTTCGACTCAAGCAGGAAATGAGTCAAATGTTGGGATTCCAGAATCAAGCCGAACGAAGGTAAGTAACTGGATTGACACGGGTGGCATAGCATTTATTTGGTGCATATCTTTGGATGAGCTGGACGTTTGTTCTGATCAGCTCATTTCATTTGTATTTCTTTATTTGCTTTGCACCCACCATGCAGTCTGGCTAGCAAGATGGCTCCCAGTGTCAAGTCGGTGGAGGAGCTGTCGGACCTGATTCGTGAAAAGGCACTACCGGCTGCCGAGCGGGAGCTGGCCGAAATCACGGCATTTGCCAGAGAACATGGCGGGGAGGAATACACCGAGGACAATTTGGAAAAGCTCATGCCATGGGATACTACCTTTTGGTCCGAGCGTCTCAAGGAATCCAAATTCGATTTGACAGAAGAAGAGCTTCGTCCATACTTTGCCCTCCCCAATGTCCTCGATGGTATGTTTGGATTGCTCGAACGCATCTTTGGTGTCACTGTCCAAGAAGCGGAAGGAGCTGCCGAGGTGTGGAACCCAGATGTCAAGTTTTTCAAGGTCTTTGATGCCGAGACAGACAAGCACATTGCTAGGTGAGTCTTTTTTTTTAAACGATGTGTGACGAGCGCAGAAGATGCAGTTGGGTTGACACTATCGAAACTCACTATCGATCGCTCCTCTTGGCTATGCTAGCTTCTATTTGGATCCTTTCTCACGACCCGAGGATAAGCGAGGTGGCGCTTGGATGGATGTCTGCATTGGAAAGTCGGAGGCGGTGAAACGAGATGTCCCAGTTGCCTACTTGACATGCAATGGTTCTCCACCCGTCGGTGATAAGCCATCCTTGATGACGTTCCGAGAAGTCGAGACCCTTTTCCATGAAACAGGTACGTTAGTCGGGTTCCTGCATTGATGCCATTGAATGAATGGAAAAACTACTTGCCAGTTCTCTAATGTCGACTTTCAATCTGCGCTAAAGGACACGGACTTCAGCACATGTTGACCAAGGCCAATGTGGGTGATGTTGCTGGCATCAACGGAGTTGAATGGGATGCCGTCGAATTGCCATCGCAGGTAAGTCAAACGTCTTGCTGAACCACACGACGTTTTCATCCAACCAGCCACTCACCAACCTTCACCCACTAATAGTTCATGGAAAACTGGTGCTATGATCGACCAACTGTGTATGGATTTGCAAAGCATTGGGAAACCGGCGAACCTCTACCAGAAGAAATGTTTGAAAAGCTGAAGGAACAGAAGATCTATGGTGCCGGCATGATGGCTTGTCGTCAGCTGCTGTTTGGACAATTAGATATGGAACTACACTCCAACTATGACCCAGTTGCGGGCGCCAGTGGAGAGGGAGAGACGATCTTTGATGTTCACCGTAGGATGGCGGAGAAATACACTCCATACTCCCAACCACTTCCGGAAGATCGATTCCTCTGCACTTTTGGTCACATCTTTGCCGGTGGATACTCGGCCGGATACTACTCATACAAGTGGGCGGAAGTCATGAGCGCCGATGCCTTTGGTGCCTTCGAAGACGTGGGTCTCGATAACGAAGAAGAAGTGGCAAAGGTAGGGCGGAAATTCCGCGACACGGTTCTTAGTCTAGGAGGAGGCGTTCCACCCATGGAGGTGTTCAAGCGGTTCCGCGGACGAGAACCAAGCCCCGAAGCCTTGCTGCGCCATAATGGCCTCGCGTAACTCGCTTATCTAGCTACCAGTAGGGCCATAATCCAACCATGATGCCATGCAGTACGCATCAGTCCTTCGTAGCACTGTCGTACGAGTGACGAATCGATTTCGTATTCCAAACAGAGACTTCTACTATGATAGTGGACACCCCCATCACATGTGGTCTATTCCTTTTCAGCAGGAATCGAATCGCAGTTCTCGCACCAGACCCAATCTGGTTCAAACGCAAATCGCCATTGCCACCGCAAAGGAGGTCTCAGCACTGTAATTTGACTCTGTTAGCCATTGTGTAGGATACAAATTTGCCCCGGTCAGATGCAGTTGTCACAGCTCTCAGAACCAGGTTGGCAGTCCAAAGCTCTCAGCTGGCTGATCCTACCTGGCCGACACAGAGCAACCGGATCGAAGTACTTCATTTTCATTGAGGGCAAGCCTGGAATCTAATCAACGAAACTAGTAGTTCTCCGTTCCTGCTATTTCATATTTTTCTCTCCCTCTTAGCTATTGTACAACTACAAAGAAGCACCTATGCTACACCACCGACGTCCATTGTGCCAGTCAGGACTGCCTCCAAAGCAAGCCTAGCTAGCAGTACACATGGGATAAGAGAAGACCGAGTGACAGTCACTCCTGGTTCTAAGATGTTGCCTCGTCTTCGCCATCTCGTTTCAACCCATTTGACGCCTTTGCCAGCTCATAGTATTGCTGCCATCGTTCCTTTTCACGTTGGGCTTCTTGTACTTTCTGCTCTTCCATTGCCAAGCGCTCCTTCAATCGGCCCAATTCCTCCCTTAGCGCTTGCTTCTCTTCGGCTTCGTGTTGGCGTTCTATTTTGCGGCTTTCCTTCAGACGAATTACTTCGAGTGCCGCTTGGGTTCGAGCAGCAATCTCCCCTGAAAGCTGGTTGCAAAGCGCAACGATCTCTGCATCAGCGTTCTGTTGCATTGAAAGCTCAATCTTGAGCAACTTTTCTCGCTCTTCTTGTTCCTCTTGGATCCGTTTCCTCCGATCACCAAATAAAGGCCCAATGGGAGCCATGGGACCCTGGTGCTGTTTAAGATTGTTTGCTTTTGCTAGATCCAGCTTTGCAGTCAACCTTTGGACCTTCTTCTTTTCCTGCTCCAATGTATGGGCATGTAAGACACTTGCCGAAACGAGCTGCGCATGAGCTTCGTCTCGTTCTGCCATCACCTTCATTAATGCAGCATGCATGGCTTCTTGCAAGTTCTCTGTCACATGGTTGGGCAGCAAAGGTTCCAAGAAGGTGACTTGCCCAGATGACTCGTTGATTGTTGAAAGGGAATCGAGCAAATTTGTGGCGAGCCTGCCATTTTGTTCGGCTAGAACCAGTTCGCCCATGCATTTGGAAGACAATTCCATCAGCGCATCCGTTTTCTTCGGAGCTTCAGCGCTGTTCCGATGAGAACGTTCTAGTGGTAAGTCACTACCTTTGCCCATCTCGCCGTCGGCTCCTTGCTCTGATGTTACAATGTCGTCACATCCAAGGTCCGACCATACTTCTTTTGAAGACACATCCTGGAGGGATAAGAATTCTCGAAGGGCGTAGTGCCCTGCGCTCGATAGTGGGCATTCAAGCGCGGCGTTCAGGAAGTCCGTTAAGGCCTCAGCTGGGCAGGAAACAAACCAATTAATAACAATGAGCAAACGACAGCAATTGCAAAATCACCGCAAACACTTCACTTCACGAAGAAACTTACCACAACGAGAAGACGGGACGGCTGCTGGAGATGCGCCTGACCGGGCTTCTACCAGGCCCGCCAAGAAAGCACCGCTGATTCGAATGCCATCCAGTGGAGATATGCCCAGAGCATTTTGAAGGCCTGAAGACATTTCACCAGCAGCATTTCGCTCCCATGATTTCTCGTGAAACAAGGGATGCTGTAGCAAATCCCCCACAACCTCCGAAACTTCCGCGTGAAAGCCAACAACCTCAGAGAAAGTTTTGAAGACTTCGAGTCTCGGTACTCTGTGATCGTCATTGGACGCTACGTCGAAGACTCGAATGCTGAACAGCTCTTCTGACGAATCTGTTGACTCAACATCCTTCTTCCCTGCAATGCTTTGATCGTCACGTGGAGTCGCAACACTTGCACCCTCTCCGTCCTTGCTTATCGATTCGAAAAGGTCACAGGCGACATTGCTTCTTATCAAATTGGAATCACAAACAGTAACCAGGGCGTAGCACATCCCGTCAAGCTTTCTAAGAGGCACATTGAAGGAGGGCGTGCCGCTACCTACAAAATCAACTGATGGGTCGATTCGAACGTTCTTCAGCTTCAGCGCAGGTTGATTCTTGTGAAAATTATCACCTTCGTCAGTACTCGAAACATTGGACCCAAGACGAGAGAACCACCCTTTCTTCTCAGAAGAATCAGGGGGACGATTCTGTCGAGTTCGACGGGATCCTCCCAGAGCTGTACCAAGACCCCCCAGACGACTGCGAGAACCACTGGGGCGACGACCAGCGGATCGAGCGGCTTCCGATATTTCATCCATTGCGAGATCAGAGATGATACTGGTTTCATCCTCTTCCACAAAGCCACCGAAGCTGCCCGACGACTGGCTTCGACGAAACAAACCCGTGTCGGAATCAGTCGAGTTTAGTCTCTCACGTGCATCAATCGGCGACGATTGCGCTCTTCGAAATATTCCTCTGTCCTGGTCAGAGTCGGTGGAACCTAGCCGATCCCGCGTCGCATCTTGTTCATCTGCATTTGCTGCAACGGCTGCTTCGGTTTCAGTTGTTTCGTTCGGTGTGATGGATGACCGTTCAAACTCGATATTGCTAGCTTCGGTTGGGGTCTCGCACATGGAGCATGTGAGAATTTCAACGTCACTCTCTTTGGTGGTGTTGAGGAACGTGCACGTCGGGCAAGACCAACTCCTTTCTGTTTCTGTCTCGGAAATGACGTGCAAAGTGTTATGAGCTGAGGTGTTGAGGTTGTCGTCCTTGGTGGAACTCGCCGCACGACGTGTTCGATCGGCAACTTCCCGTCCCTTCCGCCCTGTAGCGGAAATCAAGGCGGAACCCCAGCGACCAGTTGCTTTGCCGACTCCAACAACTTTACCACCGACCCCGACAACTTTGCCGCCGACCCCGGCAACTTTGCCAGCCAATTGTTGACGGCGGCTCACGTTGCCATCTTGTTCGGCCTTTTTGGTAGACATTGCATCGCTGCTTTCACTTGGTTCTGATTGATCTGCATCTTCATTACTGGTTGTGGCTGTTACGACTTCCTCTTCGGGTGGGGCCTCTGTATCAGTTTCACTGTTTGTGGGTCTTGTTGGTGCTGGCTCCTGCTTTGATTTTCTCAGCGATGACCCAAGGCCTGCAAGTTTGCTGCGGAATCCTTGACTTGGAGTCGACGGTGACACTCCTTCCGACTCTGATTTTACAGAAGCATTTCCTTCCACTTCCTGCTCGTCTACTTTTGCCTCCGACTGAGAATCGACCGTTTTGGGGTCTACACTGCTCTGCAAACCCACAGATTTGTCGTCTCTATCGGATGATTTGGTTGGTGTCGTCTCGGTGTCTGGAATGATGTCCTTGTCAGCGTTGTCGGCCAATATAGCTGCCTCTTTTTCATTTTCGACGGAAACGTGGTAGCTAATGATCTTGTCTATTTCACGCGTCCAACCACTGTATTCATCGTCACTTTCAACCACGAAAAACCTGGTCTTCCCCTCAGATTCTACAATTCCAAACGCCCTCTTCAACTCCCACTTGTTCCGCCCTCCCGCAAGAACACGAAGCTTTGCCCCGCGCAACATCACCACATCCATCGGTTTATACTGCCAGGGGGGGGGATAAGATTGTCGGTGAGATCAAATTCAACGGCTTTGAACGCAGAAGCAAAGCGACTTACCTTTCCAGGTGCACTGTACAGGATCAGTGTATCGCGTCGCAGTACGGCCCAGAACCTCCAGAGTGTCGATGTTGATGCCACACGTTGTCCGCTCTGATGTGTCCCTCCCACACGGAGCCACCCAGCGATAGGAGACGTTGCCATGGCAACAGCCGCGATTCGCTCTTTTTCCTTCAAGAATACGAGCTGCTGCAGTCTCTCCAAAGCTTCGTCTTTCCGTCTCAGCTCAACGGCATGATTGTGAATGTTGTCGTCGAACTCACGACACATTCGAAGAAGAAACTGCTTAGCCTCGCGAACAGACTTTTCCACGTCGGCACAAACCACACTGATGGGCTGGTCATTGTTGGCTTCGCTGCATTCTTGCTCCTCTTCTCCGGGGATGGAAACGCGCCGTTTTAAGAAGGATAGTCTCCTTCTCAGATTCATTATGATGTCAACACAGCGGATCAAAAATCGTCGCATGAAACGAGCAATGTCACGGAGTTGCTCGGAGTCGTTGACGGACAGAGTATTCTCTACAGATGATGTGATCTTGGCTTGCAGGTAATCGAGAGCAACTGAAAACTCCGGCAAAACCTCGATCGACTCACTCTCGAAATCACTGGTATTCGAAGTCACGTGAAAGCTTTGCGTACACGTCAACCGTTGGTTGAAGCCTCTGCACTCTTTGGAGATCAAGCTGGACCAAGGCTTTCCTTCCAGGGCTGCAGCAGACATCATGTTCTCATGGAAGCTATCTTCGGGAGGAATGTACCAGGTCAGAAGCTCCAGACAACGAACCATCAAATCACATTTCTCTGTCACCAAAGGATCCGGATGTTGTCCCTTCACAGTTGGGATTGTGACGAGGACGTCACCCATTCGAACTCGCAGTAGCACAGCTCGCAGATCACTTGGCAACAGCAACAAAACGAGTTTTCGCACCAGGCGCCAAAATCGAAATCTTCCCGCAGTTCCAGGAAGCAATGAATGGAGTAGCGATCCTACCGACCGTTCAGGGAACCTTCGTTTCTCTATTAACGGAAATGAGGTTGGTTTCGACCACGTTGGCATCACGAGGGCTTCGAGGACAAGTAGGAACACGCTCTCGAATTCGTCAAAGCGCAAGCTCACAGTCCCTCCAGTACCGATTTCAGCGGCAAAGGAACGAGATCGGAACCCACTGAAGTAGTCTTCACATCGTAGAAGAATAGCGCGTTCTCGACCATTCGAAGTGCTGTCGTCGTTCTTCGGTGGACGGATTGGCACACAGCGACCAAAGTGGAAAAATTCGACCATTCCGATTTCGTTCTCTCTTGGATCAAGGTTGTCGCCATCGTCATTTGGATCGAGATTGTCGCCATCGTCATCGTCGTCATCACATGTATGTCCCTCTCGGTCTCCTTCTACATGATCCGGGGAGTCAGCGGACGCTAGGTTGGCTTCTTCTGGTGCTTGTTCTTTCAGAATTTTGTCGTCTGTTGTTGATCCCTGTTGGTCACCCAATCGATCCAAAGTCTCATCATTGGTCCCTGCAAGCCCCTGTTGGTCGTCATTTGATCGTGCATTCTCACCTCCGGTTGAGGCACCATTCACAGCATCCAAATTCTCGTTGTTGGTTGGTCCTACTTCTGCACCCAAGCTCTCAGTATCTGTCGCTGGCTCCTCTTTGTTGTCGTCTACTTTTTCGTTCTGGGATTTCGGATCCTGAGCCTGTCCCAAGCATTCGACACTTCTTTCTGTTCCTTGTTGGTTGTCACCTAATGAGTCCACGAGTTCTGACTGCGGGTCGGGGCTTAAGTAGGCCTGTGCTGCTTCTGTGGTCATTTCATCGATGTTGCAAAAACGAAGACGAGCTTCTTCGACACCGCATTTCAACACAATCCGCCTTGCTCCTTCTGGAAAGGAAACTTCGTTGCCGACCTCAATTTTTTTCGCGTCAAAAGACAGCAATTTCAGCAAGGGGAAAGCTTTCTTTTGCCGTCCAAAGCTGGAAGTGCCCGGTTCAGATGATAGAGTTGGTGTGTAGACGACAACGTTGTGTCTCCAGAGAGTAAATTTATAGCTGCGAACTTGAAGGAAGTTTGCAATGAGTAAGCCTCCCGTTTCTCGGCTGCGATGTAGCTGCCTATGAACCAGTATTCTGCGTCCTTTCATTGATTTTTGAATCTTGATGCTTGTAGTTGAGGAAAGGTCGTCATCTGTCTCGAGGTTTGATGCTGACGGGTCCTCTGATCCCACATTATTCAATGGAATCAGGCCCTTTGCGCATTCCACTGTTTCTTTCACAACTTGAAAGTGGTACAAAATAGTTCCAATGGCACCCGCGATGAGGTCGAGATCAAGGTTTGTTTCCATTCGATCGATTACAACTGACGAGTAAAGGACCATCTTGATCATGTTGCTCTCTTCTGTTTCAGGAGGTTCTCCTTCGAAGCAGAAGCCAATAGTCATATCCGCCGGTGCACAAAGCTGCTGCGGCTGTGAAGCCACGAAGAAAGGTATGATTGGCATGATTTGCGTGGACATTCCACGAAGCTTGATTTGGACCCTAAATGTAGACTTGGCTTTGACCACCTTGTTTGTATCGGCCGTCATCACAAAATTCTGGCGTTTCGAGGGATCTTCACTGTTTTGGAGCTCAACGGATACATCCAGTGGGTCGTTGGGGAAGCTCACCACCTCCGGTGCTGGGTTCAAAGGCTCGAGTTGTTGGCGAAATGTGCTACCGATGTTTGCAGAAAGAAACTCACGTGGCAGATCAGACGAGACTGTTACAAACGTCTCCTCCATGACGGCCACAATATCACATGATCTGACATTCTCTTGGATCGCTGCAGGGACTCGGATCTCGCTTCCAGAAATTCTGGCGTTCACGTGAAAAAGATCAGACGAAACGAATAGGTTTTCATCCAGAAATAATTCCGTGATCGGTTGTAGATGATCCTCTAACTCCAGAGGAGTGTTGGGGTGTACCAGCATTTCAATAGCGAGCAAGTCTGTCCATTCTCCCGTCAGCCATCGACCATCAAAGCCACCACCGCCTTCATTCAGTAAGAATCTCAATGCACGGCACCAGCAATCACAATCAAAAACAACCTTGACTTTCTCCATGCCTACATCGTTCGTGACCATCAGGACGTCCACAACTTCTTCCCCATCTCTAGTATCAGTCTCTTCTGTGACGGGTTTGTCGGCTTGCGGGTTGTTCTCCTCCTCTTCCTCCTCCAGTATTGCAGCGGAATCGTTGGCATTGCTCGTTGTGATAGTAGTTGGTGGTGACGACTGCACCTCTGTTCTGGGCGGAAGCTTTTTCCTACGTTGACAGTCAATTGTGGTCATCAACCCCAGGGCTTGTGCTGGAAATGACCGACGTAAATCCAATGGGTCTTCTCGGATTGCTCGATCTTCAAAGAGCGGAAAGGATTCTTCTTTCGACACCTCTGCTGGTGGCTCGGTTGGTTTCTCTATTGGTTTGGCAAGTGGATCTTGCTTGACTCCTCCGGACATTATTGTCCGTATTCTTTTCCCGTATCTTTCCTGAATTGACATGTATGACACGGACGCCTGGGCATAGCCTCCCTTTTTCTGATCAAGCCAATGGGGCCAAAGTGGTGTAAGTCAGCTGATACAAACGACATCCAACGAGAAACTAAAGCCTCTTGCCACGTTCAAACTTACGAGATTGGATTTAGGCCAAATAAGTTCCACGACTGCTCCATTGGAGTCAACCTGAATGTAGTCACTTCCATCAGGGCTTTGTCGCTCACTTTGGTTATCAGGTCTTTCATCCGATTCATCTTCGTCGAGCTTTTCCTCGTTAGTACTACTAGTAGTAGGCTTTGTTTGCTGTCGAGACGGATAAACACCACGAATGGTAGCTCGGTCCACAGAAACACTGAACGATAGTTTTTCGTGTATAACGAGTCCGTTGGGTAGCATGATAATGGCTCTGTCCACTGGTTTCACACCCTCTGCCCCAACAGTAGTGTTCGTATCCTCTTTAGTGGGAGTTGTCGTCTTTGAGTCCGCCGTCGTTGTTGTCGCTGCATCCGCGGCCGCCTTTGCCACCTCTGAGGACGACTGGGCAGTGACGGAACGTCTCGAGAAAAGCGACGAAATTGACTTAGCAAAGTTCTTCGTTGCTTGGACGGGTTGAAGTTGAGAAATGGTGCTCCCATCAAAAGAATCGTTGTCACCCACTATGGATGTGTCGTCCAGGGCGGCCAAGATGTCCCCTGTGATGCTTGCATTGTCGGCACCGCCACTTTCCAGCACCTCTAGGACAGAATCTGGGAGTTTCAGTTGTGGCTCTTCAATCTTGACCGACGATGTTTCTACAGAAGCGCCTCCTGTTTCGCTGCCATCGTTCGAGGTGGTTTCCCCTCCTGTCACAACTCTGTCATCGCTGGATTGAGGTACCTGAGCGTCAGAAGCACTCGTGGCCACTGTGGGTGCCGCGGACCCTTCTCCGTTTTCTACGCCCTCTTCTTGTCCATTTTCCTTCTTCGTACTACCCCCCTCCACTTTTCCCCCCGATCCTTCTCCGTTGACTAATTTGCTGTCATCGCTTGTGGCGCCCGTTTCTTGCGGTTCATCCTCCTTTGCTGGTTCAACATTGTCGTTCTCGGTTGTAGCAGGGTTCTCGTCGTGTCCTTCTTTTTGGTCCTTCTTCTTGTCACCCTTCCGCACGGACGAATTCCGTGCACTGGCATCATTGTGATCTGTATGATCATCTTCACTCCGCAGGGGATCCTCGAATCCTCGATCCTTGGCTAAACAGAATTGCACTCCCAGTGCAGCATGGATCAAGAGAGGGACCACTTCGGCTGGAATGAGCATTTCTACATTGGAGAGAGTTGTATCTACTTGAGCCGCCAAGAGTGCTCCATCACGGACGCGCCGTTTCATGGCCATGTGCACCACCACCTTGTTGTTGTTGGTGTTGTTGTGATCGTGACCATCATCGTCTTTTGTGGCTGTTTTGCCCTTTTCTGCTTCGTTTTTTTCTCCATTGTCTTTTCCTTTTGTAGTTGACGGAGTTGCCTCTTCTCTTTTGTCACTGGGTTCTTGGTCACTTTCATTCTTTCCTTCTGCTTTGGTTGTAGATGTTGGCGAATCTCCTGTAGCTGATTCTTCTGCAGTCGCATCCTTGTCTTGACTATTGCTTGGTTCTTGTTGATCTTTGGTTGTCGAGTCAGTTTTATCAGATTCTGGTGAGGTGGCTTCAGTTTCCACTTCTTTCTGTTGATCTGCTTCTCCTAATGCTACAGTCGATGCCAAGGCTGCCACGGTCTCTGCAGCGGCAGCATTGGGTACTGGTAACGACACTGGTCCTGTCGCATTGGCCAATGCCGCCACCGTTTCAGCGGCCGTCGGAGATTCCGCCGTGGTTGGTTTGCTGGGTTCCCGTTTCTTCTTGTCTTTGTCGTCATCCTCTGATGGCACTGGCGGTTGGACACCTCCTCGTCCGGTAAAAAGTGAGAATTGTTGTGTGGCCGTCTGAACGCCAAAATCGTATTCCATGGACACCTTTTTAAAAATGAGCAGGGTCCGTTCTTGGCCTCGTGGTACCGGTTTGTGGTTGTGGGCCCAGACTTCATCGGGCGTTCCCTCTTGACCGTACTCGTCGACACTGACATAACGCAGATTGGTCAATTTGAATTGCAGCAAGGGGGGTGTCCAGGGCCCCGGTCGTCGCGTTTTGAATTTCCCCCAGGTTTGGAATTGGACATAGATGGATTTGATTTCCAGCATGAGATTGTCGAGTATTCTATCCACAAGATTGTAGCCACCGCGTTTGTTGGGATTGACAAAGGGAGTTTTGTTTTGTTTGCATTCTTCTTGTAGAGTGGCAAAATGCTGTTCCATTTCCGATATCGTCATGTGCCGTATTCGTTGTCGTTTTTTGCTGTTCTTGTTATTGTTACTAGCGTTTGGAATCATCAAGTAATGGAGTGGTTCACTCATGTGGACGGAAATGTGTTCAATATCTACCTTGATGGGTGATTTGCGTAGATTGGTCCAAGACGTGACTTGGAAACTGACTTTGGAAATATGAATGGAATCAAGTTCGATAAAGGGCAGGACACTGGATAGCTGTTGATTGATGGCGGCACAATTCAGAGACAAGTCTTTGATTTCTCCCTTGCCATTCAAAACACTGGCATTGACCATTTCTTTGCGAAAGCCCACAATGTACTGGAATTGATAATGATAATGATAATAGTATGAATGAATGAAAAAGGGTAGCCATGAACCCAGTTTAGTTAGAGAACTAACCAACTGCAACCAGCCACAAGCCACAAGCCCGCCAAATCATAAAAACATTGACTCACCTTCCCCAGATGCTCCTGGAGCAATCCCAAAATTAACTTCTCCATCTTGACGTTGTGAGTCCTGCTTCTTTTGCTGTATACCCTCTTGTCCTTTTATCAAGTAAGTTTATAGATCTTGATAGTCTAGCTAGTGTAGGCAAGCAGGTTGGATCATCCAAGGAATCTTGATAACTTGATAGAATACCTTGGTCCGTTCCTTTTATCTGCCGTCAACAGCAACTCTGAAAGTCTACCCTTGAGGTTGAATATCTCCCAAGTTTTCTCGCAAGGCCGAAAATGTAATTCAAACGAAACCAAAAGATCTCTCTCCCACCGATAGATAAGGAATGATGGAAGAAGGCTACTAGATCGTGGCCTCTATCTTTCATGAAACAACTACCTGGTACGTAGTCCAAAGCACCTTGATGGATTGGGTTCGATCTGTCTGAGTATCATCTATTCATCTAATCTATTCATGCCAACAACTGGCATAAAGAAAGCTCTTTTGCTTGGGGCTGAACCAATGGCGTCAGTGAGCACCTGGCAAAATCAGCTGAGCTGGTACGCACAACACTACAGTATCAGGCCAGCAGAGCTTTGAAAACATCCTTACTTCCTTCCGCACATCCACCTGGATCCAACATCCGGCATCCAGAACAGTTCGAGGATCGACACATCCAGACACCATCCATTCTATTTAGTTTTTATTTTCCATTCGTCATTCTGCCTCTTGCCCTCCTCTCTCTGCACCCCATCCTCATCATAATTCCCTCTAACCCATACCTATCTTCTACATCACAACAAACTGATACCACCGCTACAATCTACACAGCATGGGCAACTTGCATCCCAAAGACGGAACGGCGCAGGGGGTGGCCAAAGTCCGCCACTACGAATCCCTCTTTTCCCCGGAACAACGCTTGTATCATGATCCTTTTGCGTACGCCATGTTTCCCGGCAGTTTTGTACAGGGTTGGATGGGACCATCGACCATGCATTGACAAATTGTACGGCTGGATGGGAATGACGGGCTTTTCCGAAATGATTACGGTCCGCACCAAATGGATCGACGATGGTATTTTGAGTAGTGAAGACTGCCGGCAATGGATCCTTTTGGGAGCCGGCTATGATACAAGAGGATTTCGATTGGACTTGCCATCAGATGGTCTCGTTTTGGAAGTGGATCAACCACAAGTCCAACAACAGAAACGCAACAAACTGGAATGGCTGAGCCACCATCACAAGAACCCAACGGAGCAGGATGCTATAGTGGATCGCTATGACCCCAAGTCCAATTCGTCCCTGTGGATTTCAATAACGATTTTCTGGACGACAAACTGAATGCACACGACAAGTTTCAATCCAACCAACCGTCCGTCGTCGTGATGGAGGGAGTCACGCAATACATTCCCAAAGAGTCAACGGCAGATACACTCCAAAAGATCAAGACTCTGGTAGCATCCGGTTCGACACTGCTGATTACCTACGTGGATCAAAATGTCTTTGACGATCCCTCCAGAGTGGCCGACAATACCAAAGCTTGTTCAATGATTTTGAAACAGTCGGCCCGTGTGGGCGAACCCTGGATCACGGGATGGACACAAGAAGGATTTGCTGACTTTTTAAAAGAGTGTGGCTACCAAGTCGTCTCGGATACCACGTGCAAGGACTACAATGACAAATATCTGGCTCCTTTGGGACGGAAACTGGACGAAAAGGATATCATTAATCTGGAACGTCTTGTAGTGGCCAAGCTGCTGTAGCAAAGGTAGACAGAGTTGCAGTTGCGATTCACTAGCCAGCTACGTACCAGGCAGAACCCACATCCTGCTCCCACACTACACGTATTTTCGCTTGGCTGGAGCCCAAAAAGAACCACGCGGCCAATCTATCACAAGATCGAAATTGACTTCTGCGACCAGGAAATGTTGCCAAGGCCAACGCTGATGAAGCTCCTCACTGAAGCTGCAAATGGCTCAAAAGTCCACCGCTAGCTAGTTTCCAGATGTACAAATAATCTTTCAAGTTAGCTTTCTTCCATTGAGTATGCTTGTATGCACAACAATTGCTGGGCTTGGAAACATTCGGATGCTTCAATGGGCCAGAGAGGAGGGATATCCATGGTATCAACACTTCAGCAGTTTGTGCTGATCAAGAGTAAAACTACTTAATTCAGTCACTTTTTGCTAAAATCGTATGAGAACGTGTTGACCCCTTTGGCAACCCCCGTCCCAATATTGATTTTGCGCAGAAGACTGCCATCGATGCCGCTGCCAGACATGGTGACTTGGCAATGCTCAAATGGGCAGATGAAAACAACTGCCCATGGAATGCAACGATGTGGGATTTCATCACATGCCAGAAAGCTGTGGAGCGAGGCCATCTGGATATTTTGAAATATGCGCATGAAAAGGGCTATGAAATGAAGACAGGGGCAATCTACCGTGCTATTGAAACTGGACATCTGGACATTTTGCAGCATGCAGACGAACATGGTCTTTTGGGGCGGTATAGTGGCGACGGTGGATCCGGTGACTCCATAGCGATGTGCCCTGGTGCTGCTAAAAATCGTCGTTTGGGTATGTTAAAGTTGTCGAGAAAGAATGGCATCCCTTGGCATGAGGCAACCTGCTGGAACGCTGCAGAGGGTGGCCACCTCCATGTTTTGAAATGGGCTCACCAGAATGGTTGTCCCTGGAATGAAAATACTTGCTCAGCGGCTGCTGCCAATGGCCGCTTGAAGATCGTCATGTGGGCTCATGAAAATGGCTGTCCCTGGAATGAAGATACTTGTGGGACTGCTGCCGCTGGTGGCCACCTCCATGTGATCCAGTACGCACATGAACATGGATGTCCTTGGCATGAAGATACAACTGTGTGGGCTGCTCATAATGGGCGCCTCGATATGCTCCAGTATGTACACGAACACGGATGTCCTTGGAATGAAGATACAACTGCGTGGGCTGCTCGTAATGGGCGCCTCCATATGCTCAAGTACGCACATAGAAATGGCTGTCCCTGGGATCAGATAACGTACAAATATGCACTTGTCGCTGGAGGGGACATGCTGAAGTATGTTGAGGACAATAAGTGTCCAAGAGGCGACTAGGTCGTTTGTGAGGCTTTGTTCGTTGGCCAACACAAGATTCGCATGACAAAGAGTACCTTCTTTGAGCCGTTACGTAGCCATAACATACTATTATTCTAGAGCTTGTATATTAATTCTTTTGCCATTTCTCGCGTACTGGTACATGTACCGGTAGACTCACAACAACCTGGCCCTAGCTAGCTGGCTTCCGTAGATAATCCTCCTACTCTAATCCCCCCTTTGAAACTTCATAGCACACAAAAACGTTGACGTTACTCGCTAGCAAAGTGGAGCTCGAAAGTTCGCTGCCAGGAATACTACTTTATTCATTTCAAAAGAAGACTCTACAAAGGACTACTCTTCAAAATAAATGCACACGTGGTACTTTCGTGCTTACCTACCCTTGGCTTTGCAGTCCTGCTTTGGAGGCTCGAGCACGAAATGTCTGCCATACCTAAATGCCAGCTCCAGATCAGTACACCCGTACCAGGTACCAGTTCCAGGACCAGCCTCCGCGGATGTGCGCTGGCGTCAAACAGATCGAAACCAAACTCGTTGGAATGCACGCAGAATTCTCACTATTAAAAGATCCGTACCAGAGACGCCTTCGGACCATGATCAGGGGCTAGCCTTGCCCAAACGGGGATTCGATTCATCCTACCTAGGTAGAAGGAGAATCAAGAGCAAGGTTAGTGAAACGACTCGGGAAGAAAAGAAGAAATGAACGACTGCTTGGTGCCATTTTCCAGCGAATTGACAAAAGAATGCGAATTGACCTTATGTGGATGAGTGTGGATGAGTGTGGATGAGATGACGACGACGACGAGCAAACGGATACCCTGCAGCTCGAACCTCCTGCCGGTAGTATTGTAGGCTGAAGGTAGCATGACAGGATTAGGTGGGACTTCGAGCGACCCGCAAAAAGAGGAACCAACACCGACAAACTACCGACAGGGGCAAGGTTGGTGTAAGCGCCGTGAGCGCCAAGGACCATCTTTCCAAATAGAAATTCCTCTAAGAGACCCACTCGGGTATCAGATCCAAGGGTCATGGAGCACAAGGCAGCCAACCAACCAACCGACCAACAGAGAACCAACCAGGAAGCAAGCACGGCGAAGCACATCCAAACCACCGATCTTGACTGCACTTGATGCTAATGCTGGGAACCGCTTACTGACCATTTGCTTGACCATGCAAGAACCAGCAAGGCGGGAAGAAGAGACTTGGACGAAGCAACCGTTGATCCATCCATCGAATCGAGCAAGATCAAGAGGGGCAAATACAACCAGGAGCCACCGACAAAGATAGAAGAACCCAAACCGGTGGCATGTGATGGATCCTTAGTGCCGTAGCCATAGTTGGATTTGTGGGATGATTTGTTGGTGGGGCTGTGGGATTATCGGTTGGTGGAGCTATTCGACGTGAGCCCAACCGGCCCAAGAGAGCAAGAAGGCTGCTCTTGCATCGACAGGAGTTGTGGCAAATGGAGACTTGTCGGGCGACTTGGATTTGTCCACGGGAAGGCGGGTGGGCGTGGTTACAATGGTCGATTGACAGTCCTTTGCAGGAACCACCACAGGGACAAGGTTGTGGATGAACTCTTGGATAATCCAACAGCAGCAGCAGCAGGAACCACCAACAGGGACAAGGTTGTAGAACTCTTGGATAATCATGTCGAAATTGAAACCTCCGAAGAGACTTTCCGATCAAATCCAAGGGCCATGGAGCACTAGGCAACCAACCAAACAAACCACAGGAACCACCATTTGGAGGAAGGACTATTTTGTAGAGGAGGACGTCTTCGCTTGTCCGTGAAGGAAGGGACGGCTTTGGTTGCTCTGAGCAGGAGACTGATGCACACGGGATGGCGCCGTGGTGGCCTGCTGATTGCTGTTCGTAACGGTTCGCAATCCATTCAAAAAGAAGGATGCTGGATTGCCACTTGGAGGAGGTGGCTCCCAGCGTGGTCCCAATACCATCCAACCGTCATCAAAACAGAGCGTTTCAGACTGTCGATCTTGATTCTACGCCGAACGGATAGACGACCAGTGGTTCCCACATTGGTGATGTGCTGCTTTGGGAGAGACGATAGCAAGTATGTGAGACGTCGACCGACCCGCCAAACAGAAGAACCGACTTTTCCTGAACCATCGTGGACTAATCTTTCCTGGCACAGCCAACAGGGACCACCAATAGGCCAACAGGGACAAAATGTACCACCCCGCAGAATGATTTCGCAGCCTCAGCAGTTTGGACACGGATCAGAGCTAGCTAGCTTGCTGGATGGACGTGGGCGTCTCGTCAGGAGTTCAGAGGACGTTTGCGGGTCTGTGGCTGACGGGGATATTGTAGGCTAGCTATAGCTTGCTGGATGGGTGACGGTTTTTGCTGCTTTTGGTTGCTTGTTGGCTCGTCGTCGCAGTAATTGTCTGCATTACGGTAGCTTGTGCAAGGTCGTTGGGGTGGATTGCGTTGTCGTCGGATCAAGATTGCTGGTTGGTTGGTTGGTTGGGTAGTAACACGAACGGCCAAAGCACCATTGTCAAGACCTACGTTGGGAACTAAAGAAAACGAGGCGGCAACGGTCGACGACCGTGAAACTAGCTAGCAATGGCACACAAAAAGACAGGAACACGTGGACATATACCTTTGCGCGAGGACGAACCAACCCACGAAGGAACCGCTTGACATCTAAATGGTAGGCATCATTGTCATCATGGCTTCAGGAGGACGAACCAAAGGAAGGAAGGAAGAAGAGAGCTACCAGCATGAACTGTTCGCAAACCTCAATCGGCTATTTTGGACGCAGAACAAGACCTTTTGCTACTCTTAATGAGAGGAAAGCTTTGTCGAGAATGTTGGTTCGTCAAAGCAAGGTCGTTTCATTTCTGCGATAGCTTTTTGAAATTCTTCTTGGCTGTGATTGGCTCGTCGAATTTAATGTTGCAGCTTTTGAAATCAAACTGAAGAAACGTCAGTTTGCGGCCTCCAAGACCTCTCAGTTTGCGGCCTCCAAACTCCAGTTTGCGGCCTCCAAACTCCAGTTTGCGGCCTCCAAACTCCTGTTTGCAGCCTCCAAACTCCTGTTTGCAGCCTCCAAACTCCTGTTTGCGGCCTCCATCTGATGGCTTGCCTTTTCCCCTCAGCCCTTCATTCAATTGAATCACATTGATTTCGGAGTCCCAGCTCTTCATTGTGGACCCAATAAATGGTACAATAAGCCTAACAAGCGAGTTATATATGATCAACATCATCTGCATCATCAATGCCATCGTTTGAGCCTCTGACAACACGATAGAAAATGTTCGTTTCGACGCTCCATCTGATGGCTTTCCTTTTGCCCCGAAGTGAAATAGGCAACGGTGTTCCGCATCCCGGACGCAATGTTGACCCGCTCTACGGGCTTTTTAAATGCTCAGTGGACGAGATCTTTGTTGTTCTTCCTTGACTTCAGTGGACTGCCAACGAATGCTTTCGCAGCGTCATTTTTGTCCGGCACGCGACGCTAATGACAACTCCTTCCTCACTTCTTTCGCGTCCTCCTCCAAGTTCAAAAAATCGAAACGAATTTAGTTTGCACCATGGAAGAATCATCGGGAGCTCCCACAGCCGTCGTGGCATTTAGTAGAAGCAGTGATCATACTACTGTTCGAGACTCTATTAAAGATGTCTTTGCGGAACTCCAAAAGGACGATGAAGGAGTGAGACCTTCGGTGGTAGCAGCAGCTCTCAAAGCCAAACAGGCTGGTGTTACTAGCAGTATTAATACTGCACCACCGGATACTCCCAAGAGTCATGACGTTGACTATGACGCCGTTCAAGCACTGCTAGCAGCCTTGTCGTTCACACCGTCGGAAAGCAGTGTTAGTAGCAGCAGTGACGATGGATCAGTCAAAAAGAGGTTTGACTTTGCCAGTCCAGTGAAGAATGCTCCCTCCACGCCGTGGGTCAAGAGAGTTCAGACGACTCCTCCCACCGCTTCGACAACCTATGATGAAGATGACGAAGACGAGGATGTCAGTCAGATGGTGATTACACCCTCTCTCGAGAAGCACACCAATCATCATGAGACTCCCATGCGAGACACTTCGGATTCCGCTGCGGCGGCCGCGTATCCCTTGTCATTGCCCAATAGGGATAATGGTAGTTCTCATTCTCATGCAGACGACAACGTCTCCACGGTATCGTCACCTCGGGGGCGGCGCCATAGCCATAAGCCATGCAAAAAGTTCCCCAAGGTCTCTACCGATATCCCTGGAGCTGGTGTCACACGGTCCTCTGTGGGTCTCAAAAAGGGAGCCGTCAAGCTACCCTTTGTTCACATTGCGGCTCCCGGTGGTGCGGGTGAGACTGTCGTGGCACTGCGCAAACATCATCAACAACACCATCCGGCGCTTCACGTCTATCAACATGCCAAGGAAGCGTGGGCATGGGGCAAAGGCAATGCTCTCCTAATTAGCCCAATCATGGGCATGGCAGAGGGAATAGTAGGCATGGCAGCTGGGATTACCGGACAAGGCGATTTGGAAACGGTAGATCACAATCTCCTGACACCGTTGGTATCGGCGGTCGATGACGTGATCTTGGGCCCCGTCGCCCATGTGATCGGAGGAGTACTTTCGGGCCTTTTTGGTGGTGGCGGTGAGGATCATGATGGAAGAAACTAAGAACAGACATGCAACTGAACAAGAAGAACGCTACCATAGCGCGACAACAACCAAGAAATCACCGATTCGCAAAGGATCGTTGTGTATTCTGAATGAGAAAAGAAATAATGTTGTTGGAGCTGTGGATGATATTTATTACACTTAATAAGTAGTACGTAGCCGTGAAACTAGTAGTCGAAGATTGGATTTAATCATGCAGTTGTCACCAAAGCTGCAAGATGGGATCCTTTTTAAAATAGTGACCAAACTATACGCTTATTACACCTTGAAAAGAAGTTGACGGGGATAACTATCTATCTATCTTCGCAGCCAATCACTCGGCCATGACATGGGGGAACTGATCTCCATTGCTTTGTCCTATCTCCGCGATTTGTCAAGCAATGTATGTTTTCCGGCAGAGATGTCTGTAGCTGGTTGGGGTCGCTCGAGCACCCTTCTCCCTGTAGACGGAATGGCAGAGTGGCTGGATGTGAAAGGACGAGTGAGAGAGTGGGCAACACCACTAGTAGACTATGTGGCAGATTTTAGCTAGCATGAGGTGGGTGAAAATTTGCCAATCACTTTGCAATACTGCAGCTCGTTGTGCTGTTCTGTATGGCGGTAGTGCATATCTTCAATGTAGGCACTGTGTTCTTGGGTGCAATCTTTGAAATCCTTCACAACTCCATACTTTGCGTCAAAAAATGTTTGAGACCAGACAACCTCCAGGTGTGGACCATATTTTGTTTGTGCATCCTTCAGAAAAGTACCGAGGAGACTATCCGGGGGATGGGACAATTGCAGCACCTTCCCGTTTACCGAAAAGAAGAGTTCCCCGTTGACACCTGGCGAAGCCGGTACTTGTGCGTATTCCATACTTTTATCGCTTGGGTCTTCAAATGCTTTGAATTCACTGGGCGGCGTCCTGGGTTGAAAATCGTGCTTTTCCAAATATTCAACATAGCTGGGGTCCACACCAAAATGCTTTGCTCCGGCAATCATTATCCCAATATATCGCTCCTTCGGCGGCTTGTTATCGTCTTCATTATTATTGGTGCCGTCAGGTCGGCAGTAGACTGTGACATCCACAAGTTCCTGCTGGCCGTCACTTCCGTTTCCGTACGGCCTTGCTTTTCCAATCCGTCTGACATAGCCGACTTCTATCTTGTCCAATTCACGCATTTGCTCCGCAGTCACTCGATGCATCACTCCGTGTAGCGAGTCACCTGGAGAGGGAATCGCTTCCGCAAACCCCTGCGACGAGAAAAATCCCAGTCGAAAATCGAACAATTCCCCTGGGTGGCTTTTTTGAGGGTAGAAGTGCCGATTATCGTACGAATGGGGTAACATCATGCTGCCAATCGCTAAATACCACATATTAGTAGCATCTTCCTCTACTGCTGCTGTTTCTGTTATAGCGGACGATGCTGTTGCCTCGTTAGTCATGTTGCTGATTTTTCCTCTTGGTTTGATCTCGATGCATGAAAAAATGAGATCCAAAGCTAATAATACATGTAAGGGAAACCGGAGAGGTAACTTTTTGTATCTTTTCGACTTCTCCGCCCTGCACGATGATTAGTGGGTCTGCGCCCGTACCGGTTCTGTGCAGGAGGAGGAAAAAAAGAGGGGGAGGAGGTCAGACGTCCCAGGTCCCAGGTCTCATATTTTCCCTTAGTGTCCTCGAAAGATACCTTTTCATAAGTAATACGCCCCGTATCTTCCCTGTTTATCCCGTCTAAAACATAGAGAAACAACTTAAAGTGTACAATCTAATCCACACCAATCGCGCCTTTGTCCCTCTTTCCCACGACCACGAAAAAAGCTGCGAGTCTGTGAAATATTCTAGTTAGAGCACGAATATTTGGAGGTCTAACCCTCGAAAATGGCGCGCACCCTAACTCTATCTTCAATTTGAATTCAAATTCAGCGTGGAGCGACCATAAAAATAAGCACCGGAGCGAAAAGCACTGACAATGACATCAACAGATGACGGCTGCCCATCGCAGTTCGGGAGTGCGCAATGGCGCTTCATCAAGAAGATTCGTGGTGAGATAGAGAAGGATCATGTTGGCTTCTTTAGGGCGAACAACTGGCGCAACATCGCTCCATGCAGGGGTCCCAATGACAGCAATATTTTGAATGAAGGTCGTAAAACGAACGTGGAGAGTTTCTATGTGAAGCATTTGGCTGTGTTCGTGCCCCATCTGTTGTTGAAAAACCACACACCGAAGTGTCCCCATTGCAAGAGAAATAGTCATGTCACAGTTGGGAGGGCGAGGTGGATCAACTGTCCCAAGATTTTGTTTGGCATCAACAGACACAAATATTTGGACACGGTGCTTTACCCGTGTTCTAGATGCAGCCGCCGCTTCGCAGGATACAACAAGCATTTTATGCAATTTGATGCATCGCTGTATCAGTCATATTTCAACTTCTATCTAGGGCCTGACTATGCTGTGGAGGAGGAATTGCTGCGTCATGTCATTGAAGAGGCCACCACGCAATCAACAGCGATGATCGCCGCTCGACTCAAGGCCCAGACAGTGAACGCCTACTTATCGGACCACTCTCTTTACCTCTCTGCTGTTGGAAGAAACCGCATAGATTGCCGACCAAAGAAGAGAAGGGGGAGAATGGAAGACTACATGGTTGAAGCTGATCCTGACATTGAGTTGCAAGAATACAAGGATATGAAGAAGCTGCGACACGAAGCCTACTACAACAAGGCAAAGATGGCATATGCTACGGCGAAGGGACGATATGAAGCCGACATGTCATTTGACCGTCTACTTAAATCTAAGGACAACCACAATGTTCATGGTTCGAGAAACAAGCTACCCGGATTGGGGTCCACGAAGATTCGCACATTGAAGGAAGCAGGAATCCATTCGGCACATCAGTTGCGCGACTGTAACATTCATGACTATTCTCCCAAACTACGGCGTCTGCTACCGGGCTGGAAACAAAAGGTAGTCAAGTATTATGAGGGTTTCTTGGTGGAGATGGAGAAACGTTCTCAGGAACTCCAAATCGCTGAAGATGACTACACGTATGCTACTAACGAGCTTAACGACTATGTACAACAGCAGGCACAAGAGGAACCAGCAGCGCCAATTAATCCCAATGGCACCGTGGAACAAGAAGTGGAGGATGAGCGACCACCCAAATTCTCCCCTTTCAAAGAAAAGAAGGGGTATAATGCCCGGCACTTGAGTAAACATCGCATTGACTCCATTGTCACCAGCGTATTCAACAGTCGCAAATTGTTTCAGGAGTCCAAGATGATGGGGCTGAATGCTGTGATTGTCAAGGTTGATTTCAATTACAAGATTGCTGGGAAGATAAGAGTGTGGACTGGAGCAGGCAAATCATTCGCCCCTTACAAGTGTCTTGTGACAATTCAGAATGAAGACGGGCTGACCATATTTTGGAAGGCGCTGAAATACTCTGAAAGCTTCAAAGAAATCCTGCCGGATCTGCACCGGCTTCGTGGTAGGCTGAATCGAAATGCCAGAGTGAAGTTTGCCCAAGAGGAGAGCAAGAAGAAGCAAGATCTGTCGGTCAAGGGTATCCCCTATGTCGAAAGGGCCCTTCCAATTGATTCTGAGGTGGTCAAGGTCTGTTATGTGGACAACTGCTGTCAGGTCTTTCGTACTGTACAGACCTGCTTTCCAGGATGCAGCGTTCTGTTGGATCCATTTCATTGGCTGAAGAGATGGAACAAGATCTTGGTTGACTGGAATTCGGCCCAGGGTGGAATTTTCCGAGCAATGATGAGCCGTGCCATCTTTGTCATAACTCCTTCAGAGTATGACCGTGCTTTTGATGTTGTCAAAGCCAAGAAGAAGAGGGAACCAACAGTGAAGGAGGTATTGAAGGAGGCCAACTCAACGATCCCATCTCCAGCTACACTACGAGCAAATGTGGAAGCTGTGTTGGAGTACTTCATTGCCAAGGATGCCGAAACAGAGCGAGTGCTCTCCACTTGGCAAGACAATGACACAAGGCCCCCTCCAAAGAGGTTTTTTAAGGCGTCTACCTCCAACAGAGATGTCATTAAACAACAGATGACCTACATTGACAAAGGGTGTTTAACAGATCCTGACCCCTCCATTGTCAACATCTTCCGCTACAATCCAAAGAGCAGCAAGACATATGTCTCAAGAGGAACCAACACCAATGAAAGGGACAATTTGGATTTAGCATACCGCATTCTCAGTGCCACCTATATCGGTAAGAGCAATTCTGACTTGTGCTTGCATTGTTTATTGTCATCTCACAATTTCTTTTATCTTCAACTTGGTGCATAGGGATACATCGTGCAGAGCGGTTGATGTCTTATTTCTTTGAATGGAAGAACCATCGCAAAGCCATTATCCGTCTTGGCCAAGAAGATCATGGAACAGTGGAAACAGAGAAGCTTCTTTTGTTGAATGGTCTTGCCAAAGCTGTTGGTTATGAAGAGGATCGCCTTCCATTCAGCAATGTGTCTGCTCCGAGTACAATAAGGGCCGGCACTGTGGAAGAAGAGTACCTTGGATTTGCTTATGAGTTGCCAGACGACTTGGAAGAAGTGGCGAATCCTACAAATCCAACTGGTAGGAACCTAGAAGATGATCCAGTAGATGACGATGAGATAATAGATGGTGTTGAAGACGATCCCGCGGAAGCCGATGTCACGGAAGAAGATGCTGACCAAGACATTCAAATAGTTATGGGGGAAGACGATTTAGCTATTGCACAAGCCAACAACGAACCAGTGAGGGATGTCAGTGCTATTATTGCGGCAACTGACAAACAAAATGAGGCACTTATTCGCGCAGAGTTAAATAAGATCTTGCCGGAAGCTATCACAAAGGAAACAACACTTCAAGCCTTCCAGCGATTGACCAAGAAACATGCATGGCTACCGTTTCGATCACCTGATTCCAGTACTGGGGCTACAGCAACTGACAAAGAAGAGGCCCTTTGGTTTGACCACCGACACCTGCACTATAGCCCTGATGCCAAGACAGGATCGAACACCTACACCTGTTTCGAACGAGATTGGAATAATGAGGTGGCTCGACGATTTACCGACTGGAGCAAAGGTGATGACAGGATAGTACTGATCAACAGAAAGAGCCGTACAATGCTGCTTGACTACTACAAGAAGCGACGAGAGCTGGAAAGTTTGCAAGCAACAGCTCCTCTGGCAAACGATCCTGATCGGGAACGATTGAACCGGTACCATGCAAGCCAACCGACGGCTTGTCACTGCACCACCTTCTCCTGAAAGAGTCACTCCTCCTGAGTATGTTCGGCATGGTGGTCCTACTCCATTTGGGAATCCAACCACTCTGAACAGCACAATTACAGTGGGAGCAATCCGGCCTGGTGGTACTTCCAACAATGCCATGTTGGTTTCGCCTCCTCCACAACAACCGGCGAATCCAATGCCACTTCCTGTAAGGTATGTTTTCAGGAGCAGAATGTTTTGTGAGCTGTGTGGATTCAAAAGAAGCAACCATGTCGCCGCTGATGAGGGAGTTGCCAAGACATGCAGAAGAGACTATTGTGGCAAGTGCCGCCAAACCAAGAAGCACCATGCCACAGTTGATGGTGTCTTCCTATTTGGGCAGCATTGCAATCTTCCCACCCATCCATGGCAACAGAAGTTTGTGGAGAAGTGGTTTGATAAAAAGGTGAGTTTACTAGTGTTACTGGGTGACTACTTGGATAACAGAGACCAACAAATTCTTTTTCCTCTTTCAATTTCCAGCACTAGAACCGGCTCAGGTCCATCTTCAAACATCCAAGGCTCCTCGTGAGTTTCAAGGACTCCATTGATGTGGATGTGGTTGATGCACCCTTCCACATACTCATCAGATAAACAAGCAAGCTGCTTGAAGGTCCAGGAGGTACCATCATTGTATGTCCTGTCAAACATGTCATTCCAAGCTTCACAGATCTGCTTCTCATAGCTGGAGCTCCTGCCGAATGCATTGACACACATCTCTTTCGCCAGCCACCAGATACACTCTTTGTACATGTTCTTCTCCTCCACAGCAAGAGGATAGCTCACAATGTCATTACAGGTGCCTATGACATTCTGGTACCAGTCAACACTCTTCTCAATTCCCCAAAACTGCATGGCCTCAATGATTCCATTCATTTTGGGAGTGACAACTTTGGCCCTTCCACTAATGATGAGCTCCTCAAGGATAGGTGCCTCAAAGCAGGTGATTGGTACACAATACACAGGCAAATGTCCAGTTCGCTCCTGGTGACTCTCCTCCAAGAATACATACTTAAGAGAGATGCTGTTTCGGGTAGCCTTCAGCTCATTGAAAGGGTAATGCGGTACAGCTAAAAGAAACTTTGAAAAACCTGCACTAGTATTGAACCTCATAGTAAATGTAGTTGTTCTTTAAACTTGACGACTTTCAATGACTCGACGACAATCGATAGAGGTACGGATCTTATTTTGTGAGATGAAGCGCCAAGTTTTCCCTCCGAAAAGATACGACGCACCAATGCTGCAGACTTAACGGGTGAACAAGTCTTGTACTCTCCAAAATTTCAAATCACTGTGCCAATTGTACTATCGGTTGAATTACTTAGGAGAAATTGGGTCCAACGGTGTCATATAAAAATTTCAGTACTATATGACCATAACCTGCTTTCTCGCTCCCCGATTAGTGTGATAGAAAGAGCACGTTTACCGCACACTTACCAATCAATCAGACCCCAAGAATCGTCAAAGATACGACTACAGTCGTACATGTATGTCTACTACTAGCTAGTACCGGTACCAGTACAGATGATACAAACGGCCCGAACTTGGGCGTTCCCCCTCTCTACCGGTACTATACTTTTACGGTACTACGTTTCTGCAACAGTAGTTGCACAGGCTCAGTATGTGCTTCCCACTACACTATGGGGATCTTACATACCCTCAGGATCAATGACAGTATGCTAGGTAGAAAACCTATGGTATCGGCAGTCATTGAAACAAAGATCCTCTCAATAAGACTCCCATTATTAAATAAACTGCAACAGATAAGATATAACAGGGGCGCCTGCATACATAAGACCAACTCACATACTGAGAGGATTCCAATTTCGCCCTAAGTATCCCAACACATACCGTGCCATTCCCATGAGATCCGATTGATCGTTCCGATCCAACCGTTGCAGGTTGTCAGCATACTCAAGCAGCCACCGTACGAATCGTTCAAGCATACTCAAGCAAAGAGGCGACAAACGCCGAAATCCCGTGATCGATCGATCTTCTCCGTACAGGTAGCAGCTAGTAGCTAGCCAGTTCAGTTTTCTTCAGTTTTGAGCTCATTATTTTCAATCCTTCTACTCTGTAAAGGAAACTCTGCCGAAATTCCAACTCAACCAAACCAACATTTCCTTTGTTGACCAAACAATTCATCCACCATGGCCATGGCCAATGCCAATGCTGGAGCAGCCCTTGGCTTGGAAGACGTGCCGGAACTTCCTGAAGCACCCACGGAGCAGCCCAAGTACAACCGGGACTACCATCGACTCTTCATCAAATTCATGAGCTGGCTGCACAAGAGGACGTACACCAAGGCGGCTCGCTTCCAACCCAGTGCTTTGGGCGGCATCCAACCACATCACGTTGCCGACTACTTGAAATGGCGTGCGTATGGTACGACGGACGTTGACTTCAAAGACCTCGAGCAGAATCCAACTTGCCGCTCCTCTACTCTTGAGCAAGACAAGAAGGCTATTTCCTTCTACATGCCCATCAAAGGTGCCACATGGAATGGAACCTCCGGCAATCCAACCAAGTCCGATCCTGTGAACGAAGTGGTCAAGGAAGTCAAGAAAGCGGAGACTCAACACCGCGGGAAGAAGTCCTGTGCCACCAGGGATTTGACGGAAACAGAGTATCGCAAGGTGGTCCATGAACTCTACGGCAAAGGGAGCTTTGAATCGACCATCCGTACAGCCTGCATGTTGAAGCAGCAAGTCCATCTCATCACCAGGACGGATGACATCTCCAAGTTGAAGTATTCCGACTACAAGCCGCATCCAGACTTCCCTTTTGCGCTCAGTTGCAAGGTGCATTGGTCCAAGAATATTTCGGAAGAACGACAATGCCCCGACCAAATCATTCTTGGGTCGATGGATACCGACTTTTGTGCTATGCTCGGATTGGCGAATTACATGGAGGCGTCCTTCAACTACGGGTATGGCGCCGCTGGTCGGGAAGATGCATTCCTCTTTACTCCCGAAAGCGATCCCAAGTTGGCTCCCAAGCACTGCAACGCAGCCTACCGCAACATTCTCAAGGCTGTCTTTTTGTCGGCTCCATTTCTGGCTGTGGCGCTCCTCATTGCCGGTGTTCTTGGGAGTCACAGCATTCGGAAGTTTGCTGCAACTCTGGCAAGAGGAATGGGTGCTACTGCTGACGAAGTTGACATTCGAGGTCGCTGGAAGGCTCGCTTGTCTGGACGGGTTGTTGATGCCTACATTTCGCCTGAACAGCCCTGGATCGACGCCCGTGTTGCCGAAAAGCTTTGCATGGGGGCTCCTATTGCCTACAAGCTACACCCGGATGCCAAGAGAGTGACTCCCGACTGGTTGATTGAGCATGTGGTGCCAAGGACACATGCCTTTTACGACGGTGTCAACGACATTTCGCTTCACTTGGCTCTGCCTCTTTTGTGGGCTGCTCTTGACGAATCTTGGGAGGAGAGGATGGAGCCTCCCGTTCGTGTTAGGATCCAAGATGCGTACGAGCGCATCAAGGCCGATATTCCTGTTGGCGTCAACCCTGTGGTGAAAGTGCCTCTCTCTATTTGGACGCACAACACCAAGCTCCACATCAACGAAATCGAGCCGATGGATACGGGAGGTGGCGGTGGCACGGCTGGTGGCACTACGGGAACGACCGGCCAGGCAAGCACTCGTCAAGTTGCCAATCAGTCTCGGCAGGTGACGGCTATGCAAACGCAACAGCAGGTACGAACGAACGAGGAGATTCTGACAAGGATTATTGCGCAGCACAACCAGCTCCAGCAGCTCATTGCGCAGGAAGGTAGGACCCGCGACAGTGCGGCTGCTGCTTTGAGAGGCTGGTTGGAGACTTGGCTTGGCGCGGAGCTGACGAAACTCAATGGCAACATTTGCAGGTAAGTGTGGACTTGTGGCTGTTGGCTATTGCAACCATGGCTATTACTGCTGCTAACTCTGTATTTTTGTATGCTTTTTAGGATTGCTGTTCAGCCTCCAAGGATGGCAACACCTGATCAGGTAGATGGTAATCTTTTTAGAAATGGGTTGACTGTGGAAATGACTCGCCGGAATGGCCAGACTAGCCTCAGGTACAGACAAGCTGTGGCCACCACCCCTGCTGATAGTAGGCCTGCCAAGCTAGCCAAGTACAGAACTGTTGGCTCTGCTTGGCAAGAGTGGATGCATGGTATTGGTGGCAACAAGCCAGCCAAGAACTTCACTGCTGAAGATATCAGGGCTTGCAAGTCAACCTACTCCAGGAGGAAGCCACTCTGGACTCTCATGGCTACACTTGTCAATGCTCAGAAAGCTCCAGCTTGGGTCATCTCCAAGATTGAGGAGCATTACAAAGGAAGTGTTTTGAATATTACTGCTGCCATCAAGCAGGACACCATTATGGGCAGTCTGCATGAGGATCTTTGTATTGTTCGTGCTCAGTAAAGTTGACCTTAGTTTGATAAGCATGGTAGTCATGCCTAATAGTGAGTCTGTTACATAGACTTGTGCTTGTAGCTGTAGTGTTTTCGTTTTCGTGGACTTGTGGCTTTTTCGTACATGTACGGAGCCAGCGATTTTGGACTTGTGCTTTTGGAACGTACGTACAGCGATTTTACTAGTAGCTACTGCTATGTGCGTTTTCGAGAGATAATAGAGGTGCGTCCGTTATCTTAACAGTGAGTAGTAGAGGTGCGAGCCTCATTTTTCTTACAGTCGAGGACGTGACCTCCTCAGTGGTATAAACGAAGGAGGAAAAGAACGACCGACAACCAAGCATACACCAGGTGTTGGTGGCGTTGGTATACCTCGAGGATACCTCCTGTAGGATGGCTACCACAGGTACAGGCTCTCAGTATTTCTCTCAGTTCAGGGATATACTTTTACGGTACCGGTACCGGTAGCCAGCTAGCTCAAGCCCGAATTCGGAAGTAGCTACAATACTCGTTGCTACACTAGCTAGGTTCTCCCCAAATACGATTCTCGTTGCCAGACTATTAAAATAGCTAGTTCTCATAATTTCCTGCTTTGTCTCTTTTTACAGCCAGGTTCGAGATGATTTACTACAGGTGCCCTGTTGATGGAGCGCTGATTGTCACGGACGACGGCCAATGAAACGTGACGGTGAATGGCAATCTAACCTGGAGGGCGACGTTTCGATGCTCGGATCACAATGTGGATCTCATTGCAGAAGAAAATGCAAACGCAGCCGCGGTGCCGCCTCGAGAAGCCCACCTTGGCGGCCTACCGGTATTATTGCAACCAGGCGACTGGCTCATGACGGATGGAAGCATGGGATCTCTCTACAAGCACCATTTCATGTACGTCGGAAACGGAGAGTTTGTGAGCAGGCAGACAGGTGGAGTAGTCCTGGAATGAATCAACCCAGCACCAAGGCAAGAAAGCTTGGCTTATCCACCATGGTGGTCAAGCTGCAGCCGACCGAGCCAAGGGCCGTATCGGTGAGGGTGGCTACCTATAACCTTGCTTCGAAAAACTGTGAGCATTTCTGCAGCGAAGTTTGCGGTTTAGGTCACCATTCGGAGCAAGTTTTCGTTTCCAGTGGAAAAGTAGCCGTGAAGGCCGGATCCGCCTTGGCCAACCTCTTGAACGCAAACCCCAATGTAACTTTTACGAGCAGCATCAGTGGTGGCTTCACTTCGATGGGCGGCTTTAGTGCTGGTGTTAGATTCGCTTTGTAATGGACTGATTGCTTGAGGCTTTGGACAAAGGCGCGAAGCAACGCTCGATGGAGCATGGCAACTCATACCGTCCTCTTATGGGGTGGACGATTTCCACGAAAAATCGCTGCTTCCAACCATCATGATTTCAATTGGTATGGTAGCATCTTTTCGCCACAGCAGCAAGAGTGACTCACTCTTGACAAAAGACTGCGAATACGTCCACCCCGACACACACGCCAGGCTACCCCCGGTAGGGCTGCACTCCAGGCTCCAATCAGTCTCCAGAACAGAAACGACCCTCGAGTGCGATTGCGGAAAACAGAACATACTAGTAGATCTACTTCAAGACATCATGATGGTAGCAATTGGAAAACGGTGTCTGGCTAGAATCTGCAGTTATTATTGCCTGCATCACTTACTTCTTAATAAGCCTCCAAATATGCTTTTTGAAAGGAACCGGCTCCAGATACGCACCATAATCGGGACCAGATCCCATATCAAATGGTTCCATAACCGTGCTACTGTTTCCATGCATCTTGGGAAAGCCGTGCATGTGCCATGTTTGTATCACGGTACAACCATTGGAAAAGCTTGCTTCGGGAAAGTTGCTCTTGAGGGCCGCCAGGGCAGCCCACTCGGCTCTATATTGATTCATCAGGAAGAACACATTGTTGCGTTGAAACAAGGATGGGTCCAGTCGACCTTGCATGATTTTGCGGTGAAAGACATATCCATCCCACGACTTGGAGGCCCACTTGCAGCGTCGCCGTAGATCACCCACCATGCCATCCAGGTCCCATCCATGAATAAACTGCATGTGTTCCTTGGTGGGCGATGGGATGTTCTCCTTGCTGGCGTCGAATCCCCAGGATGACAATGTCATAATGACATTATCCTTGATTTGGCCGGCATATTGCACCGTGTGATCAAATGCATGGTCCGCGTTCTCCAAAATGACAACATCACCCGTGACAATGGTGGGATCGGCGGCATAGGAGAACATGTCGAAATAATTGGGTTGTCCGAGTGTCCGGTCGACACACGTGAGAATTGGCTTTAATCGGTTTTGGTACTCGGGGCTGCTAGTGTCTGTTCCCCCAAATTTATTGTAGTCTGCTTCCACTTGTTCCATTCTGGCTTTGAAATGTGCACAACTGGCATTGACGTTGGAGCCATCGAGGATGATGACAATTTGATGAAGATGTGGATTGTTCATGTTGTTCAGAAGGGACGCTTCAATCTCTCGCCGATGTGGACTGACCTCTTGCTCGGGAGGCTGAGCCCACAAACTAGTGACCATGGAAATGGACCCTGGAATGACGGGAGCTCGGGTATCTGAGAGAGTGGCCGCCTTAGGAGCCTCAGTGGCCGGCGCTTCTTCTGTCGTCTGTTCGGCAATGGCTGTTTCATCAGGAGTGGCAGAAGTGGCATCAGGAAAATTGGGAGTTGCAGCTGGGGAAGCCCCAGTATCTGCATCCTGAGCAGCATGGGCTTTCGGCCGATCGGCTACTGTAGCTACAGGGACTGCTGCTTCCTGAGCGGTGGCAGAAGTAGCGTCGGGACTATTGGAAGTAGCAGCATCAGCAGTAACGCTTATAACTGGATCATCCTGAACAACAGCAACGGAGCTATTCCCAACCCCAGGGGTTCCAGTGGTATTGGTTTCCTTCTTGAGCTCCTTCTGCTCAACACTCTGGATGATCTTGGATGGGAAGAAGGCAACGGTGAGCACGAGAAGGAAACAGACCGTGAAATAAGTCCGCCGTTGTCCTGTAGGGGTTTGTGGTGGAGATGAAACAGTAGAATCAAATGCCTTCATGGTCAGGTACCATGTGGCAGCAGGCTGAACTCTTGATGAACCCGGGAAGAGTAGCGGTTGCTGTGGTTCTTGTTGACGCTTGTAGTGGCAGCGCCGTAGACCACTCTTGTATGATAGTTGTTTTCCGTACCGGTATCGGCACTGCCTACTATTAAATAGTAGCAGTCGTACGATAATGGCCGAGTTCCGCAGTGCAGTAATAGGGCAGAGTCTTGATGACCCCTCCGCAATCCGCAATCCGCAATATCAATATCTTAATAAGGCTAAATAAGCCCCAAAAGAAAAAGCTTTTGCTATTAATAGCACAGTGCATTATGAATAATTATGGGGGAGGATGCAATAAGCCCAAATATCAATATCTTAATTAATATGGCTAAATAAGCCCCAAAAGAATACTCGAGTACTCGAGTAACCTGGTGCTATTAAATTAAAATAGCACAGTGCACGCTCGCTCCTGTGAGCTTGCTGCGTTGCTCTGTTCGCTCACTCCTGTGAGCTGGGCGTTCTTGCGCTCACTTTCTGACTCGACTCCAACTCAACTGGTCGCATCTCAATCAGTTTCTGCTCCATGGAGACGGTTCAAGCATGTAGATAGTGTAGCTTTTGACGCTCTGTCTTGCAGTAAGCTTTGATCCTTCTCCAATACGGTAGACTGGAAATGGATCGTTCAATCCTCCGTGTTGTCAGTGTGGTGAGGCATGATTTCGCTCACCATTCCCTTGTGGGATTTTGCCTGGAAAGCAAGCTGTTGGGATAGCTCTCACAGTGAGGCCAGAGCCCTTAGCTGTTTGAACCGTTGGTTGTACTGGTACTGGTTACCTTATAGCATTGGACTCAATAGTCAATATCCCATGGGCGAGATGAACTTCTTTAATTGATACAGTGTTGGTTGCTAGTAACACTGCAGCACACTTCTAGTAAAATGTAATAGTTTTGGTTTACTTTATTGGGCTGTATCAAAGAAGTGATCTTTCTCCAGGTATTTCTGGGATTGATTCGATTCAACTTGCTTGGATATAGTGAAGGGGGTGACCATATAGATCAGTTAAACTCCCCATGTATGTAACTAGCTAGACAATAGATATAAATATCCCCGCTAGACTAGACTAGACTGGGATAAATGGATAATTGTATTGTGGTGTCTGCAACACAACCTCCAACACCAAGGGGCACAAAGGGTAATAACATACCACGTACTGAAGTTGTTTCCCCATAATGTAACAGGCTTCTACGACGGACAGAAAACTTTATGAATAGTATTCTTTAGTTGTATTTATAGATTGCGCAAACAATTCCAGTCTGCTTGTTTATAACAGGGAGCTGGTTGTAGTTTTCTCGGATCTTTCTCGTTGCACCGGTATCTCTGACTACTCTACTAGCTAGCTACTCTACCGTACCGGTACGGTACCGGCAGTATTGAATGATTCAATCAAAGACCATGTTGCTGAGAGCATTCTAGCTATACATGTAATTGTTACACTGCAGTCTCGAACAGCAACCACATCCTCTTGGGCCATGTGCAAGGTTGTCGTCCACCGATGGAATGAATCAGAATCGAATCGAATCGATTCAATCATTCTCAGGATGTCCGTTGTCGTTTCGATGCCGACTCGTCCGCAGGCGGTCCCCGTGGAGGCTGTTTGGGTGTTGGCGGAGCAGCTTTCGTTGGAGTATTCGCTGCTGATGGTGTTCTAGTAGCCCCTTCGACTCCTTTCAACCGCCCTAAATTGGCCCGAATCTCTTTGAATGCATCGACATCTGTCCCCCGTCGATCGACAATCAATTCAATAATTTGTCCACAAATCGAACTTACGGCTTCGGCTTGATTGGGAGGACATGCCAGTACTTCCAACCATGTTTTCTTATTGTTGGTCGGTTGGACATTGGCAAAATGACCGGCCAAATAGACACATGCCGTGGCAATCAACTGCGGCGAGAATTGGAGACAGAGGGATGTGTGTACGGAATCGTTGGCAAAACACATGGAATATTTGACCAAATCGTTGAGCATATTGTTCATACTGCTAGTTTTGGAAGAAGATTGTGGATTTTTGTATTCGAGCTGGCGTGTGTGCGTGAGTTTCTTGATAATTTCCACGAGAAACTTGTAGGGATGATCAATGCTCAATTCAAAGCCAATGGTATGCAGCACGACACGTTCCAACAATAAAATGCGTTCTTTGCGTTTGGCAAATTCTTCGCTTTTCGGGTCTATCACGGGTCCTGCGCCTTTGCCAGCTATGTAAGTAGTAGTATATATGGGAGTGAGTTGATTGTTGTTGTTGAGCGATGATTTAGGAATGCAAAACACAAAGAAAAAACGGGCAAATAATGAGCATGACGCCGTCAAAGGAACTTGTTGGATTATTCATACACAACACAACGCACCATTCGAAACTCCGGTAGATTTCAATTCCAAGCATTTTGCGACAATCTCGTTGAGCTTTTTGGGTGCCTCTTCGGTCTTGGCGGCCAACAAGATACTGGCCACTGCCACTTCGAATCGATCGTGTTCCATAAACGAGTGCTTGGCATAAAAGCGGTGGAAAAAGACCATGGCCGTCGCATTGGCGACTCGCGGAAGCTTGAGGATTCGCCCGGCTTCTTCAATGAATCGACACGTCTTTCTCCGACGAATCGTCTCTTCCTTGGCGGTCATGCCGGCCTTGACAGAGGGCAACTGAGACACATCGAAATTCTTGAGAGCCGCAGAGGTCATGGTGCTTGTGTGACTGTTGTTGTTGTTTGTTGTTGGTTGCTGTTGTGCGATGTACCTTTCGGGGTGGCCGTGGTGAAATAGCTTTAACCCTGACAGTATTTTGAATGTCCTCTCCGCAAAGGTGACGTCAGTTGGATCTTTGGTGCCTCAACACCAAATCTTGAGTGCTTGGTGTCAAGGCCTCGTCCAAGCATCCTCTCCCAAGTCCCAAGCTGATCACCACTAAGTCTTGACTTTCTCATTTGTGGTTTCAACCATCTCATCATTAGTTATAATATTCCATTCCAACCATGACGAGAGACTCGATTATCCGACACATGCTGGTATTGCTGCTTTTGGGCACGGCATCTGCATTTGCACCGTCCGTGCGACCTTTTTCGAAAAGTCCAGCGGCAAAACACAATGCCCTTTTTCAACGACAATCCACCACAAGTCTCCTGTTGAGTGGTGATAACGCGGAAGGAGACGCTCCCAAACGACGGAGAAAACGAGTGAAACGAAAGGAAACAGTAGAAGAACAAGATGTGGAAGAATCTGCTCCTCCTGAAGTCAAGCCACGAGAGGATGGTCCGGTTCAGTTGCAAGTGCAAGACGTGCGAAATTTGGTGGGTGGTGGAGGACCGGCACCAAGAACCACAACTAGTCTCGAATCAACTTCGATGGCGGGCTCGCAGCAACCGGCATCATCCTCTGGCGGGACCGACGATTCGTTGCTACGGTTACTAGAGGATGCCAAGGAAATGCAGGCACTGGAAGACACCAGCGCCGTCTCGACCGGAGAGGAAGATGGCGAGTTTTCCCTCCCAGATACCCTTCGAAAAGTTGTGTCGACGATTGTCACGGTGGACTTTTTTATAGTATTTGCCTTTTTGCTCTGGTTTTTGGCGGGAATTTTCTGTTCCTATATTTTGAAGGATGACACGGTGCAAATTGCATTTAATCGTAAGTACTGTTTGTGCTTGTGTGTCTTGCCTTTTTGTACTTGAGATGTTCCTTGTGCCTCAAGTTGAATTCTTCTTCCAATGTGGGATTTCGCAGAACAATTCCAGCCACTGGTACAGCCAGCTTTGGGTATCCTCATGATAGCTTCCGTTGCTGGGTCCTTCCTGGACAAAGACGAAGAAGAAAATGCATAATTCTACATGCCATCCTTCCATCCAAGACAATGACGACAACATGCTATGCAATCAACAACGTGAAAATACATAATTCCCAACGAAATCGAAACGACGGCGTCAAAGCAAAGCAAGATCTACAGTTACATCATACATGCCTCTATAAAAATCTCAAATGCTATCTTCGTTGCTTCTTCTTACCACCACCCTTGCCAGAATATCCGCGTTGGTTGGGCAGAGCTCCACCTCGTCCCCCACTGCCTCCGGCATAGCCCTTTCGGAGTTCCTTTTCAATAATACCCTGCAATCCATTTTCTTCGCCACCATCCACGTCGTCATCACTGCTGCGTCGATGCTTGCGACGTCCACCACTGTCCTTGCGGGATGCCAATTGTTCTTTTAGTTCTCGCGTAGCCATGCGTTGGGCTTCGTTGACTCGTTCCAACAGCACCAACACGGTCTCTTCGTCGAGTTTGTATTCAGCCAGCTTGCGACCCAGCAGAGCTTCCAGTCTCATGTAGACTTCCACATCGTACTGAGTGACCAAGGCAATGGCTTTTCCGGATCGTCCTGCCCTGGCTGTTCGGCCGACTCTGTGAATGTAGTCTTTGCCGTGACCTGGCAAGTCAAAGTTCTAGAAAGAAATTGGAGTATAGATGGCAACGGCGGTCGTGAGAAAGAACGGTGGTGAGTCAAACAATGAAAAATACACAGTGCGGACAAACAACAATGGTTCGTCGATACAAAAGTACACACAAGGCCACTTACAATGACCACATCCACAGAAGGAATATCCAAACCTCTACTAGCCACATCGGTACAGATTAGAATCTCGCGATCACCGGACTGGAACTTTTGAAGAGCTCCCAACCGTTTTGGTTGCGTCATTTGCCCGTGCAAGCAAATGGCGGCGAATCCCAAGTTACGTAGCATGAGTGCCAATCGTTCCACATTGTTGCACGTTGCTCCAAACACAAGGATAGACTTTCCAGCATGTTCGTGAATCAACCATGTCAAGTAGCAGTCCTTGTACTTGGCAGGGATAAAGAGATAGCTCTGTAGCAGTTGTTTCGGTGTTTGGAATTTCGTGCTGACTTCCAACTTGACAGGATTTGTCAGTGATGCGCGTTGGAGTTTTTGCACCTTGGACGTCATGGTGGCTGAAAAGAGAAGGGTCCGACGGTCCTCAGGAATGACATCTAGAATTTTGTTCAGTTCTTCCTCAAAATCCAACGAGAGCATCCGATCTGCCTCATCCAATACTAGATATCGCAGTTTGCGCAAATGAAATCCTTTTGTATTCTCCAGATGATCAATCAAACGTCCCGGAGTAGCAATAATAACATGAGGTGCCCGTGCCAAGGCAATGCTCTGGGAAGTCTTATCGACACCACCCACAATGCAGAGACTCGTCGCACCAATGGTTCCTGACAAAGCTTGCAAAACTTGATGGATCTGAAAAGCCAGCTCCCTCGTGGGTGTTAAGATGAGACCAAAGACAGCTCCACGAATGGGATTGTCGAGAAGGTCTTGCAATAAAGGGAGACAAAAGGCGCCTGGCAGGTTGCGAGTTGTTGGGTGGGGGTGATAAATTTGGAGAAGAATCGATGCAAAAGTACAGTCGAGAATAATAATCCACCAGACAGATATCCAGCATCCGATAGATAGACAGAAGCAATTACCCAGACGCATCGTTAGAAAGATAACTCATTGGTACAATCCCCAAAATCCCATTCACCAAAACCTACCTGTCTTTCCACTTCCTGTTTCAGCCAACCCAATAACATCCCGTCCCTTCAAGGCATATGGTAAGACTTCCTCTTGGATGCGAGTTGCCGTTTTCCACCCAGAAATGTTGCATGCTTTGACCAGCGGTTCGCACACTCCCAGAGATGAAAATGTGGTTTCCGTCAACACAGCGGAACCCTCGACCTCTGCTTCTTCCTTGGTTTCCTCATTGTCCGACTCATCCTTAGCCTCTGCTTCTGGTTTCTGCTTTTTGTTTTCCTTGGAGTCCATTTTCTCCTCTTTGCCATCAGCCACTTCTTCTGTTGGCTCTAGTTTTCCGTGGGAGACTTCCATTGGGTCCATTTTTTCATTTTCGGAGCTGTCCGTCTTGTCCGCCTTGGATTCTTCCTTGGCTTCCTTTGCCGCAATTTCTTCTTGCTTTGTGACAACACTATCTTTCGATTTTCCTTGGTCGTCCTTCGTTTGAAGCTTTTCCGCTTTTTTCTTGTCCCTCTTTTTCTTTTTCTTCTTTTGGTTCTTGTTCATTTTCTTGGCCGTTTCATTCTCCCCGTCTGAGGCAGCAGGCACTGGTTCCTCGTCTACTTTGGGCATCCTGGAAAACTAACTGTTCAGATTATGCCTTCCTTGTTGGACTATTATCTTGTTGGAGATTGTTCCTTCTGTGCTGTGGATGCCGCTGCTTTCTCACCTACGGGTATCTGTGGGAGGGACCAAGAAAGCAAGGAAGAAGAAAGAAAAAATGAAGCGAGAGAATGTTTCGTGGTGTCAGGTCAGTCGCGAATAAAAGAGGGACTAAGACGGATCACGGCCAGACCACACGGACCGTTGTGATGAGATCGGCGAAAGCAACGTCTAAATCTCCCACGCACAAGCCAGAGGAAGTGTCTCCAACGCTCCACTCGCTTTTTGGTTTTTAGCACTTCACTTGTCCATGCCACCGACGTCCATGCTGTTGGTCTTGGTGTCTGCTTCCACAGCACTCTATGCATACCAAGCTAGCTACAGTAGCAAAACCTCTCGAGAGAGACAGTCAATCATCCGTGTTGGCTGGGGGACAACACTACTACTAAAGCCAAGTAGACCATCATCTCTGTCTTGGGAACATCATGGTGGCGGAGTCGATGCGAGCATCGCGACGACCCACACGGATTCCTCGTTACCACCACCGACACAACACCAACAATAAGCATCAGCACGAGGAGAGTGAAAGAACAACAGCCAACCATGATTCTTCCAAGGTCCCTTCGTTCTTTCGAGCCAATCCTCCTCCCCGTGGGTTGCGTGCTCATCAAGGCTCACAAGGATCGTCCAAGCAAAGAAGAGCCAAAAAGGAAGAGAAACGACAATCATTGCTAGAGGCGAAGACGTTCAAGTACCCTCCATTCATGATCGAAACAGTAACCACCAATTCCAACTCGAACGATTCTTCTCAAGAGCAGCAAAAAAAGCGAGACAAACGCTTACAAGAAGCGTTATTACAGTCACCCAAGCTGTGGCCCCCAGAAACCAAGAAAGAATCACTGCAGACCAAACGAAGAAGGTTCGAGTCTCTCATGGCAGACATGCTAGCTAAGCAACGCGACAATATGACAGATCCAATAAAGAAACAACAGACCATCGAAAACAAAAATTACAACAACAACAAGCACAATCGGGTTCCAACCGAACAAGTAGTCTTTCGAGATCACAAATCAAGCCCCAAAGTCGCGGTACAACCGAGGCGCGTTGCATCCGACGATCAACGATTTCCCCCTTCTCGTATCATTGCGAAACTGAAACGAACAGAATCCCATCCTCCAGCGCATCATAACCATAATCACGACAATGAAACAATCAAAACCGACGAATCTCCGTTTCGTCGACTCATGGACGCTCCCATGGATGGGCAACCCACGGAGGGAGTGTTGTCGCCGTACTCAAATTTACAGTTCAACCTGTTGGGGCTACTGGGGTCGGAGATACCTGTCGAACTGCAGCATTCTCCGATTGGGAAACGGCCGAGGGGTTCTTTACATGACTCGGCGGTGGAACGCCTTCAAAGTCTCAGGCAAAAAGCCAAGTTCGGGCTGGAAAGGCTCGACTATAATTCGTCACGGCGAACAGATGCACGAACGGTGACATTCAGTGACCAAGGGGGAACCGAGAAGCAAGATGCAGAGGAAAAGGAAGAAGAAGAAGAGGAGGAGGAGCCTTCTTACAGCATTGATCTGACACAAACAGACAGTGATGATGAGTCGGCAATGCTAGACTTGGGGCAGGGGCAGGCAGTCGGTCGATCCGCCGCTAGGGGTGCACAGAACAACATGGCGGGGCAACGCTGGGAACAAACAGTCCATCAAATTGCCACCAAGATTACAAATAACAGTTCAGGGATGCAAGAAGGCAACATTCGAGAAAGTGCGCAAAACTACATCCTGGGATCTAGCTCTTTTCTCATAGAGGAAGCGAAGAAACAGAAACGCAAAGACCAGATGGGAAGAGAGCCCAGTGAAAGGATAAGAATGACTCCTACACCCTTTGGTCGGAAGATCGACATCACCGAACAACATCGGGAGCCAAGTGAACGAATGCGAATCTCCCCCACTGACTTGAAAATGGCCAGCCACAACAGACAGTTGGAACCTAGTGAGCGAATTCGCTCGCCGTCATATCTTGAGTCGGAAGACGAGGAACGTGTGAAACAACCACAACAATCTGCGAATGAAAAGTCACGATCTGCTACCTTGAAACGCCAACAACGTACACTTACACAACGAGCAATCAGGGAGCAGACCAGTTCATCGTCAATCTCAACAACTGACCACGAAAGTGCGAAACACCATAATGCCAAAGAAGAGCCCAGCCAACGGATGCTATCAGCAGTCTTCAATCGAGAACAAAGGCAACTAAGTGCAGGCAAACCAAAGGAGCCAAGGGAGCCAAGTGTGGCATCCCCAGCAACTGTGCATTCGCAGAGGAATTTTCTCTCGCAGGCCTCGCAGACTGCTTCAATTCGCAAGCCACCGCTGCGCTCGTCGGAACCACCGGGCTCCTCTCCCACTCCACAAGACGCGTCACTAGCCCCCACATTTGCCTCTCCCATTTCCGATCTCGCGTCTGTCCGTATTTCAGTGAATCATGTGAACCTTATCAAAAACATCTCAGTTCCTGCAACCCAGGCCAGTAGTACCCAAGGCACCAGCATTGCAGAGAAAAACTCCATACTGGCCGATGACGACGCCAATTCTATCATGGTGATTCATACGTCGTCTTGGACTGATTCTAAGGATGATCAGGTCCCAGATGTCATACTTTCAGTGGGTGATGATGGCGAAGTAGAAGTTAGGAAGGACACTGTGCGAAGATCGGGGGTATCACGAGAGGGGAAGAAACCACAAGAAAAGGGGCACGGAAGTTACAGCGGTCGCAACAGCAAAAATTCCACTGAAAGCAAGACGTCTGCGAGACCAATCTTGAGCCGCAAAGATCCTGATGGTAGTGCTGGTGGAAGGAGTTCGCGAAGAGGAGGAATTCCGAGCAACCCTTTTAATCGTACCGGGAGGCAAGAGGTCAGCGGCACCTATGATTCAAGAAACAGCAACAGCAGTCACACACCGAGAAGTAGGCAAGAGGTCAGTGGCATCTATGATTCAAGAAATGGCAACAGCAGTCGCACGCCAAGAAGTAGGCAAGAGGTCGGCACCAATGATTCAAGAAACAGCAACAGCAGTCACAAGCCGAGCAGCGAGAATCCCAGGGGGCAGGATCCAAGTATCGGAACAAGTGTTTCCGATCTGGCTCGTATCCGAGCTCGGATTGCAAAGACACGTACTGAAGGAATTGAAGGAGCATCGAGGGCTCCTGATCCGAGTGTTCATGATCCGAGCGTTCATGAAGCAAGAGCAATCCGAGACCCCCAGGGACGGGACCCAAGAGGGCCCGATCCCCCCCAGGCAAATTCACCTTTGCCAACCCGATTGGCTTCCCCACCACCAACCCGATTGGCTTCCCCACCACCAACCCGATTAGCCTCTCCACCACCAACCCGACTAGCCTCCCCCCAACCAAATCCACCGCCGCCAACCCGATTATTAGCCTTCCCAGCCAAGGTCTCTTCCAGGCATCAACATTTTAGACCAAAGCAGGCAAGAACTATCATGACAACCAAGGATGCCCCAGAGCAACAATATTCTTTTGAAATCAGGGAAATCAAGGAAAGTGAGGACTCGCCAACGGTGATTTGCTTGGTCGAGTCTGAAATCCGTGATGAGGTTTCGGGAAACGAGTCCAGTTCAGGCAGGTCTCGTGATCAAGGGGGCAAAAAGTTTATCGAGACAATTCGAAAAAGTGTTGACACTCGTCTCTCAAGGATCAAAGCAAAGATTGAGGAGAGAAATCCAAGCCCTAATCGCAGCAAAAAGAAAGTATCCACTTTCGTTGAAGATATGAAGCAGGGGAAGAATCTGAGAGAAAGCCTCCATCAACTTAGGAAATCAGCAAAACAAAGGAGGAGAGAAAAGATCAGATCAAGAGAAAAGGATGTACATGAAGATGAAGAAATTATCTTCATTGATGCTACAGAGGCGTCGCCGCAAGCCTCTCTGGAGGAGCAGAAAATATCAATGCAACAAGAAAATTTTCCACGACGCGAGGAGGGTCGCAGGAGAGACGAGTCCCCAAAGAAAGAACCGGATGGACAAACTGGCGAACGACTAGTGGCGTCGCACAAGCAGCACAAGCAACTCTTGAGGCCAGCTGCCTTGTCTCCTATCACGTTGGATGGGATCCTTGCAGACGAGCAGTCGGCGGAAAGCTCGTATACGTCCGCCAGGTCGGATTTGATGACAGCGCCTTCGGTTTTCGCCAATGTCGTTGGCACCGAAATTCAATGTTGCGACGATGGATCAGAGCTCACCGCATCGTACGAGGGGTGGTCATCGAAGAAGCCTTCGACACCTAGAACGAAAGGAGATGCTGACCGCAAGAAAGGGCCCCCTGTAACCGAAGCAATGCCTTCGCCATGTACACGACGGAGGAACTCGCTCAGTGCGCATGAAGAAGGGTACACATCCAATGGGCCACAGAAAAGCGGAACTGGTGAAAACCTCCGTGAAGACGCAGAGAAAGGGTTGGTCCCTCCCAAGGCAAAAACCAACAAGAGTGGCACGGAAGTGGCTGATGCTGCAGGACGGGAAAGTACTCAGACCAATGAAAAGGATCAATACATTGGTTTGCCGAAACAGATATCAACGCTGCTCCAATCTGTTGGCAACCATCTAGTCCCTTCCGTTCCCAATGGGTTCCTTGGGATGTCGAAGGCCAGTTTCTCTCCCAGTAAGCCAACGCGGCCAAGCCTGAAGGACCATGATTTCGCGGACGACGTAATGGCCATTACCGAATCCATGGCACAGCAATTGGGCAGCACATTTATTACTTCTGAGAGAGTCGCAGAACGTCAGCTTCAGTCAATGGAAATCGAAGCAAAGGTGGATGAAGAAGCAAAAATGGAAACAGGAGAGGAAGCAAGGCAACCCTCATCTGAGGAGCAGAAAGCCGAGGTGAAAAAGGACACCGATCAAGAGGATGACCGTGGGGGGAAAGAAGACGTGAACTTCAGAGATCTGAAACAGCAGTTCTCGGATCTTTCCGAGGCCGTTGGAACCAAGTTTTCGCAAGCCTTGGTACCGGACAAGGGACTTTGGCAATCATACTGCATGCCGCAGACAGCTTGCTTGCCAAAATCTGAGCCCAAAGAGAGCAAGATGCCAAAGATGGACATTGTTTCCTCGAGCCCTATAATAGCGGGATTCTTGAAACGAAGAGATCGGTCCTTGCAAAAGCCCGACTTGCAACAGAAACCGGACGGGAAGCCGAAAGAAAAGCACGGATCTGTTCCTCCCCTTAGCCCCTCGTCGCACCACTTCTCAGAAAGCTCTATCAACAGAAGTCAGATAATGTCGGAACTGACTACAACCTCCGACGGACAAAGGCGATTTCACGGCAAAATGTTTTCACCAGGAAATGCCGCCGAGAGTACATCAGACGAACCCCAGGTTCTTTCGCACAAATCGACCGCCGCCGCATCTGACGTGTCCAGCGAAATGCAGAGGAAAAAAGCTTTGTTCGGGAGATTGGTGTCGCCTTTGACTTTGCCAACAGAGATCCAGCAGGCGCCAGGGAAGGCAACACCTGTTAATCTGAACAAGGGTTCTCCATCAAATGGAATGGAAGTTGCAAAAAAGGAGCGGAAGAAGTCAAAGGCGAAGGAGCCAAAGCATCAGCAGGGGAAACCAACTCCACAGTTCCCACCGTTACTGGTGCGTAGGTCCATGCTCGACGAGACATCTTCCAACTGTGCAACAAGCGAAACGGAAGGTCGACCATCATATGAGGACTCAGACTCATCGGCTTTTTCCAAGTCTGGCGTTTCTTCCATTTCAACGAGACATCCAATTCCCCTCTCTGATGGCATTTCATCCTTGGGGGATTCGACGCAGACCGAAACAGGAACCTCCTTCATGACAAGTTTCTTTATGAAAGACACCATAATGCACAAAATGTCCTCGGTGTCGGAGTCCGATACCGGGGATTCGTTCGAACCGACGCCGACCTATCCATCACAGTCCTATGAACCATCGTCGTCGTCGCCACCACCATCAGAGGAGCATCGAAAGCTCGATCCACCCTGCGGAGGCAGAGTCAATCCTCCTGGTAGCAAACTCGAAAGAAACGGCCACCTCAATCCTCACGCTGCGCGTCTTGTAGCCACCCCATCACCACTGACGCAACATATGAGTCAGTCCGAAGCAGGACCGTATGACTCTGAGCAGCATTATTCCGATATGTCATACTCCGTAGATTCGCCGGGAGATTGCTCGTCTTCGTCCTATTACTTCAACGAGAAGGTTCAGGGACCCCGACCTTCTGCGCCCGTACCCACAGCGCGTGAGCAACGAGAACCAACGGAGAACGAAAGCACCCATGGGAACCCGCTCAAAAAGTTACTATCAAGGCCACGAGTTCCACGGCGAATCCCCAGGGAGATCAGCACTTCGAGTTCAGCCGAGGATGATTCAAGGTACCGAAGACCGCGAACACCTGAACCTGTTGTCTCCGCGAGACAGCACAACGGATATCCGGGTTATCCGAGCTATCCGACCTCAGACCATCTATTTCCCGCCGAGCCAATTCCCAGGAGACCAGATGCGAGCGAGAGACAGATAGGACGGCACCAAGACGAGTTCCTTGACGAGGAACTCACACGACTTCAATCTTGCTTTGACGCCGCCTGCGGTGCTGACCCTCCAGGAATGCTTGACGATAACCGCACTTCCCTTGAACCAGCTCTTCGCTCGGTCTCTCGTTTCAATAATGGGGGAATTTCCAGGGCAAATTTCAGCAGCAACGGGGGCACTTCTATGGGCAACATTGATAACTTGGTACTGGAAAGTTTGGGGATTCCAAACAAAATGGACCAACTACGCATGTCGCTCACATTTAGTCCGGGCAACAGCTTTGCTCCGACCCTTACACCGCATAGGTCTCCTTCCCCAAGCCTCGCCGCAAATAGAGCAGCTGCTACTCTCCTGCAAAAGTACCAAGCATTGGAGGACGAAGCGAGAAAGAAGGGGCGAAAATCGCGACCTGTTGAAGATGACAACAATACCATGATTTCCAGCGTTTCCGAAAGATCAGCCTCTACTGTTACCTATTCTACGCTTGATGATGCCGGAGCCTCGAATTTTGAGGAGGACAAGGAGCTTGGCCGTTCCTTGAACAATGCCAATACTATGGAAACGGATCGTGCCTATGCGCGTGGGTCGCGGAATCGTCCGACTACACCCCAGACTTTGCGAGCATTTCGCAGCAAGAGTTGGAAGCTGGATGACGACGACACGGGCAATTCAATAATGGCCTCAGATTCAGGGGTCGCACCAAGTGCCAAGGATTCGAAGAGTGGCAAAGAATCCAGCAGCCCGAGCTCCTTTACTTACGGCTAGGCTCTATGGGCAGTTAGTTGTCTGACTGGAAAGGTGTTTGGGTGTAGTGGCAATATCTAACTACTAGCTAGCTAAGCATTTGATAATCGGAAGGAATGGGAAGAGAAAGCTTCAATTCCGTTGGCTGGGGCACCAATGACGTTGTTGATCCACAGCCAGCCGCAACTCTTGGACGTTACTTCGTGCAACGGCACTCCTAGGAAAAAGAGAGGCCTGCAACCATGAACCAAGCAGACCAACGGATCTTGCCAGGAGTGAGATTGCATGCACCTCTGCTACCGGTATTAGTACCCACCCATCCCAAACATCCTACAAATTGTACCGATCCCAAACATCCTACAAATTGTACCGGTACCTGGCAGCTTCCAAAGATCAATGAAAGCTGCCATTTGATGCCAACTAACTAGCTAGGTTACCATGGGCTCTCTCGTTCCATAGTTTCCTCTGTTGGAGTTTTTTCTTTTCAGATGTTTCCTCGGAAGTTTGCTAGCTTCCTGCTTCTCTGGCCATTTGCTAATCTAAAACTGTTTGAACATAAACCTATCTTTAGAAATACAAAACTATTTGCTGTCGCAGTCATAGAACAGCCAAGTAAGTGCAAACACGCCACAGATACATGTAGCTAGGTACCGGTAGTGGCTGGCAGCAGAAGCAACCAACAGGGAACGCCTTCAGCACCTGAAGCTGGGTTTAGTGGTGACAACAGAATGAAGAGGTTTGCTTGGCTGTGGCCAATTCAATCAGCTTCTGTCTGTCTAGGCTGGCTCTCAATCCCGATCCTCTACGATTCGTCCTCTCGCCCCTGTTCCGGGCAGCCATTTTCGCGAGCCCACTGCAGAATCTCCAAATGTCCTCCTTTAGCTGCAGCTGAGCATGTATTGGCATCCCAGGGACAGCCATTCTCTCGAGCCCATTTTAGCAATTCGAAATGTCCTCCTTCAGCAGCAGAACTGCATGTATTGGCATCCCAGGGACATCCATTCTCTCGAGCCCATTTCAGAATGTCCAAGTGGCCACTGCCAGCTGCAGCACTGCATGTGCTTGCATTCCATGGGCAGCCATTCTCTTTGGCCCATTCCAGAATTTCCAAATGTCCACCATGAGCAGCTTCCGTGCAGGTTGTCCAGTTCCAAGGGCATCCATTGGCAACCGCCCACTTCAAAACTTCTAGATTACCACCCCCTGCAGCCTCAGCGCATGTGTTGGCAGTCCACGGACAACCATGCTCACGTGCCCACTTGAGAATGTCCAAGTGCCCGAATTCTGCTGCAGCAGCACATGTTTCCTCAGCCCAAGGGCAACCATTCTCATGTGCCCATTTGAGAATGTCTAGATGACCACATCTGGATGCCAAAAAACAAGTACTTGAATCCCATTCACATTTATTCTCACGAGCCCACTTGAGGATTTCAAGATGGCCATAAATAGCAGCATCAAGGCATGCACCAAAGCGTAGTTCACTCCACGGAAACAACTCTTGCTCAAGGGCCCATTGCAGAACTGTTAGATTTCCAACTTTAGCAATAACCCGACAAGCTTCACCTGTCCTCATGTGGTTCTTGCCAGATTTATCGTCAAGCCAGAATTTAGCAAGTGTCAGATTGCAAAAGGTGTTGCCATAGAACGTGTCCGTGCTTGTGGCTGAAATTTTCTGCCATGTCTGTTTGCTTTCACTAGACTTCATTACCCGTGGAGGATCCTTGACAGCAGCACCATATTCCTTGTACAGCTGATTCAGTTGTTTGTTGACACCGCTAACAAAGGCATATTGGCCCATGCCGACGAAAGGGAGAATCTTTCCAATCCAGACATCTTTCCGATCCAACAGCATGATGCCTGAGCCAGCATCCAGTTGTCTCTGCCGTTTTGATACAGGCTCCTCAGTACCAGTGCAAGAAGACATCATGACAAGCAAGTAAGTTTGATGCTTTCCGCCAACGTGAAGGGTTCGCCTGTGGAGCAAGGTAATTGCAGGAGTAATAAGATTGGCCACAGTGGTTTGTGGCTGCTTCCACGATCCTTTTGAGGAAGCGAGCTGTCGCCAGCACTCAAGCAAACGAGGTGGTCCTGGTGACGGCTCCCCCGAGATTGAATTTGCAGCCTAACCGGCTCATTCAAAAAGTGCCTCCATGCATGACACAGTGACACTGACTGACTCATCGCTCATCATACGATGTACCCTTGGCCATGCCATGATGATGGTCCGCTCGTTTGCTTGATGAGCTTCCCAGCACAAATCCTACAGGCACGCTGAATTGAATTGGATGCTTCTGTTTTGGCTAGCCCTTCTTTCATTGTCTTTATTATTGGCGCCAAGAAAGTCCTTCGCCATGTGTCCTTCGTCGAGTAGTGCAAAAGGCTCCAAAGGCGCCATGCATTGGTTTCGTAAAGGATTGCGAATACACGACAATCCGGCATTGGTGGCTTGCCTGGAACAGTCGCCTCAAAGAGTTTATCCCGTGTTTGTTTTGGATGGCAACTCGTATCAGCTGCTTCGTTGCACTGCTTTGAGGGCCAATTTCCTGGTAGAAACTCTTCAAGATTTGGATGAAAACCTTCGAGCCCTGGGATCCAGGTTGTATGTTCTCAAGGGAGATCCTACAAAGGCCCTCCCAAAATTCTGGAAGGAATTCAATATCACCCACATGAGTTTCGAAGAAGATGAATCTGGAGAGCCTTACGCAGCGGAACGGGACGAGAAAATCATAGAAAAGGCACAAAAAGCCAATGTTCGTCTCTTTTCCCAATGCACCGAAACAATGTATCCTCTCAAGGACTATGTGACCAAGGCGGGGGCTAAAGGTGTACCTGCCACCATGACGGGATTCCAAAAACTATTTAAAAGCATGAAACCAATGTCCAAGGTGCTACCTGCACCTGAAAAGGAAGATTTCCCCGATATGGACGAGGACGATTTGCTGGCAGCACAATATTTACCTCCCAAAAGGCCCACAGACCTTCCGTGGCCTCGTGGAATTCCAAAGTCAGAAGTAGAACCATTGTGGGGACCCAAAGACTGTAAGAATCTGACACCTATAGTTCACGGAGGGGAAACCCTGGCCCGCAAGGCCCTGACAGAGTCCTTGAAGCGTTCCAATTGGGTTGCTACCTTTGAAAAACCCAAGACCAGCTGCACATCCCTGGCACCTTCTACAACAGCCCTAAGTCCGTACCTGTCCTGGGGTTGCTTGTCCCCGAGAGAAGTTTGGTTTGCCCTCGACGAAGCTGTGTCTCGAGCATCGTCTAATGTGAAACCATCCAAACCACCGGTGAGCCTCCACGGACAAATGCTTTGGAGAGACTTCAACAATCTCATGGCCCATGATGCCAACAAAGAGGTTCCAGGATGCTGGAACAAAATGGAGGGGAACAAATACTGCCGCCAAATCCCATGGGACGATGATCCTCGTCTCTTGGAAGCATGGAAAACTGGCAAAACTGGGTTTCCGTGGATTGATGCAGCTATGCGACAATTGACACAAGAGGGATGGATTCATCATCTCGGAAGGCATGCCGTCGCCTGCTTTTTGACGAGAGGAGATTTGTGGCAATCGTGGGAGGAAGGCGCAAAGCACTTTGAAGCGGAGCTACTGGACGCAGACTATGCTTTGAATGGCTTTAATTGGCTATGGCTATCGTGTAGTGGGTTCTTCTTTCAGTACTTCCGATGCTACTCTCCCATTGTTTTCCAGAAAAAGAATGATCCCAATGGCCAATACATTCGCAAGTTCGTTCCAGAGCTCAAGGATCTTCCCAGCAAGTACATCTATGAGCCCTGGGAGGCGCCGGCATCTGTCCTTCAGAAAGCAGGTGTCAAGCTGGGAAAAACATATCCTAGGCCTCTCGTGGACCATGCCGTGATCTCCAAGGAGAACATGAACCGAATGAAACAAGCCTATGATGCACACAAAGCCAGGGCACAGACTCAAGGCGGAGCCGCCAAAAAGAAGCAAAGGAAATAATCCTCATCTCTTATGCAATAGATGCGCTCTGCCAATCCTCTTTCATCAACATTGTATCATGTCTTTGCTTGCTTGGGAAGCACTGACAGGTCATTATGTCCTGAAGGATGCAAGTCGCCAGTGGACGGCATTTCCTTACCGAGCTCGTGATAACTTGGCCCCCGTTCCTGTACTTCACCACCTCCTAGGCACACCAAACCGTCCGCCCCAACATAGAGAGCACAATGCTGACCGGGTGTAACGGCTCTCAGCGGTTTTTGCGTTTGAACAATGTACTGTTGGGAATCTGGATCATATGTGATTTGACAATCGACGAGGGGCTGTAAATTGCGCACACGACACTTGGCATGCAAAACATGCGTCAACAATAACGGGGGTGGAGGCTCCCCGGCAACCCAGTGAATAGCTTTCATGTAGATTGTATCCGTGTACAAGGCCGGATGATGAGTACCTTGACAGACCCAAATGCTCTTGGATTCCTTATCCGTGCGAACCACAAACCAAGCCACAGACGCGCCGGATATTTTCGCCCGTTGTCCCCGTGTATAGACCATGTGATGGGTCGTACTAGTCCCATGTTCGTTGGCCACAATCGCTCCGGTATCCACATCGACAAACTGATACGAAAAGCTGGTATCTACGGGAAAGTATTGGTCAATAAAGTCGGTAAAACCACCCGGTCGCTTTCCGATGAAACAGATCCCCATACTGTCTTTTTTCCGCGCGGTCGACAGGTTGGCAAACTCTGCAATCTCTCGTACCGTCATGGTGTCATTCAGCCGCACATCATCTTGCCGTCGTGTCGGATTCTTCTTTTTCTTGAGCAAGTCTCCCAGTGGAAAGACGACATTTTGAAAGGCACTTCCGGGCACGGATGACAGGAAGAACGATTGACATTTGGTTCGGTCCCTCGCCGCCAATAGGAGGGGTGTGAGTTGTGTGCCATTGTTGTTCGAAGATTTGTCTCCCCAAGTTCGAATCCAAGTGGGGGGATCAGGATCTTGTTGCAGCATTTCTTCGATTAAGTCTTGGTGGGGATTATTGTCGTGGGTATCATCAGTAGTAAACAGCGCGTTGCCAGATCGATTCCATAATCGGGCATAATGGCCCGTCGCAAGCACATCTGCTTGAAGCGTCGTGTGCACATATTCCTTGAGGGCTCCAAATTTGATGTATCGATTGCATTTGACATCGGGATTGGGACGAGTGCCTTGTTCGACACCCTCTGTAAAGGGCTCAAAGACTTGTGTCCAATACTCTGCCGCAAACGATGTTGGATGCAATGGAAGATTCAGCTGCTTTGCCACTGCTTGGGCATCTTTCCAATCACGTTCTTTTGTACAGTAAGGATCCTCCTCATCGTTGGTGTTCCAATTGGACATGTGGATGGCCAACAATTCGTGCTGGCGACTAGAATTCGCCTGCTTCATCAAATATGCCACCACGGACGAATCGACACCTCCACTCAACGCAATGGCGATCTTTTTGGGCGCACCGCCACGGAGAATGTATGGGGCTGTCATGGCCTCTACGGATTCCTCAACTCATACTACTAGCCAGCAAGTAATACTTCGTCATGCTATTCCAGTGAGGTTGCCGCTTGGACTTCGAAGATGGAAGAATGATCGAGAAGAAGATCAACGATCAGGAGGGGTGGCTTCATTCAAGCCAATTAAGCTGTAAAAATCTGTCTACTGTCAAACCCCATACCAGGTACCGGTACCGGTATCGTCTTTAAATCCTTCATTATCAGTCTCTAAATCCTCTCATAGTTTCATTAAACTCCTTTAAATCCTCTGTGGCCTCCTTTAAATCCTCCCAACCAATCTCTATTCTCGCTTTTCCATCTCTCGCCTTGCTTGGTTGCCCTTGTAGTAGCTGACAACAGACCTCCTCATCCCCATCCTGGCTGCGGCGACACTTTTGTATTGCAACCTACTAATGACGAATAGCTTTTTGTCCACTCCTTTGACGTTGGCTTGGAAACGGAATGTTCCTCAACCGTCCTGGACAAGATCGCGTGGGACCGCGCCAAAGATTCTTTATGCGAGATTCGAGAGTCATCTTTCGTGTTCTGGTACAGTGCCAATGCTGCTGGATGATGCCATGTTGACGTCGTACCAGTACTGTACAAAGCGCTTACTTTTACACAGCGAAGATTCCCTGCAATCGTTCATTTTTTGCCCAAGCAATGGCCGATGCTGCGCCACCAGTTAAGTGTCGCTCAAAACAATTGATTAGAATCACAGCTTGTTGGTTGTAGCCCAAGGCGTATTCAGACAGGGAACCGATTAAAACTCCTTTTGGCCAGAAACTGAGTTGCTGCCACCCCATACCTAGCAAGCAGTGATTTTCACCAAGCAATCACAACCATCGACAATGACGCCGACATTCCCGCGCGGTATCCTAATTTCCGTCCTGATCCTGGCGGCAATTGCAAGTGTCGTGTACGTGCAAAAACCAAGACATTCTGACATTCTTCAGGGCCAACTGCCACCATTATCTTCATCATCGGTAGGTAGTTCCCAGCAACTTCGATCCGAAGGCAGCAATAATATTGGAGGGAGAAGACTACATGACAAAAACAATAACAGGATACAGCGCGAGACTGGCTGGGAGGAAGCTTCTGAAGATGATGGCCAGGAACAACGAGATCTTGCCCTTTTCGTTGTGATTCCAGAACTAGATGATGATTTGGAAAATTCCGATTCTGGGCTTACAGATGATAACGCCATGGTAATCATCGAAGCAGCGCAAAACTTCACTGGAGAAGAAGATTTACCAGCCGATTTACCACCACAAAATACCACTGCCAATGAGGCTTTTGCAAGTGCTACTGTTTCGAAACCACCAGCTGTCCCATCCACTCCAATGCCAACTCCTCGACCAACGGCTTGGCCTAGTCCAAGGCCAAGTCCTCGGCCAACACCCAGGCCAAGTCCTAGACCAACACCCAGGCCAACTCCAAGGCAGACTGGAAATCCGACACCCATTCCTTCCCCACGTCCGACACCGAGACCATCGCCTACTCCTTCTCAAAAGCCCTCTCCTAGACCTTCCCCACGGCCTACGACGGCTGCTCCTACCTCCACAGACGCACCAACCTGGGAACCGTTCGGGCCTATTCAATTTGTAGGAAATGAGCAAAACTTTTATGCCCCGTACCCTCTGGGAGTCTGCCAGGTACGTTATACTAACGTCGTGATCTGCATTCATTCATTTGCTTGCAATGGCTGTTTCAACGACACAACAAGTGCCTTTCTTCTAACCGTCTCACCCATCATCTGTACAATCGTTTTGTGTCTCAGGGCGACTGCGATAGTGACGACGACTGTGCCGAGGATCTTTATTGCTTCCAACGCACCAGATATGGTGCAGTGCCAGGTTGCACAGGAGGAGAAGATTTTGCCTCCACTTCAGACTTTTGCGTTTGGAATACTACCTGGCCCAGACCCGATCTCCCCATTGTGTATGAAGATTTTGGAGATCTTCAGTATGTCGGCAATGACGGGACGTTCTATGCCATCTATCCCCTTGGTCCATGTCAGGTATGAAGAATGGTTCAATGTTTGTTGTTGTTGGTCGAGAAACTAGAGAAATGAAGAACCTGCAAGCTGACTCTTTTGGTTTTGCATATACAAGGGGGATTGCGATACGGACGATGATTGTGCCGAAAGTCTCTATTGCCATCAACGGAATGGAGGGCAAAACGTACCAGGTTGTATTGGAGGGGACATGGACACAACCACAGGAGACTTTTGCGCTTGGAATACGTCTTTGCCTAGACCAGATCCAACGCCTGAGATGCCTGCAGATGCGTTTCGCTTGAAACTTGTAAGACAAAGTGATTGGAGAAAAACTGGCTGTAGGCATCGTGTCACTTACCTTCTCTTGTCCTTTCCGGTGATCATGAATGCGTTTATTTCTTAGTACTGGGAAGAAGGCTACTTGTGGCAAAATGAAACGTTTGAGCGTAAGTAGGCCAGGCCAGCATTGGGAGAAATTGCGCCGGACATGGAAACATGATTGGTCAAAACCAAAACAAGCTTGGCTAACGCAACTTTGTCCACACATCTACGTCTTGATCTTGTGCAGGCGAATGGTGTGTTTTCTACAACTACGACGGTTACCCCGGGACGGGTATTTGCTGTAAGATGCTTTGAGCTTACCGTTCGTCCATGCAAGTCGGCAATACACTTCCCTCTCACCAGTTGCTGTTTCACACCTGCTGCAAAAGGGTACGGACGGGAGCAGCGGAATTGCAGCAATTCTGAATTATACACAGGGTTATGCTTGGATTACGATCCCCGACAATGGTTCACGTTTGTAGAACTGGGAAGCACCTATAGTGGGAATCCTGATGTTCCCGAAGTCATGATACAAACAGCGTCGGAGGGCTCACCACGATGTTTAGCCCGACATCTAAGTGCCCTATATTTGAGTCCCAATTGTAATCCAGCGGATGTGCAGCAACGATTTTTCGCCTTGCGAGGGAGCTTTGATGGAATACGCTTTGAACTTGGTCAATACACTGGGTACACCCACGAAAACTGTGTCACGGTGAGTTTGCTGGACTTGGGGATTGCCGTCCGTATCAAATCCATTTCCGCTTTTCTATCTAACCCTCTTCGAAATCTCAGAATGCGCATCATCCAAAGAGCGGCGAAGTGATTGAATTTCATGTTTGTGAGGAGGCTCGAAAGTTGCATGATGAAACGAGCTACTGGGAACTATTTTGATTGGGGAACAACACGACAAATCTCCTATCGGTTTCTTGCTTGTTTGTGTACAGATTCGGACCAGTTCCAGACTACATGGTATGAAACACACCTAAGATCGATTGTCACGACCAACAAAAAGCTCTCTTTCGCTATTGGCTGGAGGGAATGGACGGTTTCAAGTGAGCACAGCACGCTCGACATGTAGCTAGCTAGATAGAATGATTCAATCAACAAATGTAATCACAAATTACTTGGCTTGTGGCCCAGTCAGGGTCCGATGTGTCAATACATACACAAAGTTGAGTGCAGGACGATGATCTGCTGGCTGGCCGGCCAGCAGGAATCAAATGAGAGCGTGTCAGGAAGATGATTCCCTACTGCTAGACCAATGGAATGTGAGGGACACTGATGCTCAGGAAACGTCGGACTCCAGGAAGCAAAGAAGGCCATGAAAGGGATAAAAATGATGTGGAGCAGGATCACATCATGCAGTTGAATGACGACTAATACTTGCTTCCTTTCCTGGACGTGGTGGCTCAGCTTCAAACCACTACAAAGAAAGCTCTCAGCCATCAAACTCCATCTACCAATTCTCTGGGCAGCTGTTGGCACGGACCCACTCCAGCATATCCATGTGCCCATTTCTTTCAGCCGAATAGATGGTTCCACAATTCCAAGGACAACCATTGTTTCTAGCCCACTTCAGAATTTCCAAATGTCCACCTTCAACAGCTATGACACAGGCGCGTTCACTCCATGGACAGCCATTGGAGGACATCCAAGTGCCCATTTTTGGCAGCAGCATCACATGCTGTAGAATACAATTCGCCACCAGTCTCGTAAGCAAACTTGACCACATTCAAGTGCCCGTTCTCAGCAGCTTCCTCGATAATACGATGATCGTGCGGTCCACCACCAGTCAAAAGTGCCAGCTTCAGTGCTCTCAAATTGCCCCTTTGAGCAGCTTGGATGCCAACAAGTGAATGGCCACAGGGGTTGAATCCAACAGACGTTTTGTACCATGTTTGTTTGACCCATTCACGGAAAGACGCACTCCCAAGTTTGGCAAGTGTAGAACCTTCGCGGATACGAGCTTGATGGGAGCCAGATGTACCGTATCGTCCAACCAGACTTCAGCAGTTAACTCTGTGTGTAGAAGGTGGCACTAAGAAAGTGCTGGTTGCTGCGGCCCTTTCCATAGTCGGGGGCAGGTAGTGTCCTGCTGTGGCACTAATAAAGAAAGTGCTGGTTGCTGCGGCCCTTCCAATAATTGAGTCGAAGTATCGAGGTGCACGATTGCATTTCAAGACCATGGGTGGATTCGATTCTCCACAGTCACACCATACTGCTTGTATAGCTGATTGAATTGCTTGCTGACAGCGCCAACAAAGGCATAATGCCCCATGCCCAAGCAAGGGAAGATATGGTTCACCCAAATGTCCTTCTGTTCCAGAAACGCAGAGAAAGCATCATTGGGTTCATCCGCTGGAGGAAGAGGTGGCGAGCGGACACGTTCGGTAAGTTTGGAGAGTTGAAGTGACGCCATGGACGAAGACTGCTTTTGCTTCGTGCGAGTAGGTTCTTTGTTGGACAACATGGCCGGTGGTGTTTTGTTGTTGATGTCCAGTTGTCGGGAAGTTGTCACCTTGTTGCTGACTCTGGATGTGGTCCAGCCAATGCCAAGGCAAGAAGGGCACGAACCGAGCAGCCAAAAAAGCAACTCGGACTGGAACCCTGCCGGTAACATGCCTGCCGCGGTAATTTAGCAGCCCGTGACACTGGCTTGTTGGTGAGGTCATTCTATGGGTTCGGTTCGAAGTCCGAGGAACGTCCGACTTTAATGAACTTGAATCCCACGGGCATGAGACGTGCGTTCTTTAAGGATGCCTTTTCACTCCATGCGGATGCTGGAGGCGGAAGCAGTGAGCCAACATGGAATCGAATCACTCGACTCGACTCGATCCAGCTTGGCATGCAGCCATCAATGGTCTTGATTGCCTTCAACACAAAGAGCACCAACCCGAAGCAATCAAAAGAAGTGCTTCCTGCTGCATCATCTCGACTGTTTTAGGTAGCCTCCAGCAGAGTCGCCACCAAAGTGACTAACTGCCATCTGGAAATCGTATTTCCACACAGCAGTTGGGGTCATCTGGCTTCTCTTGTTTGTCTCCGGTAGTACCGGTAGTGGGTATAAAAAAGCGAACTTGCTGTGCCACCCAAGTTTCCATACGAACCACAAGAGTGCCACCACCATCATAGCTTCTAGTAGGAGTAGCGCTATCCCCACCTTGTTCCCATACAGTACATACAAGACAAGCAAGAAGAGCCAAAGCGAACGACTCATTCAATCAATTGGCTTGTGTGCCAATCATTATTATCTCAAAATTGATATTCCATTAGCACAGGAAGCAACACCCACGAGACCCTTCATCTCATTTGTTTCTACCAAGCATCATCTATCTATCTTAGGCCGAAGGAAGCATCTCTGCCCTCTTCTGCCATTAGCATCAACACCATGGAACACGAGCAGCTCTCTGTCGGTTCCTTTGAACCTCTCACGCCCAGTCACACGCAGGACGAAGAGGACGACGACCATAACCAAAGTATCTTTCGTACACCCCAATCGCCCGTCTGTTCCAGACAAGCTGCATGGTGGCAATCCTCCGTGGTCCGTCGCTCGTCTTCGGCAGTCGATGAAGCCGTCGATGAACTGACTGAAAAGTCGCAATTTCTTCTCAAGAACGCAAGATCCCCACGCACTCCCCGCACCAGCAGCAGTACGTGTGGTAGTAGTACGGCTAGTGACAACAAGAACAAGAACAACAGCAACAATCTGCGGCCCAGTTCTTGGAAACAGCAAGAAGAAGAGGAAGAACTGACCGTTGCTCCATTACACCGCGAAGAGATTCTCGTGGGAAGACTCTTGGGCGAAGGAGCCTTTAGTTGTGTCTACGAAGTGACGGGCTTTGACTTGCTGCCCTTCCAAACAAAAGATGAGGACGACAAGGCAGCCAATCAATTGCGACAAGATCTACTAGTAGCCGGGAAACAACAGTATGCGCTGAAACACTTAAAGGCGGATCTATTGGCCAATACCAAAGACTTTGAAGATGCTGCCACCGATCTCGTCATGGAATCCATGTACCTTGGAGCACTCAGCCATCCCAACATTCTCAAGTTACGAGGTCAACCCATTGACGGAACCGCATCCTTTGCCAATCGTCAGGGTGGCCCAGGGCATTATCACGATGGGTATTTCCTATTGACGGATCGACTGACCGAGACTCTGGCGCAACGTATTGAACGATGGAAGAACGGAGAGGATACCCATACCAATACGGTTCTCTGCAAGGCGCGTTATGCCTGTCAGATTGCGGATGCCGTCAGTTATCTACACGAACAACGCATTCTATTCAGAGATCTCAAGCCCAGCAACGTCGGGTTCAGCGTCGAAGATCAGATACAGCTCTTTGACTTTGGTCTGTGCCGAGAGCTGCCGCATCCCAGAAGAGCCAGACCCTATCAATACCGTCCGTATGTGATTGCCGAAGACGGCGAAGAAGACGAGTACTCTGTGTCGATGGACGACATGGATGAATCATGGAATGATGACGAAGACGACTTTTACACGACAGCCGACACGATTCCACAACGAGAAGAAGTCTACTTCATGTCGGGGGCAGGTACGCAGCAGTACATGGCTCCGGAAATCTTGCTGCTCAATCGATACAACTTGAAAGCAGACTGCTATTCCTTTGCCATGACCGTCACGGAAATGTTGCTGCTAGAAAAGCCGCTTCCTTGGTATCCCATGGACGAACACATTCAATACGTTTGTCGAGAAGGAGATCGACCGTGTCTAGACGACCCGGCTATCCCCGTTGCGCTACGTGATTTGTTGGCGTGGGCATGGGAGGGAAATGTTGCCAAGCGATGCACCATGGCCCAAGCCCGCGAGGAACTAGAAGAGATCATTCAGCAGATCGAAAATGATGACCAAGTAAACGGACCAGTCCCCCCTCAAGGCTCTTGGATTTCACCATTCGTCGAAGCGGCGCGCCGTCTGCAGGAATTCTTTCGCGACATTGTGGAACGGGCCGTCGGGCGGTGCCGTGCTATCTTGATGCCAGGCAATCCAAGCAGTGCAACTACCGGTACAGATCAGCCCACAAAGCGGAGGGATGTTACCTTCGCTTTGACGTCTTCGGAAATAGACCCCATGCATGTCGTGCCCACTGAGAGCGACGACCAAGACCAGGACACCCATCAAGCATCCACTTCCACCTTTCCTTCCATCTCTGCGTCCTCCGCCGATTGCTTGCTGCCGCCAACCTCTTTTGTCGAATCCCAACCACTCCACAGTTCCATGTCCAAGGCGGCGAGGGCCGCTGTCTTGAAGCGAAAGCCCTCGAGTGCCTCGACGACTGCCACGACCGATGATGAATTTGACGAAGACTTGATGCCTCCAAGCGCGGATTCCTTTTCATCATCCACCAGCAAGCAGTTTCCCGAAGCAGCTCCCGATGGAGGGAGCCTCGCCATCGGTACTGCATGATTGCCTCTTTATACAATTCTTCATTTCCCAACATTTGCCTCTTGACTGAGGTGTACACATGCTTTGCATTTTCTACACGCAATCAAGGGCTGCATCCCTTGCCTTCCAATTCCTGATACCAGTCAATCAATTTTTGTCCAGCTACATGTAGATAGATACTAGATAGTTAAGTGTTCCACTAAGTTTTCATTCTCCAGGATTGGATCTGTGTTTAGAAATTGTGATTGTCTTCTGGTCTATGAAGTTGTTTGTCCATTCCCACACTACTAGTAGCCTCGTGCCTTTCCATGCACTGAAACCCACTTGTTGGGCTTGGGGTAGCTGTGGCTAGCCAAGTTTGCTTATCAACTTCTCGATCAAGTCTGAAGAACAGGACAATGGCTGTTCATATGTTGGGGAACCTTACACAAATGCGTACCATGGTAGAGTTGATCTGAACTACATTGCTGAGAAGGAACTAACCTGAGCTCTCGGGCTTGGAACAGCTTTGGCAATAGGCCTGGGCCTGGTGTGAAGCCTGGACAACCAAAAGATCCAAAGAAATGAGCCAGCCGAGTGGTAATCCCAGCTCCAAGACCATCTTCAACAAATCCCAAAGTGTTTTGTTACAACTTTTTATTTTTATGCGACGTTCTTCTCCTGGCGGCGGTAGTATTAAGCAATGACAACTTGGCCCGCAGATCATAGTTCATGTATGCCGAAAGAGCATTGCGTACTTCTCGTTCCCCCTGTAGGTAGTCTCGGAGATTCTCAAAATCCCAAACGTAGGCGACCACCGTATCTGTTTCTGCCACGGCATCGGCTGTCGCCATGGTGTCTGGACACTTCTTCTTGGAAGTGGTTGGGCACTCGTCATCGAGTAAAAAGTGCAAAAAGGACATTTCGCCAATGAAATGGTAGGGTGTCACCTTGGCAATTCGTTTCCCTCGTTGTTGAATCTGGACGGCCCCCTCGACCACAAAGAATCTGGGATGCAAGTTAGTTGTCAAGTATGTAAGTTTCCATAATACGTACAGAGAAATCCATCCAATCCAAAAAGTAACGTAAGGTAATTGAGTGATGAATGCCTTTAGAAAAACACCCGTGTCTGCCTCTATTATACTTACAACCTCCGATTGACTTGCCCATCCTGTGCCAGTTTCTCCCTCTTTCGCAAGGTGATTTTTTGTGCCCTCGAAAACAATCGCACAAACTCCACTTTGCTGAGCCCCCGTGCTTCAAACAGTCCGTTGGTATAAGTCCCTGCCAATTCCCCCGGCATATTGTTGGCCATTTGTCGTTCCGCAATCAGCGAAACGGTCATGACGGAATTGATGGCCAGCAACAAGACATTCCATCGAATGGGGATCCACAGTGGAATGGCTCGGTAGTACTGAAAGAGGATGGAGAGCGCAATCGACCCTGTGGAGAGCACTCGAAGCATCAGAATATCCGTGTTCAGGTAGGCAACACAGACAAAGACAAAAGACACATTCCCACAAATCTCCGACACGGAATATCCTGTCAAGTTGGTTGTCTTGGAAACCATCAGCGGATGCTCGTTATGCCACCAAGCAGTTGCAGTAGTTTTGGACGGCTTGGGCTTGCCACCAGCTTTTTGTTGATTGGCTGAGGACTTTCTTGTTGCACTCGAAACCAGCCTTCTCGTAGAACATCTACCACCGGTGGGCAGGAGGAAACACATCGGAAGCCGCTGCTGAGTGCGCTTGGTAGCCACGAGCACTCGGAGCGTACATTGTCTCGTAGCGAACATTCTCTTCTCTTTTAAATTCCATGTATGTCAGCGTCGATTTACCAACGATTATCATGGAGGCAGGCCAACCAGGAAGGTTCAACAGAATATTGCAAATTGTGAGGAATGATGAATCCAACGCCTATGGATACTACTACTAGCTAGCTACTATGTAGCTATAGTAGCTAGCTAGCCTAGCTCTCTAGAGGCGGAAGGAAGAGAAGCGGATGTCACCTTTGACATCACACCCAAAACGACGCACACAAGAACAAAGGAAGTAAACACATGGTCTACAGACTGCTAAAAGTATTGGTAGCTAGCTCGCTGTGTACAGCTGAGCAAAAACCTATTTTGCTGCAATTTGGGGGCCTGTGCTTGAAACTGCTTTTTACATTAATTTGCCCTATCCATTCCTTGGTTTACCAACAAGTTGGCTTGCATATTAGAGATATCATCACAGAATCAGCCGACGGGCCTTTTGGAGGTTCATTCTGTCGGGGGAGATTCGGGAGGCTGTCAAGGGTGAGTACATGCACTGAAAAGTCTGGTGGCTTCCCCAAACCGAGGGAGAAATCTTGCCCGCATCCAATGAGTCAATAGCAGGAATTCTTGAAACCACATCAGCAGCAAGGCCAGTCTTTGAGGAGGAGGAGGGGAGGACCAGGCAATGAATCGTAATGGTCTCTACCAGGAGCCGTCTCTTTGCGGTGCCGGCCTGAGAGGGGATCGATGACTGTTGTTCATACACTCGCACCGTCACTTTCTCCATTACACCTGAAGATGCATGAGGATGCCCCTTGGTGGGATTCTCAAAGCGAAACATGCGCCTCTCGTGGTCTTGTTGGTTTGTTGTGGTCAATCGCCTCTTGAAGCTGCTACGAGGCTTTCTTTCGTCGTTTGACGAGTGGTTGTTGCTGACGAAAGTTTGGTAAACGATATTTCTATCTTGAAGCGCAGAGTTTCCATTGACTTCCAGCTGGACGAAAAAGTCCTCATTGGGTTTCATTGTCACGAATACCTTGCCTGTCGACGAGGAATGCTCTGGGATCTGCTTCATGTTGGCTGCGTTGATGAGCCTCAACGAAAAGCTACCTTGAACCACCATTGTCTTCTTGTTCGTTTTGTTGTTTGTTGTATTAGTAGTATGATACGATGCAACCAGTCTGTGAAAAAGTGTTGCTTGTGTGTTGCTTCCAAATATTGTATTTCAAGTTTTCTGGAAAATGAAGGATCTCTAACTACTAAAAAGGAATGGGCCAGGCGGCCGAGCGATGGGCGAAGAAAGCGAAACGCGCACCGTGTCGATCCACATGGAGACTTTGGAGTGTATCGTGGTCTTTGCCATCTCAGCTCGGGCCAGCGGCACCTGCATACCACACAACCTATCATAACCGGCTGACCCTCTGATTTCTTCTCTGTTTCACAGAACTGATTTTTGGGCCTACCTGCCGGTGAGTCCCATTTGACATTCAAGACGCACGTCTGATGCCTTGCATTCTTTACAGCGGTTCCAGCCAATCCTGAGCCAATTCCCAGCCAGAGTGGAATGTCCGTTCGAGACAGAGAAACTAGGTCAGGTCAACAATGATGCGGATTGGCTCCCTCCGCTCCATTCTACCATATGATATGGCATCTCCACCTAACTGACAGTCAACATCTCTCGAGGTGCGAATATGGTAGCTAATAGTGGAGACCAGTAGATTCAACATTGGGATGGTTTCTGCCAAAGTAGATGTTTGAGCCGACTGACTCAGGCTAAGCTGGATGGCATGTGGCTCGTTTCTGTGAAGTGGGATACTGAACCGACACCACCGCCGCAATGGCCACTACCGATCGTGCTTTGGAATCCCATTTCTTTCTTTGTTGAGTGCAACATGTTTGCAAGAGCTTTCTCGTGCCCGGTAAGCCTCCTTAGTGCCAAGTAAGCATCTTCTGGGGTAGGAGGCATGTCCTCAGAAGCAGCAGGCTGGCAGTGTCTTCTTCACTGGCGGGAGCAGCAAGAAGGTCAGATCTCTCCCATGACAAGGTGATCTCTTCTGCAGCAATTAGACATGGCAGGGTCTTCTTCAGACATGAACATGGCAGGGGTTATCACTGCGGACAGCAGAAGTCTCCTCATGGACGAGTGTCAGAATCCCAGTTGCTTCTGACTTTGTCACCAATGGATTGCCCTCATTTCCATCTTGGACAGTATCATCATGCTCGTCGTAGAGGTCGCTGTCGATGCCATCGAATCGTTGCGCCTGCGGTCGAAAACAGAGATCTCAATGCTTCCTTTAGAACTCGTTACAGGCAACTGCATTCCCCTCCTTTACTGCCTGTCCTCTCCTCTACAAAAGAGATTCAAGTCGGTCTGCCTACGTAGTCTTCTTAAAATGCTAGCTTAAGTAGAGAGTTTAGTTTAGTCTGTTGCGACTACCGGTAGGGTATTGTGCAATAGAACAACACATACACAATTTGATACACAATCTGATGCACGTTTTTCGTTTGCTGCATGCTGGGCTTCTGCCTGCCTGAAAGTATCTTCCTTTACGTTCTTTCGCCCACTTTCAGTCATCACAAGAAGATGTCATCATCGTCATCCACAATAGCAAGAACATCATGAATGATGGAACGAATCTGTTGGTAGGAAATGGGATTCTGAGAGATGGGTAGCGTATCAATCCTCCGACCAACCTGTGCCAGTGGCAAGGACAGCAATGTCCTCAAAGCTTCTTGTTCATTCTCTGTTTGGGGTCCTCCTTGGCCAACAGGAGGTCGTTGCTCTTCTCTTGCATTGTTTCTGCTGTTTCTTCTTTCATTTTGGTTGACTCCAGAGGGGTATTGAGGTGCTTTGCTCATGGTGGAAACATTCAGTGAGATAGGAGAGAGGAGACCAGCCGTAAAAAATATGTTGTTTGATGAGCTGTTTTGCAAATTTGTGTGTCGTGGGTTGTGTCTTTCTCGCAATCCTTTCTTGACGTACCAGAACACTGTCAGAGTGCCAGCACAACTGCAACTGCCACCTGTAAATGCTTCAGAAAGAGGAAAGAATTGAAGTTAGAATGTCGTAACTGCCTCATTGTCGCTGTTGATTGGTCCAAGAAACGAACTATGACTTTGATCAGCTGATCAGGTCACAGTGAGAGACGAGACACCTATTGCCTGTGCAGGGTTCGAAGTTCCACATTCATGTTACCAAGCAGCTCATGTTTCTGTTCGTGTTCCATTGTCATTCCATTTTCGTAGTTCTATGGTAGACGCAGTTGCACGGAGGTGTGGGCATGTGGGCATAAAACGCTGCATCTCCTTCCTGATGCAAAATGCGAACGTCTTCTGAATGATTCGATTTTATTCAATCGATAGTGCTCTTTGAGGCAATTGGCTTGGCAATCAATATGTATGGGGCTTGTGGGCCTACCGGTAGCTAGCTACGGTTACCGTAGATGGTTGTCTTCTTTGACCGTTGCGCCAACTGCACCCGAACGTCCGTCGCGTTTGGGCAATGATGCAGTCAACTTGTGGTTCTTTTCTTTTGCACGTTGCCTCTTTTGCAAAGCTTCCGTCCGTCCGTGGTTTCGTTTTGCTGGTGCACTGCACCAGATACATGTATTGCTGCATTGGCGCCTGCATGGAGTCTTTGACGAAGTCATGTAGGTTTGCAAGGATGGAGAGAATGCGGTTTCATCTCCAGTTTTTGCAAAGATCGACCGCTCCATTCTCTTCCCGTGTCCACCGACGGGCTCATGCCTAGCTTGCTTCTCAGCAGCGTGTCTTCCTCCACCGACCGAACAGATCAGGCTCATTGGCTGGTCCACGGTATGCGCAAACCAGGGAGTTGCTGATACTGTCTTTCAAGGCTTGTCAACTGTCTGGTCACTTGATTGGAGTTCCAACCAATCAGCCACGTCACGAATCGAAGATGCCCTGCCACCGCCTCAGCTGGGGCTGCCTGGGGCATCAATAACTGTGCAGCTGGTAAACAATTCTTTTCTTTTGCGAGGCGAGACGCTTCCCCTTTTGCATACATGGATGTAATGCTGCCTTGGCGCCTTCATTGAGTCTTTGACGAAGTAGTATGCAAGGATGCCCAGCACCGGGCGCCTTTCTCCATATCGGTACCGGTGAAAGTTATGTACGGGTCACGAGCACAAGCACAAAACCCAACGCTGTCAAAAGGATGAGACTGACCATTGACACCAGTGCCTTCCCCAACGCAACACAGTAGCGTTTACTACATGTAGTAGTTTGAGTTGGGAAGTCATGCAAGCTCCGCTTTCCTTGCTTTTCTTAGCCTCTACTAGATAGCTAATAAGCTCTTCTGCTGTACCTGTATTGTCTCCTTTGGGTTGGCTGTACTGTACAGTACACTGTAGCTCCAAACATTGACGAAAACAGCTATCGGCACTGTCGTACGGTACCGCAGCGCAGCAGCTACCGTATGCATACCGTACCGTACTGTACACCGGTGCACCACACGCGGTCCCGAGCTCTTTTCTATTAGCGTTAGGGTTAAAACACCTTTGACTTGCTTGCCGATCATGGTGGCACGAAGGCACCAAATCCTTCTTCCGCACAAACCGCAGGTCTTGGCTGGTCAGATATAGGATGCCGAATTGAGATTGCAGTGTTTGTTGCAGTGCTGAAAGACCTCTTGTCTCCCCTTGTATTGTCGGCACCTGATAACTAATTCTAGCGGCCTTGCATTAGTATATTGATTTGACAGCATCTTGTGAGCTGCTGCAACCAGGCCGCGTCATTTGTTTGCCGTTGAATTATTGGCGAGATTCCAAGTTTTTTTCAGTCTTTGCTTCATTGTTGTTCTGTGACCCTGCATGCCTGCCAATTGCTTGAAACTCTCTTTTCAACTTTCTTGGCAGCTCCGATAGACTATATAGTATCTGAATCCCATCATCATCATCATCTCTCGCTCGGTGTTTCTGTGAAGTGACAGTTCCATCCAGTTCAAGAAGCAAGAACAATTTTGGTTTTCCGTTTGTCTTTCGGTCATTTTCCACGCTTTGCACAACTCCATAAGAAGATGTCATCCTCCCCGTTTACAACACCCTCCTCCTCGAAACAGTCCAACAATGGAGGAAGAAAAGAAGACGACTATACGGATTATTCTTGCAGTACATCGATTGAACGGTTGGCTCGAGATGTGGAGACGCTGTTGCGTGGTTGGCATGTGGACAAGGGCAATGACCGCCATATTTCCATGACACGGAATAATAATAATCAGCAGTCGGCCCCCAAGACCATTACAACCCACAGCAACAACAACAATATGTCTTCCGCCGGCAGTGTGACCAGTCAAATATCGAGCTCCACCAGTGTCACTACTCAAACCAGCGGCAGTTCACCTCATTCGACGCTCCTGTTGCGATCGGATGTTTTATATTGGAATGTTTCCATGTCCACTCCGTCGGGACAATTGGTGTCCTTCACGGTAGAACTGCAGCTGGCGCTCTGGGATGGTCCAGTATTATTGTCCGAGAATGAGGGAAACACCACGGAAGGTCTTCCGCATTCCATGAGACGATCCCCTCATTTGCGGCCCATGGCTCCAGCGGCGTTTGAAAACATGTCCCATTTGTTTGGTGTGGGACAGCACATTACGCTCTCCCCCATTCATCCACAAAATTTGGCAAGCTCATCCAATGCCAGTACTGCCTCTAGTTCATCATCGCTCTATGACAATATGCAAGTGGGAGGGGACCTACAATTTTTGGTACAATCCATCATTAGTCGACATGACGACGAAATCACGGCGCGATGGTCCTTATTCCAAGTACTATCCGGATGGCTACAGACGGCATTGAATTGTGCCGTTGCAAATTGTCAATGCTGTATTCCTGTATTTGGCATTTGGGGGTCCTATCAACCAGACTCGTTTCACAACCATGTGGCCAAGCGACGACGGCGACGGCAGCGATCCAATACTACTAATAGTGGAGCAGCAGCCAACAGAGAGGATAATTTGTCCGTGTTTCCCTCGTGGATGAATGACATTTTGCATGTCGAATTGCCGGGGTTGCCGCGCATGACGCGAAAACGGTACATGGAAATACAAGAGCGACAAAACAAAAAATTCTTGTCGCCCATTCTCTCTGCCGGGGTACTTCCTACGGTCCACACATCCGGCCACTTTGGATGCACGGTCATTCCGTGTGCACCTCATACACCGTCGCGACTGACGCTGTGGGGAAATTTGTTGTTGAAACACTGTCCCAATCCCAATGACACGGTGGTACTGTGGACGGCACGGCATGTTTTTGCCTGGTGGAAACAACCCATGGTCAAAGCATCGGCATTTCAACGACTCTTTCGACCCGACAATTATCACTACGATAGTAAAAACAGCCCGTTCACGGCGTGGCGACGAAAACCCAAGCAGGCGGCCGACAATGCCAAAAAATCGTCCAAACGAATTACCATTCGAGCGTCCACCAAACACTATCAGCAACAAATTATCGACTTGACCGGTGAGGATGAACCACAGTTTGTGTGGGGGCATGATGCCGATTCGGCCATGCTGGTCTATGTGCGCAAAATGGAAGAGTATCAAGACCAATGTCGGACCATGGCCATTTCCATTATGGATCAGGCAGCCGCCGCGTCAGCCGCAGAACCTCGATGGGGACCAGTGGATGATCCAGTGGCGTCGGTGCATGCCACGGTGACATGGAATGGGAGTCCACAACCACAAGGGTCTATGGATACCAGCAGTAACAGCAGAAACAACAATAACAACCAAAACAATTCCAATCAACCCCAGCATGCACCACGGCAACCACTGTTGAGTTTCCCACTCCGAATACGGTCCAAACACACAATGTCACCTGCAGATTGGAGAGATTTGGAAGAAAGTGTCGAGCGAACCATTCTGGATCCACTTTCGAGAGCTCCATCCTGCCAATTTCAAGTGCAGGCGTGGTGGGACCGTGAAACACCCGTTGCTTCGTTGGCGGCGACACAACAATGTATCCTGGCTGCGTTGGTCCGGACATCCACGCTACCCGATGAAACATTGCTCAAACATCTCACAGACGACGCCGTCTTGGAACAGTGGGACAATGCATCGGGAAATGTCGTGGCCGCATCGTTGGCAACCCAAGCTGGCGTTGGACCGTCCACCAAGGCACTTGTCGATGCTATGGATTGGGACAGTGCCGCCGAGGACAAAATGAGTCCTCGTGACGCTGAAATCTTGGTGATGCATATTCTGCAACCGGACAACGGATCCACTTTTCCACTACCGCCAATGTCGCCGTTGCCCAATGGTTCACCAACCGCCGCCACACCGGCGTCGCGCCGACGGCGAGCATCCTTGCTCGAAACCACACACCATCACGAATCAGTGTCACACAATTCGTCTGTTCCCGCTGGTTCGGCTGGGAAGAACGGTGAAAACCTCTTTATACCGCTCTTCAAATCAGCTCCTTTGGGCCGTCTCGTGAGTATCCTTTGTATTCATTCGGCTCGTGTCCGTTCGCCGTGCAGCATGGCAATGCTATGGATGGCGTTTTGCCACGAAGTACGGTTCCGTTGGGAAAATAGAATGACTTTGCCGCACTGTAAGTTCTAGAGTTACTAGAAGAGGATGAGCTCAAATGACAAATGATGGGTTCAGGACGACGAATTACTGACTATGTGTTCTCCTTCGACGTCAACAGTGAATCACGTACCTGGATTGGATCCATCGTCTCTTGAAATGAAGGAACGCAACAAGTCACTATCAACTTTAGCTACCAAGGCAGAACAAGCAGCTTATTGGCACGGACCGCCGCTCTCAAAGGGTTCTTGCGCTATGGTCGAACCCGACACAGAATTTCCTGGTGACCACCATTGCTTGATTGGACAAAAGTTGCAGGTACGATTGTATTGGCGCAGAACCAGGGGCCCTAGATGCTTTCCTTTGTTTCAAGCGACGCTTGGTGCCTACTTCGCGCGCTTATTATTTGGGTTGATTGTCCCCTCTTCTCCACTTTCATTTCAGGTCATCAATCTTTGTATCGACTTGGTGACGGCAGTGGAGACTCAGCGACAGCAGAGACAACGCGACCAACAGGAGAAACGGCGAACGCTTGAGGAAATGGCAGGTAACGACAACTCTAGAACCAATGGTATTTCCAAGCGGAGAACTAGTATCGGGGAAAATGCGAGCAACGGCGGCGGTAGCAGCGACGTAAAAGCACCAGCAGAAGACGAGAACGGGCACATTGTCATGTCACACGGTACGGACACGTTCGAGGATGCGCTTTCAGAAGATGAACTGATGGAGCCAGAAAGTGCCGCTGCCGTTGTGGCAGCAGCCAAACTTCGCTTGGACTTGAACAGCCAGCCCTCCAACCCAAAGGCAAGAAAGGGGGCTAGATGTCCAGTACCCGGCTCGAGTCTTGTGGCCAACGGAGACCAGATGTACGCACCCTACCTGCAGCGTCCATACCCGCTTACGGACGATGTGATAGCAGAGAGGCATTTGATGCTCTCCCGTCACCACGATTCGTCTCCTGACAATCAGAACAGCGTAAACAAGCGCCTTGAAATATCCTATCGTCTCCAGAAGCCAAAGCTTCTCAGTGATATGGCAGCATTTAAGGCAGCCAACCCAGGATCAATCTTTCAGGATTTCATCAATTGGTACGGCAATCCTGGCAATCCACTTGATGAATACTGCGACACAAGAAGCAGCGGCAGCGGAGCTACATCGGTTGGGGACCTACTGATTGGCCGAACACCATCAACAGACTCTGCTGCAGTGAAAATGGATAGAGCTGCTGAAGCGATTCAAATGCTGAACGAGACTCGAGAGTTCTGGTCCAGGACCTGGGAGGAAGCCACACCTATTCCAGCCTCTGAGCAAAAGCTGCTGTTCGATGCCAGTAGCACCGTAGAGATGGCACTGGACTTTATGGAGAATATGCATCCAGCAATTCTTGTGAACCAGGTAAGTACCTGGATCCAGCGAGAGCATGAAGCTGGAGCATGTAAACGACTCAACATTGGAGCATCGCTTTTGAACACTCGCAGGTCTTGGCGGTCAACTTGGCATCATCTTACTTCACTCTTGTACATGCAGCGAAGGAAGTCGGCGTTCTGAAGATTGGAGGTCTAGTCCTTCGAGCCTTCTTACGGCTGAGAGAGAAAACGGAGAAGGCGCTGGAGTTGCTTTCTGGCGACGCCACGCGGTCGACTTCCGCAGTTTGCAACATTTCTCGCCGCCATGAAGCTGCCTCCAACTTTGTCTCGGTCGGTGTCATCTCTGCGTGCGATGAGGCTTGTACTTCGCTGAGTGAAGCAGAAGTCGTCACTGCCCGTGCTACTTCTCTTTTGAACAAGTTTCCGGAGCAGTACGACTTGGTCGAGACATTTCTTCGAAACAATGGCGGTGAAGAGGTCACTCTGTCGGGACGGCAGGCACAGTCTCAAATTCTGGATGCCATCAGTGAACAGCAGATGGAAACACAACCAAAAGCCAAGCGTGGCTCCGGGCCAAGTCCCAGTGTGTTGCCTGCTTTGCGGGAGTACGTTCTGCGGAACCTAGACGATTCACGGCCTTGCCAGCTGAGTGTCCGCTTTGCCGATGAAGCTGCAATGCTGCACAGGATAACTAATGGGAGCAATCAATCGGGGGGGACAACACCTGTGACGACGAAAAATGGAGGAGGCATGTTGCTGGCACTATCCAAGAGCGTGATGGGATGAGCTGCCGTTCCTGCAATCCGCACACGCGTTGTCAGATTGAGTGAATGATGGTTACTAGCTCGTAGTGATATTATTTCTCTTGTTTCGAATAGTACCTGGTACAACTCTCGTATATGCTTCACCAGCCAGCCCCAACAATAGAAATATGTAGGGAAAGTTTCTCGTTCCCTCAGATAGTGGATCTTGAGCATTGGGGTTTTTACAAACGCCTTTTGAGCTACTTTACATCTTCCTTATCTAAATAGCGGCATGGACCGATCCTGAAGCCTTCTACTACGAGCTAGGAATCTTGTCGCGTAGACACCCACCACCACAGACTATTAGTACTATATTGTTTTCAATCATCATCTTGCCAATCGGGCAAGTACGTCTTTCGCGCATTGTGAAGAAACTCCAACAGTGCCGTGGCTTCCAAAATCTCCACTTCAAACTCGGGTGCGTTTTCTTTGTCCACCTTGGATGCAAACAAACGGCGGAGACATGCGGTTGCTTGAGCCGATGCATCCTCGAGACGAGCCTCGACAACATGACCAATGGTATCATACGCTCCAGTGACGCCCCAACACTTCAAGACTTCCATTTCTCTCAAGCCCTCTTCCACTGGTGTATACGAGGCACAAGTCAAACCCGACGCCCGATTTTGCGGAGTCAGTTCTTGGTTTTTGTCGTAGGCTCGAATGGTGACCAGAAGAGGCACCAGATAAATTGTCATTACGAACGCTTTTCCAAAATGGAGTATCAAGTGCGACCCTTCACCATGAGCTGGAGATGCAGAGATGTGTGTGAGAGATAACCTTCAATTCCAAATTGATGGCGTAGGGAGTGGCACAACTTACGTGCCGGTCGAACGAGCGTTGCTCGTTTTCGTCTGAGGGCAGCCAGTAGATTGGAAGGAGTCTTGCGTCCTTTGGTCAATAGGACCCGACTCCGAATGGCGGGGCGTTTGAGGGCAGTAACGCCAATTGGCGGTTTTGGCACTTCTACCACGGCATCGGCGTTATTGGGATCGGCGGCAGTTGCTGCTTCCAAGGCTTCCGTGTTGTTGTTATCGATGGATTTGATCCAAGCATCTTGGAGCGACAGTTCTGTTTCCTTGGTTTCTTTGCGCCTATTCTTGATCACTTCTCCCACAAATGCCATTCCTTCCGTTGCAACTGTATGACTCTTGACGAGCACATTTCTCGAGGCCGTGGTTTTGTCCGAAACGGCCATGCAAGCCAGAACTGCCGTCGCAGCAGCCCTCATTTTCTCGAGGTGCAAGATGGCAGCTTTTTCATCATTTTTGTTGCTACGGGTAGGTGGTGGTACCGCTTCTTGAGCCTTTTCCAGAGAATCTTCTAGCACTTTGTTGGCGTCAAAGCCCGTGCTCTGTCCTTGCGTGAGTTGTTCAAATCGCTTCTTGGTGTTGGCTGCTAGAAAGGCGGAAGCGCGAGACCCCATGTCTTGTTCTGCTTTTTGGAGTGTTTCCATGAGAAATAGATCCGGATCCGCCAACTTGACAACATGGGATCTAATATTCTCGATGCGTCGTTCGAGATGTTGTTTCAGCTTTTGTACTTGATCATCCGGCATGTTAAAGTTGGGTTGTGTATTGTTGAGTAGCCCCAAATCCTCAGCCCAACTCAAGGCGACCGTGGTGTGTTGTTGGAGCTGATTTGCCTTTTCACTCCCATGTTTGTTCTTTAGCTCTTGAATGGCTTTGGGGGCATGCTTGCTAATGAATCGCAGGGCATCCCCGTACTTGTTGCGTAGATCCTTGATGAGTTGTTCCTTATTGCTAGCCGACACGGCGTTGGTCGGCACAAAACTCTTCTGGACCTGTAATGAAAGAAAGGAAACAGCAGTGTTGTTGAGTGCTGCTCCGCTGCTACAAGTAGCTAGCAAAGAGTACAATCAAATAATGCCGACCGGAATTACCTTCTTCAATCTCTTGGTAAGTTTCTTTCGGTAATCCGCCAGACTGGTGGCTGCTTTGAAGATGGTGTCTTCAAATCTCATGGCCAGCATGAGCTTGGAGGCGGAAGTTGCTCCTGGTTCCAGGGCTGCCAAGACCTTGGCAATCTCTCTCACTTCCGTGTTGCGGTAGGACTGAGACACTCCAAGACGCCAATCATCGGCATCACCTCCACCGGTGCTCCCCTGTTCGCTTGACATTCTTCCACACTAGCTAGTATCTACAATACTAATATCTGTGGCTGCTCGTGATGATCTGGAACTCAATCAACAAGCCGTTGTTGTCAATGTTTGCACGGTCGTCATATGTTGGCTGTGCGCAATCCATCTTCAGATCTTTCAAACGGTAAAATGACCGAAATCTTAACTAAAATGCCAAAAATAAAATGCCAAAATTCAGGTTCCGACTTCAGCCCTGAGGAGTGTTGGAATGAGTGGAACATTTATTTGTACTACAGTCGTTATGGCTATAGCTAGCGACTTGAGTAGGGAAGCTACCGGTACCTTGGTATCAACAGAAGCCGGCGGGGACCAGGCTATCGTAATGCAAAGAAGAGGCGAAATTCGGGACAAGGTTAGATGCCTTACCAGCCAACCCTGCATCGTCCCAGGCAGGCTCCGGGGCAGCAACATCTCTCGTGGACTCGACTCAAGCATTTGACGGATGTTACATTCCACGGGTACAGGGCCTTGAGGTAGGATATCAATCTTCGTACACGACGCGTGCCCAACAAACATTTTCATTCCACCGAAAGCCCTTAGATGTTGCCCATTTCAGCACTTTGGGGTGACAATGCGCGACCGCAGCTTCGACGATGCTTTCGTCGAGCTTTCCGTGTTCCCACAAATGGGCGCGTTCCAACCCATCAATATATTGTAGGATTTCCAAGCAACCGGCCTGGGCAGCACTAAGAGCACACTCCTGCCAATTGTATGGGCAGCCTTCCTGCACGGCATATTGAAAAACCGCAAAGTGTCCATGACCAGCCGCAGAAGAAGTCGTGGACACGTTCCAGCGGCCAAGGCCGCCCTACCATGAGTGCTTGAGCCACCTACTTTTCAAATGGAGTGAGTGGAGAGACCTGTGTTGGGCAAATGTTGGGCTCTTACTATGAAGTGGCCAACCCCCACACAAA